AGTAGCAGGAGGAGGGAGGGGGGGAGTACATAAAGTAGCCCACCACATCTGGAACCAACATGTCTGCCTACAGGAAGAGGGTAGAGGGGGTGGGGTCAAAGGGTCGGCCCGTGTTTCCTTTCAAAGTGCTGTGCTCCTGACTACTTCTGATAGATACTTCATCCCCTGCAAATTACCACGTTTGAAAGCGTAATTAGCGAATCTGTTTTCTTAATCATAGAGCTCTAGCTCTCTTTTTCTCAGCGCTCGGAGTTCGACACTGCAGGGATACCACCTCTGCAGCCTCTTGATCCATCTAAAGCTTCAATATTATCAGCTGCTGATAGAAGAGGGAGGGTGGTGGCGATGATTCATGCTAAAAAAAAATAGTTTTCAAAAATCTTGGTCCCTTCTTCTTTGGTCACTGCTCACTCACAGGCATCAATTTTAAAATCCACGTGCAGGTATCCCGTTTACGAGCATCCTATAATTATGCGCCCATGTGCTTGATATTTTGCTTACTATATACTTCTACTGCTGCACCCCATTCTCAGTCCTCTATCCTGAATCCTTTGTGCCAGAGTGGCAATGCGAGTGGCATTTTTGGGAGCTGACGAAAGACGTCCTGGAGTGTAATTAGTGAATCAGTCTTAATGTGGTTCCAGATGATTTACCAAATAGCGGCTTCCTGTGGCGCTGAGACAGAGGGACAGATTAAGACCCAGGCAGTTTGGATAGCTCTCCCTCTCTCCCTACACGGGGATAAACGAACAGGCCGGTTGGCAACACGCTCATAACTCTCCCACCCAAATGGGGCTGTCAGCTAAATATTTTGCCTATTAGATGAATACAAGATAGTAGAGAAAATAAACAAAGAGAGAGGCAAAGCACTCCGGTTAAGTGCTGCAATGATCAGCCCAGTACTGCCAGGCCTAGAGGGGCCCCAGAGCCTCGATGACAAACAAGAATCCGGCTCGCTCCATCCCAGCTGCCATGTCCTGCCTCAGATCTACTCCTGGTCTTCATCCAGAATCCGTCATTGTTTCTTTTTATAACCTCCCTCAAGCATTCGTTGAAACAAAAAGAAAAAGTGGAAAAAAGTTTCTTTTTAAAGTTTGTTAAAGGGATATTCCGGCATAAAATTAATTTAGGGTTAGGGTTAGACACCCCCTTGAGAGATGAATGTTGCAGACTGCTTGCTTCTCTAGTAATACCAACTTTAGTAGCGACCGCACGATAGCAATACACAGTGGGTTGAAGAGCCATAAACAAACCTCAACCAAAACGCCACTCTATAGCCACAAATAATGCTCAGAACAGCACCTAACTTCATCAACAGTACATATGGGGTCCCAGCGATAGCACTAGCCACCAAACATCTTTTTAACTTTGCCTTTAAGTAATAATCATCATATTAATCATGGGCTGAAAAGGTAATACTGGTTGTGACTCTAAGACTGTTTCAGCCCAGCCCTCTCAAGGGGTTGTCTAACTTGGTGCTATGGTGTGTTTGACCCTAAATTATTCTAAACCAGAATATCCCTTTAATGTACCTGTATTGGACACATACAGTGTAACTGCTTTTAAATTTTCTTAATCCAGCTGTACTGATGTAACCGACACTTCTTGTATGCAGGTTAAACGGTGGTCCATTTGTAGACGAGAAGCCACTGATGACTGGCCAAGGGTCACATGACCTGGAAGACGAAGAAGTGGAAGATCTTGGTGCCGATGAAGACGAAGGGGAGGAGCCTAGCAACACACCTGGGAAACCGGAGGGTGATGTGCTTACCAGCAACCTCAGTGACGACATCACACAGGATGAAATGGACTACAGCGGGCCCAACGACTTAAACCTCAACTGTAAAGCCTCTCCCAGGAGGTAAACACGTAACACAAGGCTGCAGCTAAACTTTGAAAATATCTGTACTCTGTGTGAATGATTCTTATTAAAGTCCCTCTTCCGATTTTCTTCTTCACCTTCAGGTACAAGGACGAGGAGGAGCAGAGCGGCTACTCAGCCTTGGATCATATTCGCCACTTTTCAGACATGCGCAAGCTGGAAGAGAGTGAGCTGAGTGACGGAGATGGAGATGAGGATGACGGATCATTTGGCTCCCCATCTCTGACCGAAGCAGTGAAACAGCCACTTTTCAGAAAATCCAAGTCTCAGGTAAAAAAGATGCAGACAGACTTCATCTCTGTACCTCCACTCACTATTGCATATTTCATTTTCATACTTTATTTCATCCGGTTAATATTTGAAATATTCAATACAAAAAAAGAATATCTAAAACGTGAATGAAAAGGAGCAGAAAGAAGAAAAACCTTATAGAGTCTGCCCTTCTTTTACAAGATATAAATCAACTAAACACAATAAAAATAAACAAGAGCTGCAGGCCAACATGCCTTTTTACAGTTCATTATTTCTTATTTTTTTAAAAAAACCCAGAAAAGCCAACGTTATTTCACATTTTTCCACAAAACCAACATACCAAGACTTAGATTAACATATTTCCCTGTATTTGCTCAACATACTGGCTTTGACACTGTTTTTTAAAGATAAAATTTGATTTAGTTTCTTTGTTCAGATTGCTCCACAAACTTGTTCCTCTCACTGTAACACAGCACTCTTAAAGTTTAGTTGAAATATACAGTAGATTAAACAAAGTAGTTAACTGTTGTCATCTTTTTCTCCTTTTAGGCGTACGCCATGATGCTGTCTCTGGCTGAGAAGGACTCCCTCCATCCCGCCTCTCACAACCCAGCCACCATGTGGCACAGTCTGGCACGGGCTGCTGCTGAATCCAGCGCCATCCAGTCCCTCAGCCATGTATGATGACACCCCACCTGCGCTTTCCCTTTCACCTTTCAAATCCCCCCCAAATCTGACCTATGGCACTGGGAGCCCACTGTAAGGGCCTATGTGCGGTGGCCCCTGATTGTCCACAGAGTGACTGCTGAGCAGAACCACGGCCCATCTGACTGCTGAGCGGAGTGCCTCACACACATACACACACACACACACACACTCACACGCATTGACACAAACACACACACACACATACAGCAGGGTCCCTGTCCCTGCAGAGCCCACATAGCCCCAAACCACCTCTGAAGACAGAGAACAAAAAGTCCCTCTGAGACCTTAGAATTGATTTCCAACCTGATGATAGTATTTTGAGGAGTGTGGTGAAAATAATAATGCTAAAGTAATAATAGCTGTATTTATTCTGCTGAATTTCTATGTTTTGCACAGCAAAGGCAGCTGGTGGACATGGAAGACGGATGTGCTGGTGTGTTATTGCTAGAATGCAAGTAATGCAAAGCACATACAAAAAAAGAGAACTCTGAATGCTGAAAAGGTAATATTGGTTGTGTCTCTAAGACTGTTTCAGCCCAGTTTTACTGTGCGTAAACATAAGAAGCCTGACTCATCTGACTAAATTATGTTTATTTTGCCAGCAATCCCCAGAGATCCACAGGTGTTTCTCATAAATATACGTACTTGATGATAAAAATGAAGGGTGGGGTTAGCAACCTCAGTGCAAATAAACACACACTTCATGTAAGGACAGCGTTAGTGGCGCTTTAGTATCACTGAAGTCATTGAAGAACATAAAATAGTAATTGTTGAGCTGAAATCAGGCCAGTTTCCCATCTGTGTTGTCATGGCTGCGTGTGTCTGCACAATCATAGCACTGTACACAAGTGTCTACCAACTGTTCTCCACTGCACTCCATCCTGCCCGCCTGCTCTATCTGTGAAAGGATATAAATAGATTGTCTTTTTAGTGGAAGAGAAGAAAACACATTTTTTTACTGTTTTTTTTTTCTTTTCTTTTTGTTTTCTTTTTTTAACTGAGATAAATAGCCAGTGCTGAAGTTAATTGTTGTTCTGTAAAGGGCATATGTCTTTTTCAAACCCTTGAATCCATCCTAGTCAGCCAACAATACCACTAAATAGCCTGAATGCTAGTCGTTAGCTACTCCATGCTCGTGTGTCTTTCATTTTTAGACAATCATGATTTTGTTTCCATTTTTTTTGTTGGTGTCGTTGTTGTTATTTGCTGTTGTATGTTGAGAACTGTATTTATTTCTTGGCAAACTGTAGTTTGTTTACTGAATAGCACTGCTCTTAGCCCAGGCGACGAGGCGATTCCTCACCGGGGCCTATCCCAGAGTTCAATGGGGTTTGTAGATTGCATTTGAGTGCCGGATAGTATTAAACATACACTTCACTCCTTATTCTTCTAATGAAACCGATCGATGAATAGATATTATGTAGTTTTTTTTTTTTCTATGACAATTAAATGATTCAATTGTAAAAAAAGAAAAACAATATAAAGAATGAGTACTAAAAAAAAGCCAGGTATAATTTCTTCATAAACGCATGATTGGTCTGGTAAGATCTGTATCTGACATTTTCTACGGTTGTCTGCAAGCTTGTGTGACGTTCGGTTCATGTTAATCTCTTGTGCCAAACTTATGATAAATAACAGATTACTTTCATTTATTCTCCCGTTTTGAGGGACCAGATTCTTGTTTGTTTTTTGTTGTTGTTTTGTTTATAATCAATTTTAAAAAGTAATCAGCAAGTTGAGGTACTTTGTTTTAATGCTTTCTACAATGTAACTGTTATGCATTTCAATTCAATACTGTGGGAGGAACAACTAAGAAATAAAGGACTACAATGTGGATTGACACATCTTCCTTTCTCTCTTTATTTCCCCGAAAACATTTTACTCCCTCTTTGCCTCCCCCCGCTCCGTAGACATAAACTCGCTCTTGCTGTCCATCATTTTGGCCCAAACAGGGATCTATACCGAGAGATGTGAGTCAGAAAACCACCTGGCACTTTCTTCTGGCGCTCCCATGGCCTCCAAGAGCGAGGGAGAGTCTGAACTCTGGTCCTCTTTTTTTCTCTAGGCTTTGGCTGGCATAGAGAGAGGGAAGAAGGAGAGAAAAGGCTGCAGAGGGCCTGAATGTGGTAGTGGGAGCGGAGGCAGGAATGTGTCCTCTTTATTTGTGTCCATTTGTGGGGCATGATGGATGAGTTTGGTAGATGTGATGACCTGGCTCATCGCTCAAACGCTCAATAAGAGTCCCATCCTGCAGCAGGCCTCCCCATCCGGCACCCCCCCCCCTGTCACTGCTGCCAGCCGACGTGGGCGGACATTGTGGCTGCGAGGGTTGGAGGTTCAGCGTCTCCATTGTCCGTAGCCGGCTTGGTTGGGGGGAGGTTGGAGAATTGGGCATGACAGTGAAGATGGCTGGCGCTGACACTCCACATTTACAGTGCTCCTGGCACCCTAATGGATGGGGTGTTTTCTTAGGGCCTGTCGTCAACCCTCAGGGCTCCATGGGGCGTCCAGCTTTGATGAGGTCACAGGGGGTCACGCAGTGTTGATGAGGTCAGCACGGGTCGTCCAGCTTTGATGAGGTCAGCTGCAGTGATGGTAGTGATGGCGTAGGCTTGGGCAGTAATGGAGTGGACGTGATAATGGTTCTGAATACAAGTTTAGCCACCTGTACTATTGTTGACTAATTTAAGCCCCTCATGTGATCATGGGAAAGTGACAGCAGGACTGGTATCTTTTAGGAAACCTTCGCATCAACTGTGAATCTATAATCCACAATTAAGGATTTTACAGAATAAGAATGATAAAGTAAATGCATTCACATGGCAGACCGCCCACTTTTTAATCTGATACCATGAATATATTACAGCAAACAGCGACACACATGTAGCAAACATTGAGTAAATATTCATTGTTGCTCTGTTACTGGCTGTAGCAGCTGACAAAGTGATGCGCTCTCCTTTGTAGCCACATTTGCTTGTGGTCTCATCTGATAACTGATGGAGATATCCTGCTCTTTAGAGGCTAAATGCTTCACTCTGTTAACTAGCTAGTCAAGTTTTAAAAGCTTTCTCTGATGATTACAGCTGCCTTATGTGGTCAAAATGGACACAATGAAAGCCAAGAGTCTAAATCAAAACTCTTAAAGTGTTTTGCTCCAAAACAGTGACCCAATGTAGATCATAATCGATGGTCCAGACTTTTTTACTCATGTAGTGAAGTTAGGACATAGACACAGGCAGGGGTGGCTGGGGTATTTGTGTGCACACAATAATCTCTTTACCTTCTCAGTCCACAAATCTTAATCTTTTATGGCTCTAACAACCATAAGTTTAACTTCAAAAAGTGATCATGTACCTTATCTGGGTAGAGAGAAGGCTGTCAAACAGTTATTTCTTTTTAACCTTGATTAATCCCATAATTGTCCAAAGTTATTCATGATTAATTGTGAATTATTCACACATTTTTATCCGTCAAAAAATGTCACTTAACCCTTTAATGCCTTTTGTATCGTTTTTTAATCATACTTTTACATACTTCTGTCAAATCAATAAATTCAACAAATTACTAAAAAAAACACCTGAATACAGTCTGATTAATGAAAAAAATGTTCTCTTTCAGTTTATTAGTTTCCAAAAACATCTAATGTATCAAACGAGATAGATAAATATTTGTTGAATTTTAAGGACATTTAGATTTTTTTGATTTTCTGTAGTAAATAAAATAAACATTTCAGCTCCAGAAAAATTTGAATTTTCTGGCCATAATTTGTGGTGTCAGGCGTTAAAGGGTTAAAGAGGTAATTGTTACGTTTTCCGTAGTTATAGTAACATAGGTATGGACAAACACACTTGTGTCCTGTGCTAAGGGGGCATTCTGGGTGATATATCTGATGGGCCTCTTTTTGGGAATTTCCAACTTGCCAGATCAAATAGACTGTAACATGACAATTGGATGGGGGGGGTCACATCACACATAGACTGTGTATGTAAGATCACAGAGGTAAGGCCAATCATCCATCAAGGAAAGAAAAACAAATGTCTGCATTGATGTAAGTTTGTGTTTTTACATTAATATTACACTAACTCTGACAATCAAATCAAAGTTACTGCACATTGCTTGATTTTGACATTTCCTCCCTTTGACAAGGCCTGTTGTTGCTTCAAATTTTAGGCTGGTACAAAGACAACTTTTCTTTCATTTTTGCGACTGATAGGCCATAAAAAGCATGAAAAACATTGTTTTAAGTGATAATTTGCTGAGTAAAGTCAGTCTTTCCACCTAGTAGTGACACAGACGGGTTATCCAAAGATAAAATGAAAGCACAATCAAATCACTGTACAAAGGAGCATTATTCAAACAGGAATCCTATTTTAACTGCATCAGGGGGCTCACTTGTCAGCAGGACTTTGCCACCACCCCCTCTACCGTCCCGCCCCTCTTGTGGTTGAAATTGCCCTTGTAATTACATCACCTACAGAAAAAAAAAAAAAAAAAACTTTCCCTAGACAAAAGTCCAAAGGCAGTGCCTCTCGGAAAGAACACTAAAACATCATGAATAGACAGCAGTGTGTGTATGAAGCCTTTGTGAGAGGGGCAGTGGTGTGGTGTGAGGAGGGCACATGGGTTAACTTTGGCAGCTTCACATTGAACTGATGTGTGCGCGCTGGTTTGATCAGTGTTGATGAGCAGATGCCAGTGTCACCCATGTATCCTCTCACACTTAATCAACACTGCGGGGACAAGCTATTGCAGTCATTAACCCACGGCTTTTCATAAAGAGCTCAGTGTGTATTGAAGTGTGGCTGGCATGAGTGTGTGTGTCTGTTTAAGGAGCTGAGGAAGTCAGACAGAAGTGTGTGTGCATTAGTCAGTGCGATCGGTTTTTAGCTAAATGTTAAGTGCGTGTGTCAAAAGGGCTGAATCCCAAGCTGCTGTGTCCTGACATTGTGTGTGTGTGAGTGGACGGGTGGGCACACTGTGGGCACCGCTCGTAGAGGAGGCTTGGAGCCACTCAGCTAATGGGGCAGCTGGCACGGCCTCAGAATCCATCAGCCCTCGTTATAGCCCCTGTTCTTCCACTGTCCTCTTTTTTTTTCTTTCTTTCCTCTCCTCTCCTCACCATCACCACCCTTCCTTTCCTCTGCCAGCCCTGTGTGGCATGTTACTGCCCCTCGCTCCCCTCCTCGCTGGAACATACATCACACCCCCAGAGAAGGAGACGGCCATCACAGCTGGCAGCTCTCACACTGATTGACTTGGCACCCGTGCTGACTCAGACGCCAGGGGAAACATTTTCGGAGAGGCAGGCACGGATGGGTGAAAAAGTGTTGCCTGCAAGAAGAAGGGAGGAGGTGGAGGGGTTTGTATGGATTGGTACTGGCACATTGAGGATGTGTGTTTGGGCGGGGGAGACTCCACAAATCATCACATCAAGTTTTTGTTGTGTTTACAATCCTGGTAGCACCTCCTCTTACGCTGTCTGCCTTGTGTGTGTGTGTGTCTGCTTTCTTCTCCTCTGCTTATCTTCATGTCCTTTCCCCACCCTGGCCCTCTCCCTCTTTTAGATCGCAGCAGAGCTTCAGGTTGTGGTTTCATTACACTGTTTGTTTTTCTCCCTGGAGGCTGCGAGTCATTAGTGTTATTGATGGACACTCTGCACAATCCCAGGAAGAGATCAGGACAGAGCGGAGTAGTCGTATGGTTTTAATATGATGAGTCTAATCAGGACAGGCGTGGTGGCAGAACCACTTGGAGTCTTGCTGCAGAAATCATCTCATTCTTCGCTCCTAACCTTCCTCATGTGTTAGCCTTTATTACGCACCCACTATGTTAAGGGGTTGGCTTTGACCCTTGTCTTAAATCAGCTGTAAATTACACTAAAAAAAATTCTCTATCATCCAATTTGGTTCTCATCTCGAGGTTATCTTTTTAGGCTTCATCATCCATGAAAATATTGTAGTTTATGTTGTGGGCCTCTAGGTCTTTCTTTGTCAGTATACCCCTCACACAGACATCTATACTGAACTTATCTTACATGTCTGGACATGCCTGATGTTGTTTTTTGTGCAGGTAAAAACATGGCAGAATGAGAATTTCCTAAATCTCACATGATTGGAAGAGGATCTGACTGTCAGTATAGTGCCTGACAGTCACTTATGATTTCAGTTTTTGCTCTGATTATTAGATATTGATCTAACCGGGTCAACTGCAACCCTTACATTACAAGTGCCATAAATTTAATAAGAGCATTTTATAATTTAGTCAAATTAAATTTTTTGTTTTTATTTTGTTGAAATAGAGATTCCTGACAGAGTCAAAAAGTCTTGATGCAAAAAGCTAATTTAAGTTGTTCTTTTAAGCATTTAAAATCAAAAACGGGTCGGTGCAGACCCTAACACAGGAGGAGGGCTAGAGAAGATTAGTGAGAAGCTCTATAAGAGGAAGAAGAAGACTGAATCTGCTGAAGCAATAAAACATCAAATTTATGACTCAGCATTGAATGTATAAACTTGACTTTGTTAATTACATTTTACTTTAGGCCTTTAAATCATGGGTTCATTAGAGGGCCTTTTTTTTTTTTCACATTGAGCGCCATCCAGTGGTGAGTTTCCCAAAATGCAACTCCCTAAATGTAGTTCGACTTTCACATTTCATCTAAACCACATTAAAAAAAATTACTTTGATGTCAAGACAAGCAGTGAGATAATTTCTGCTCGACTACACTCACATGCTGACAAGGCAAAACCATAAATACCTTCACACTCAGACTGTGGGAGAGTTTCTCGATACCCATCTTTTTGCAGCCTTCGCATTTATTTTTCCAAGCAACAACCGAACAAATGGTGCAGGACGTGTTGAAATGATTTCCCCCCTTCATTCTTTTTTATCTGATCCGACAGCTTCATCAGTTGGAGTTCAAAACAGCACGGCCTTCTGGGAGATGTGGTTCAACGCAGAAGGGCAGAATTTATCTCTGGGACGTGAAGCTGTAGCAATGAAGTGATAGAATCTGTTTTTGCAAAGAGTGGCGTACGCTTAATTACGGCGAAAAAGTACCCATGATGGGATCTCACCATTTACGGGCTATTTCATCGCCAGTTTCCTGCAAACTTCTCTCTCCTGCTTAATCCTGATAAGCCGGCATGCAAACACCAGTGGGCTTTTCTTTTTCCTGCAAAAGCCTTTAAGCACAAAGAACATCTTTGTTTCTGCAGCTGTAATAAAATAAAAGCAGCTTTCAAAGTGCTGAGGTCATGTCAAGTAAAACAAATCATGTCTGAATCCGCTCCTTCCCTTTTAACCCCTCTGCATACTGTATCTATTTAAGACAAGACCTTTCAGTTTGCATGTTCTTCATATGTGGCATCCCTTTTAGCCGGTGCACCCAGTGTTATGTGCGGACAGTGATACAGAAGAGCAGTGGCCACCCAGAGCTCGAAGGATGGATGGCCTCTCTGGGCCTGTTTGACTGGAAACAGGTGTGTGTCATCCAAAGATGAAGGCCTGCCCGATAAACATTATTGGAGAACATCTGCTGCTTGTCACAACACAAGGCGAGCAGGAGTAGCCCCCAATCCATCAGCCACACTGTAGAGAGAGAGTGTGTGTGTGTGTGTGTATGTGGGGGGGTTGCTCTGTCCTCCACTGCTGGGCCTGTTCACCCATCACTCACCCCGGGGATGCTGGCCGTGGATGTGGGGGGTGCGTGTTTGGTCCAGGCACCTGCCTGCCTCTGCCAGACCGGAGCCGCCTTTGGCCGATGGAAGAGAAAATGCTCCGGTGCTTTTGAAAAATGCTTCAGGGACATTGACATCTCTTACTCACACACACACACACACACACACACACCCTCCAAAGTAAGTGCACTCTTCTCAGGTGCCTCCACCAACACCACCAATTTTAGACAACTGTCAGAGAGGCATGGCCTTAATGCTTGACCCTCTCGGGATGATGAGATACGCCTGATTGTAGCGCTGCACACTGACATATCAACACACATGATGCCATAGGTCTCCATGACAGCTGAAGCCCCTTTTCCCCCCCCACCTAACTGCACCACAAGCAACACAAATGAAAAGTCTCCATAGATTTTTCTTTCTTTATTTTTTGGATTGGTGTTTATTTGGTTTGTGGCTTTTTTTCTCTATTTAAAACAATCTGAAATATGACAAAGACACAGTTTATCAAATTCATACAGACCAGGTGAAGTTAATAGCACCACTGACATAAGAATGCCAGGAAATGAACTCTGACCTGAGATAAAATACAAACACAAAGGACGCCTAATGATATCAAATGTTGACGATTGCACCTCTGATAGAGGCGCCATAATCACATCCTCTGGCAGAGAAAGCGTTAACATCAAATCTGTAATTTTCTATAATGCGCTCAAACTCTGTATCAGCTGCTGACTCAGTCAACACACATCTGACAGAGGTGCAATGTGTGCAAGTTTCTCTCGCTGTATTTCATGACCAGCTCACCCATGATCAATGCCAGTAAAAAGAGAGTGTTTGAAAATCTTGTAAATGAGCGTCTGCGTGTTAAAGTCAGATCTCAAAATAACTCACAGACATAAAATTATTCTATGGTTATTTGTAAACTGAAGGTGTAGGCAGATGATAAAATAAGTTAAAGTGAGCCTGTGAAATGTGGTGTCTAGAGAATACAAGGCAAATGTGAAAATAAAAGCGGCGATAATTTGATCAAATTATCGTATTCCAAGAATTAAAAGACTCAATAATTACTGCATGAAGACTGTCTCTGCAGTCACAGTCAGGAGTGAAGGTTTTCTCTGCATGTAAAATTCACCATTTAAGGCATACAGACAAAGATTTTCGGGTTACTTGTTGTGTGTTTGTTTTGTGTGTGTTTTTCCCCTTTTGACTCTCCATAGCTGCCCAGGTGAAATCACTTGAGTGCCAATCAGACTCACCTGGTGCTGGGCCTTTAAAGACTGAGAGCTGCCTGCAGTCTGGGGAGGCATTTGGTGGGGGAACTGCTGCTCTGCTGCCGCTCATTTGTGTTGTGTGTTCTTTGTGTTTAGGTTGTGTTTATTTTGTTATTTGGTCACAATAAATCACTTGTTAAACTTTTGAAGGTGTTTTGTCAATTCGATGGGTCGAAAGATGAGGATAGTTGTTAGCCCCATAGGGCCGCCTTCGGGTGGGGCGTAACGCTTGTACCTACTTAACATACAGTTTTGAGTGGAAAGAAAGACCCACAAAAACACAAACATCCAGTGTATGGAAAATGAAATGAAACATCTTTGCATGCTAGAGATTCTGGATGTCTAAATTAAAACAGAAATGTAAGATTCAAACTAATCCTACAATGAAAGATACTGATGGACGGCATGGGTTTGCTTTTTTTTTTAACAGAAAAGGATGATTTCAACATAAACGTATGAATCTGACTTACAGGACTTTCACTCCACGCTTGACTACACTGAGCATAAAGATTGATAAAGACTCAAACAAATCTGGATATTCGTAGTTGTTCAAAGAAAATAAAAATTAGCTGACCAGTGACAAGATCCATTCACACCTTTTCAAAATTCCACCATAAAAAGTGGGGACATACAGTCTCACTCAAACTACAGATAAAAATGTTCACTTCAGATACACAGAAGTCACATGTGTATAATGCAGGTATTTGTGCTGTTGGTGTATCCATAAAGATGCAGAGGTTTACGGTCCTTTAAGGCCCCTCACATCACGTCACGTCCACTGGGTGACAATCTTGAGTCCGAGGCCCAGTGATGTAGCACCAGTTTTTTTGACAGCTGCTTTCCACTCGCACAAAACACCTTTCATCATCTTCACCGATGATCAGAGCAGACTTTCACCGAGTCAGACCTCTGTTTTGAATGTCCAGTCAGGAGTCTGCACCTCTGCTTGGGTTATGTGGTTTTGCGGCCTCCTCTTCTCTTTCTCTGGGACGCGGAGAAGTTCAGTGAGGCTGCTGTTTGGTGTAGAACTGCTGAAAAGGAGAAAAAAAAGGAGGAGGACATCAGCACTATTTGAAAATCAAAAGCAAATGTTCTGGGGTTTTTGGAAGAGAAGTAACTGGTACGTAGTCTCCCGTGTGCTTGGCTTTGAGGAGGTAAGACGAAGACAGCCTGGAGGCCGGCTACACGCTGTGTGCAGATTAAAATAACTGTCAGGAGACAGGAGCGGCTATTGAGGGAGACAGGGTGACACATGGAGTGATAGGGCCGAGCCTCTCACACTTCATGACACAGTATTTCACTGAAGCTGCTTCAGCTTTACAGCCTCTTTGTGTGTGAATGTGTGTGTGTGTGTGTGTGTGCACATTTTGCTTTAGCTTTAAAATTTGTGTGAGTGTGTGTTTAGAAATAGAGTCCTACGTTTACCTTCACTGCAGGTGGGGCCCAGCCAGGTGAGCGGACACTGGCATCGCCCGTTCAGTCCATCACAGCGGGCCCTGTTGGAGCACTGGCATGGCAGAGAGCAATCAGGACCGAACCGGTCTCCTCCACAGTCTGAGACAGAGAAAAGTGAAGGAGCGTAAGCACATTAAAAAGAAAGACAGTGTGTTTCTGCAGGACGGACTTCCACAGATGATTGTTAAAGGGTTTCCCCCCAGGTGGCATTTACCTTTCTCACATCTCTGTCCTGTTTTTCCTGGAGGACACTGGCACTGTCCAGATGTTGGGTCGCACAGGACTTCACCAGCACAGTCACATGACTGTTCACAGCCCACTCCAAATCTACCAGCGTCACAACCTGCATTAAATCACAAATAGAGAAGCGTTATTGTATAACTCTGGTCATGGGTGCTTTCATTGTCTAGCAAAACATTCTTCATTTCCTTTCTTAAGAGACTTTTAGACTTTTCTGTTCTACGCTGCAGTCTGCTGGGGAGGAAGCATCAAACACAAAGATGCAAGACGTCTGAACAAACTGGTGGAGAGATCTACACTGAGGGAGGTGGAGACTATTCTAAAGAACACGGATAACCCACTTCACAACACTGTAATGGACCAAAGGGCCAATGGTGGTGGACGGCTCCTCTCTCTTCACTGCAGGACAGAAAGATTCAGAAGATCTTTTGTACCAACAGCCATCAGACTTTATAACTCTTATGTAAATAGAAAAAGGTTGTTTTTTTTCTTTGTTTTTTTTTTTTTTTTTTTTTTTTTTTAGAGACATGACAAATGAGACAATTGAGATGACAGACAATTGAATTTCTTTTAATGGATTAATAAAGTTCTTCTTATTCTTATTTTAGGACTTCTATATTTAGGTATTATTCCTGTTTAAATAACCTTTATTTATTGATGCTACTGATCACATTATAATGCATCATCTCAATTGCATCATTTCATATCATATCGTGGCAGTGTATCATAATGAAAAGTATTGTCAAAATTTATATTGGATCATATCGTATCTTACAGTATGGTGTAAAATGTTGTTATACATCAAAAAAAAAATGAAAAAAATGGTCACCTAATTCTGCATCCAAATGTGTAGAGACAGATGGTAGAAAACAAACTGGGGAACACATAAGAGACTGATCAAGAGGGCAAATAACATGAATCATGGTGGGGAATACCGAAAACCCGAACAGTAAGCAGGATTGTAATACAGAGTTAAGCAAAGAGCGAACGATATCAGTCGAGGGTCTTTTCCAACATAATGCAGTTCTTCTTAAACTCTCCATGACAGACATAATTAATGCTTGAATGTTTTGGCAGTAATTTACAGTAATGTATTTTGTTCCATTAGGGTATTATGGCTAAAATTCATTTTACAATAATTACCTGAAATTACTTTTTATTTTGTTTTTGTCTACACTTCCTCATCACCATAGTAACCTGTTGTTTGCTTTGTCACACTTTTTCTTAATCCAGGAGATTTTCAGCTGTCCAGTCTGCCTGAATACATGTGAAAGAACAACATGCCTGATTCTCTCATATTTACAAATGCGTTTAGTGATAAGGGACTGTTCCTGCAGGCACACACAGATAGAGCGCTGTGCGTACGTTGAGTCCTGCAGCTGCTCTGCTCTGCACACTCATATCTCCTGCCGGGACTGAAGTGGTCATTTAGGCGCTCACACTGAAGCTCAGAGCGGCACATGCAGGCAGGAGGGCACAGGGATGTAACAGGAATGCATTAAGCAGTCAGGAAACACCTGTCTCTCATCATATAACCAGCCTGCTTTCCTGCCCACCTACCTGCTAAGCCTGTCTGTCAGCCCTGCCTGCCAGAGCACACTCATACCAAACCCTGCATTCATTTTGCTTATGTCTGCTTTGGTCTGTGTCCTGCTGCAGCTGGGCTTCCAGGTGCCTCTTTATCAATGAGCACAAATGACAAGTGTGTTTTTTAGGTTCCCATCTTTGTGGGGATGCTCAACCCTATGAAATAGTTGTAGGATTGTATACCACTCCTCTTTAAAAAAGTACTTTAAGTTTATCTGCCACCTCTACAAATTCATTTATGTTCAGATATTCATATATACTCACGTGTTTGGCACTGAGCGCCATGGTAGCCTGGTGGACACTCACACTGGCCTGTCTCATGGTCACATGACTGCCCCACTTTGCAGTCACATGTATGGGCACAATTTACTCCAAAGAACCCAGAAGAGCAACCTACAGGACAAAAGGAGCTGAAACTAGCTTTATTATTTCAGGGCTAGAGATGAAATGAAATCATCTTTCAGGGTTGGTTCAAATCAGCATTCTCCACACTTTACTACCCGAGCTCTAACTATAATATATCAAGGAAGTCTGATAACATTATCAGTAAATTTGTTTTAGTATAATGAGTTATTTTTTACATACTGTGCTGACAGGAGTGGCCGTAGTATCCAGCAGTGCAGCTGCAGTCACCAGTGAAGCGGTCACAGGTCCCATTGTTGACACACAGACAGTCATGTGCACAGTCAGGTCCGTATTTCCCAACTGAACACGCTACACACAGAGAAACATGGTTTCACATTCTCAATCAAAACTCAGTTATGAATAAGAGAGATCACAAACTATGTAACTCAACAGAAATCGTATTAATTGTATTTTTTTAAGTGGTGTTGTCTGAGTTTCTTGTCAACAGTGAGTGGGTGTCAGAGGATGCCCATCTTTTTGGAGAAATTGGCCAGAAGACTGTCATGAAAACTAGGCTATCAGCTGTAGCAAATGGAGTTAATTTTACTCCCACAAGAAAAGCCCACTAGTTTTCACTCTATATTTGGATGCAGTACGTATATATTCCCTGACCTGCAGTCCTCTGATCAGCAATTTAGGTGTGCCGGCTTTGTATGAGACAGTAAACTTCACCAAACTAAAGGAATAAGTGATCTTGACACTGACCCTGGCAAGCTGCTCACTGTAAACACACCAAGGAGAGGGGGTGGCTTCTACTCTAACTGGAGAGATAGATTCAAAGATCCAACACCTGCTGTTTTTAGGGTTACTGTTTTACCCACTTCCTTCAGTTTTCAGAATTGAAAGTGCCTGCAAGGGTCTTTTAGTTTGAGCCATAGACTGTAAATACTATGGACAACTTGGTTCCACTTCCTGCCTGTATACGGATTTGAAGCCGAAAAGCTGTCGATATTTCTGTGATTTTTCTTCATTTCCTGAAACCAATACTGCGCTGTAGCATTGTACGCATTCAGCGGAGGAGTCACCGAGAGTCGCTGTGATGACTTGAGCACAAACCAGTCTTACAGTAACTACATGTCAACATCACAAGGGAGAAAAATTTATGCTCTGTGTAATAAATTTCTAAAGTTTGTCCACAGCCCCATAAGCTTTGCTGGCGGAGGCGGAATTTATGACTTATACTGCAGCCTGCCAACAGAGGGTGCTGTTCTCGGTGGGTGGCTTCACCCAGCGAGGAGGCAGACGCTGTCCATTCTATATACAGTCTATGGTTTGTGCCCATTCTGACGCCCCCCTGGAGTTTACGGTCTTCACTTGTCCTTTACATGCTCACCTTTTGATTTTCAATGTAAAATCTTATCCTGCTGACTTCAAACAGCCAAATTTTCATTTATAGCGAATATTTTATTTGGAAATTGTAAAAACTCAACGGTTTCTTTAGCTGGGACGTTGACACCTACCCCCATGCAAAGGTTTCAGGCATTAAAAATCAAGATATAAGAATCATCAATCTTGTTGCCTATGGTCTTCCTGGTTTTTGGATATCCTGAAAAGGTACCCCTATGGATTCCAGACTATTTCATAAATATTAGAAAAAACTCCTCACAGGAGCTTTAAATCTGAAAACTAGAAAAGCCACATGGAAGTGTGTCTTTAAAGAGAGTTATTTCTTCCACTTTTCTCTGCATATGACACAACCTAGCGAACATTATGCTTACTTAAATCAAAACGCACTGTGTTAGTTTTTGAGGGGAAAGACTGAACTGAAACAACAAACTCTACAGTCATTACCGGACCCCATTTGTTCCTTAAAAATCATCTCAACCTGTATCAAAACCTGGAAAATAATTTTAAATTCAGTCACAAGCAACAGTCAAGTGGATCCGATTAGTTCATATCATTTTCTACTGTGTTTAATCCGTCATACCTGTGTCACAGCGAGGTCCTGTCCAGCCCAGTCCACACTTGCAGGACCCATCCACAGGGTCACACAGACCCCCATTCTGACAGCTGCATGTGTGTCTGCAGTGCAGGCCATAGCGCCCCCTAGGACATGCTGGAGAAATATCAAGAGGAGATGAGGATGAAAAGAACTCCAGGCCCTTCTTTTCTCCTCTCGAAACACAGATGATACAAAGTGCCAGCGTGTGCTCCGTCTTTTTGTTTCTTTCACACACAAACTCATATACAAGATTACGCCGACCACATTCATGTTTATTTAAGCAACAGCTCATTACAGAGATGGCAGAGTAGTCTCATTTGGCACCGATATAGAAGAATAATCATGTTTCTCCGGGTAATTAAGACTGAGAAAACAATAAGCAAGTTATCTTCGATTTCCTTGTTTGTTTATTTGCTTCTTTGCCAAATTCAGCGACACGGAACACAGAGAACGAGCTACTTATAGGTCTCTGTAAACATTCAACAAGAGGAGCTTAATGTGTACTGAATCCAAGAGGACAGAAAAAGAGACCATTTAGCACAAACAGCAGTGGAAATCCCCACTCGCATTGTAGCAGAGCTGCTGATAATGGAAGAGATAAAGAATTCCTACTCTGACTCTATTTTTTCCCAGGAAATCAGCCCTGTGATCATCAGAGGCCTCACTCACAGGAAATGGAGAATTTGTTACTTAAATATACAGAGAAAAATGCTGCAAAATGCTCCCTCATTTTAGTGGTTGTTTTTCACTTTGCAGTCAAGACTTCCAATTTTTGAGGAGCATATTAGTTACAGAGTTTTCCACTTCTGCAAATCAGGTCAGTGGTGCTTTGACTACAAATAAGGGTTAAACGATGGCTGACAACATTAAAATCATCTTTATGTATTTTATTAAAAGTTAGAAATAGAAGTTTGTGAAATTACTAAATATACTTGCCTCCTTGCTTCAGAATATGTCCATTTATTTTTTTTAAGGTGCCAACAACAACCTACTACATGAAACTGAAATATTTTGAACATGCATCAATAAATATTTTTGTTGTCATTTTACTTTTTACGTAAATTGCATTAAATTACGACTTCATGTCTCTATAAATGCTAATGTATTTTGGTACATTCTGTATTCTAAAAATTAATCATGAATAATTTATTCATTTACAAAAATGCACATAAAAATATCAGATGCTGCCTTTACGAAAGCATACACACAAGAATCAGTGTTTTAGGGTTTCACAGCATACAGTTATGAATCAACTCAATCAAACAGCTCACCTTGTTGGCAGGACTGTCCCATCCTACCAGGGGCACAGATACACTTCCCAGTTACTTTGTGGCAGTCCCCTCCCTCTCCGCAGGAGCACAGCTTAGCACAGTCCTTCCCATAGTACCCACTGGGGCAACCTTTGTAAAACAAACACGTCCTCTTATACACTTAAATATTTATAAAGATAAAGAACATCATTTTATAAACCCTCAGAGCTGCATCTGATTTTTCTCCAATATGGGTAATTATGATTAAAGGTACAGTGTGTAGTTTTAAGCAATACTTACAAGAGCAGACTTTGTAGAAATGGAGTATAATGTTCATCGGTGTGTTTAAATTTGTGTCTTATCACTTGACAGATGGTTTAGTTTATAAAAAGCCATTTATATCTACATAAGGAGTCAGTCAAGGAGGCAGCTATCCTGCACCACCATGTTTCAACCCTAGCATAATTCATGACATCCATGTTTTTATATTTGGTGAGTGTCTGTGTGAAATGCACTAGAATGGAAAAAGAAGAAAAGTAGTTGTTGTGATGGACCATATTTAGCGTGCATCACATGTCCTTCTTGTCTCCTCACAAAGGCTGCAAGAAGGAGAGAGTTTTTATCTAGAATCTGACCTCTAAATAATCCCGTTTCTACCCACAGTAACTTTAAAAAGGAAAGAATGGAAAGGTAGAACCTTTTTTTCCGATCTCAGTACAAACAAGGTTCTGGTTTCTTTACTAACTTAAACTGCAGTCAGCTCCAATAAAGCCAGGAGGACAGTAGCAAGTCCCAGTCCTGAAGTCACAGCGACCACCATTGATGCAGCTGCATCTGGACTTGCAGTTTGGCCCAAAGGTTCCTGCTCGGCATCCTGGAGACAAACCATGGCAAAGAGCAGATGGTCTTATCAAGGTTTTTTCAACACTGTGCTTGCAAGAAACAACCCCATATATGTGAAAACATTATATCTAACAGTGCAATATAAGCAATAATAACATAACACTTACTCAGTTCACAGCGGGCACCGTAGTAACCAGGTAAGCAGCTACATTTCCCTGTCGCAGGATGACACTGCTCATGGTCTCCTGAACAACCGCACAGCTGGCTGCAGTTCTGCCCGTATGTACCAGCGGGGCAGGCTAAAATAAAATATAATTTTAAAAAAATTTAAAAAAAGAAAAATATATCAGACAAACATAAAAAAAACATGAATTTGTTGAGCTGGAAGTATGTGGCATACTACGATGGAGAATTAGGGCCACATTAAGAAAAAAAATGAAGATTTTGAGATTAAAGTCATTAACTTACGAGGAAATAATCATAATTTACGAGAATAAAGTTGTAGCAAAGTAATAACTTAAAATCCTTATATTCTAACCAGTTGTTTAAGATGACAGTTGTTGAAATGAGAGCCATGGAGCATTTTGTGAAAATTAACTTCAATAGATGTTTCTCAAACAAGGAGATACTTAATCTTTTGGCACATCAGCACCACATTATCATAAGTATCATAATGATTTTATTACGACTTTATTCTCGTAAGTAATTACTTTATTCTTTTAAATTAATGATTTTAATCTCAAAGTTTTATAATTTTTTTTTTCTTAATATGGCCCTAACACTCTAACATAGCATACGACTCTAAAATTTAAATGTGTAAATCATTGAAATGCACCTCTGTTACAAAGATTGATTTATCTCAAAATTTTTGAAATGCTCAGCAAATATTTTTTACGCCTTCTGACATTTTTGATTATTAAGTTTTCAAATAAGAAATACTTGCCAAAAATATTGCACAGGAAAAAATGAAACACCAGCTGGGTTACTTCAAGTTCACAAACAGAGTTTATAGTTTAACTTGTGTAACATTCAGTCCAGTAGCAGACACAGATTTTTAAGTCTGTCAGCAAACACAGGGTCTTAGTGTTCTACAGCTATAAGTAGTTTTTTATAGGATTATAACAACAGATAGATGTGAGCATTAAGTATTTTGTGGGATATTTTCCTTTCATCCCTTTCCCTTCAGATTGCTCTGTGGACATACTGGAACATTCACCGTTGACCAACAAAACCAAAACTCCCAGCTATTTTCTCTGGTGCCCAAACCCAGATGGACTCAGAGGGACATTCTTTCACACACCCTCTCTTCATACATTCACATATGCTCATCAAAATAATGAATGGAGCCCGTAGACAATCAGTCATAGCAAACAAGATGAATCTGTGAACCGAACATGTTTTGGGGTGAGACCACAGCACTCGGATACTCAGTCAGGCAGCAGCAGGCGGCGTGGGGGACAGATAAGAAAGAACTCCAGACTAAAGAGGCAATTACGCTGCTGTCATTATGCATGTCTGCTTTCCAAAAGCCCTTATCCGCCGCCGAGGAGACAAAAACAATGCCTTCTGTTTTACTTGGCAACTGGTGTGTAACGTTTATCAGATGTCTGGGGAGTGTATGAGGAGAGGAAGGGAGCTGGGGGTATAGAAGGAGTGATGAAGGGCTGAGTGGGGAAGCTGCTTGTACACAGTCTTTAACGGTACAGTCTAAATAATGAAACATTAGCATAAAATCCTGTGACAGTGAGAGTTTAGTGCCTCTGTAGAGTGCATTTCCTGGAATGGAATACATGCTAATCTTTCCCATGAGAATGAGAGGAAAGAAATTTTAATCAGAGCTGAGAGAATCATTCTTGGTGAACATTTTAACCCCATGATGCCTCGTCTGAGTGTTTTTTCAACTTTGCACATCTAGTATGTTGTAGGGACGCACTGATCTGACATTTGATCTTGGTATCTTGGTATCCGTCCTGATACTGAAGAAAATTCTAGATCGGGTATCGCGACAATGGGCCCGATCCCGATGCATAGGGGCTGATCTATTCAGTCTAAGTCTATGCTATGCGCCTTGAGTGGCATCCACAAGTAAACACGCTGAGCAGATGCCCACAATGTTTTCGAAATGGAGCGAGCAAAGGGGTCTGCTATCTTGAACTCTAACACAATACCTCAGCCTACAAGCTCAACAGCCACTTGCAATACCTGCGCAGTAAATGTTCCAAGGGGCAGTGGTAAAACTTCAGGTTACAACAAAAGGTAATTCAGCCTGGCTTATCTGTATCTGAATTGGATCAGTCGATACAAGACTGGTGATATCTGTATTGGTATTGGAGGTGAAAAAAGTGGATCGGTGCATCCCAAGTATGTTGCACAAACAGTTTTGAGTGACCGTAATATCAAAAAAGTGCCAAGACTATCAAACAAGCACCTATACAATAAGACACATTTGCAAATATGTGAAGTACAAAATTCATATGACTGAATCAGCGTCTCATTCATATGCTGATTCACTGACATTAAAGACAGCAAAGCAATAGACGGCTATTAGACGTCTAGTTTGTTTTTAGACCTAATGTCAACCGTCTAAATTTTGTATATTTTTAGACAGAATTTAGACGTTGCACTTTAACCTATTATTTGATAACTATTTATTTCAAAAGGAACTGTGAGTTGCATAACTGATCTCTAGGTATTTAACCAAGATAATTATGATAGCCATTGAGCAAAATACAGTGTATTATCGATATAGCCCAGATTTAAACTTGATATAAACTTGGTCTAAATTTAGACCAAAAACTTTCATTTTTTGACCTGTGGTAACCTGATTTTAGACAAGACATCTAGGCTACATTTAGACGTATATTAGACCTCTTTTAGACCAAAAAACACTCAGTGGGTTTCATGTGTGCTGCAAAGTTCAATGTCACCTTCACTCTTACCTTTTTCACAACCAGGCCCTGTAAACCCAGCTGGACACCCACAACTCCCCGTCTCATGGTGACAGGACACCCCAGCCCGGCAGTCACACCGTTGGGCACAGGAAGCCCCATAGGACCCCGGAAGGCAGGCTGAGGGTTTAACGTCCACAAGCAAGAACACATAATCAGTTCATCTAGAAGTTCAAAGCTCCTCTTTTCCTATTTTAATTCTGTTTGTAACTTCCTTGCTCCTACAGACACACACACACTCACGTTTGTCACAGCTGGCTCCTCTCCAGCCTGGCTCACACTCACAGCGACCCGTCACATGGTGGCAGCTCAAACCATGGATGCAGTCGCACCGCCGCTCACAGCCTTCGCCAAAGAATCCCTCAGAACAGGCTTCAGACAGAACACACAATAGTACGTGTTCAGTCCAAAAAGAAAACTTTTAAAAGGTTTTGTACCTATTTAGCCGAGGCTAATTGCACTAATTGCTCTAACAGCAATTTTCAAGTTTGCAGCAGTTAGAGATCTTAAGTAAAGAAAGATAAAAGGAAAATCTTTGTAGGCTGTTCTTCAATATATACTGCATGTAAATAAAACTAGTAAAGGATAACAAATGACACTGGCAGAAGCTGAAATGCTCAGTGAGTATCAATTTTATGTCATGTAACGTGCTGATGTTGAGGTCGGGAGGTCACCTGTTTGACAGAGCTCTCCTGTCCACCCAGGCAGACACACACATCTTCCTGTCCCTCTGTTACATTGTCCTCCATTCACACAGCTGCAGGCCTGTGTGCAGTTCTCCCCATAATGCCCGTCCCCGCACTCTAGGAGAGACGGAAAGGAAACCTCAGATGGAAGACCAAGGTGCAAAATTATAAACATCGCAGTGAAAAGATATAGACTGATTAAAACAAGAACGCATAAAATGTAAACACACATGTACCCCAGTGCAATAAAAACGTTTATGTTTTTGAACTCACCTGACTCACAGGCAGCACCTGTCCAGCCTGGCGGGCAGGAGCAGTGGCCTGTCACACTGTCACAAGAGCCTCCGTTTTGACACACACATTGTCCGAGACAGTTTTCCCCAAATGTTTCTGCAGGACAGGCTGCCGTCACACAAAGAAAAAACACATTTAAGTAACCTACATGGGTGCAATAAGGGGGAAGAAAATTAACGACTAAATAATTATCCAACCCAATTGTATTCAAAATATCTTTTTTCATCTCAATGTCCTCCAGTACCACTTATTTGCATGTATAAATCCTCCAAAAACAGGTGAGTATGAGACAACTAAAAGCCAAAAGTTACGTACGGAAAGAAAAAAATCAACATTTCAATTTCCTCTTTCCGATACTAATGTACAGAAACCTACGAAAGAGGATTAGGGCCGCAAGAAGAGAAAAAAATAAGAAAAGGAGGGAGATTTTTGAAATTTTTATTTCGAGATTAAAGTCAAAATTTTCAAAGTCGAAATGAAAAAAATCGAAATTTTGAGATGAAAAATGTCAAAATGTTGTGAATAATGTCGAAATTTCGAGCTTTAAAATTTGACATTAAGGTTGATATTTCAAGATTACAAAATGTATAAATGTCATGAATTAAGTCGAAATTTCGACTTCAATAATGAAATTTTGACTTTTTTCACTTCCACTTTTTTAAATTTTGAAATATTGACTCAAAATTTCAAGATTAAAAATGTCGAAATGTCGTGAATGATTTCACAATTTCGTGAATTAAAATTTGACATTAAAGATGACATTTTGAGATTACAAAATGTTGAAATGTAGTGAATGATGTCGAAATTTCGAGATGATAAATTTGACATTGAAGTTGATGTTTCGAGATTAAAAGATGTTAAAATGTGAATAAAGTCAAAATTTCAACTTTAATCTCGAAATTTCGACCTTTTTCACTTCCACTTTTTTAAATTTCGACTTTAATCTCGAAAAAATTTCAACTTTAACCTCGAAATTTTGACTTTAATCTAGAGATGGAAATTTAAAAAAAACTCCCTACTGTTCTTATATTTTTCTGTTCTTGTGGCCCTAATCCTCTGTCATAAAAACCTGTATTTGGAGTTACTTACATGATTTTTTTTTTTTTTTTTTAATTTAGGATGCACATTTTTGCAACCAAGTGGGCGCATCAAATGATCTCAGAAACATGACATTTTAAAAAGTGCTTATAACTTTTAAAAACATAAATAAAATGTCACCCGAAAGTTTTTGTTCATGATTTCATGATAAAAGTTCAAACAAAAAGTCCGTCCATCTCTATCTGTTGCAGGTAAAACTACTGAACTTCAAGTTAACTGTCACTATTCACTGCTATTTTAAGTCATAATGCATATTTATGAACCAAAACGGTTGGATGTGTCTTACAGAGAAGCATTCCCCCCAAAACAAGACACTAGAATATATAAGACAAAATCAATAATGATTATGAGGTGAAGCCAGGTAAACCTGTTAATCTGCAGTAAGAGTTTAAGTGTGTATCCCACTGCTACTAAACAGGAAACATTAGACAGGGTTTGTCATGCTGAGTGATAAGCTACTCACGCAATTGGCAGCTGACGCCTGTCCAGCCCGCTGCGCAGCTGCATCGCCCGCTGATGTGGTCACACCTGGCTCCATTCTGACACCCACAGGTCTGACTGCACCGCTCTCCAAAGTAACCCTGTGGGCATTCTGCACAACCACATAAACACACCAACACATCACACACATTACATTTACACACCCCTGCGCACCTTTTGATATAAATTCATAACTAAAGAGCAGTCATGATTGCAGTCATTTATCGTGAATTTCTCTGTAATGATCAAAGCCGTGGATGACATTTGAGGTCTAAATAAGAGGAAAATGCACTAATGATAGAGATGCATCATTAAGTCATACAAGTGGTTTTCTGCTGACTCTGGCTTGGGTTGTTAGGACCACAAAATGACTGTGGCGAGAGGAAAGTCTTGAATAAGACTGCACGATGACAGACTAAGAGTTTCAGTGGGCATTTCACTGGATTCATTAAAACAACTCCATGAAAAAAGTTTAGCATGAGAACACTGATTGGTTCTCGACTAAGGACTCTTTGAGTTACTTTCTCCTCTCCTAATGTTGATCACCATAAACACGTGGGTGCATTTATCCAGAATAGACCTTAATTAAACCATGTACGCCTGAGGGCACTCTTATCCTCCCCGCTCTCCACCCGTACCCATCCCTAAAAAAGTCATCGGCAGAGGCTCGTTGTAGAGATAATTGTTCACAAACACATCGTAGTTGTGTTTAAGGAGAGGATGTCGTGATGGGATGCAGCGAGGGCCTCCCTCACACCCCATTTTAATGATGTGGCTTCCATTACCCAGAATGCAGTGTGGTCCTGCCCAGCCGGCGGTGCATAGGCAGGCTCCTGTGATGTGGTGGCAGCGGGCACCGTTCCTGCACTCGCACATCTGGCCACAGTCAAGACCGTAAAAGCCGTCCGGGCACACTGTGGGCCGAGATAAAACATCCGACTGGTTAGAACTGGCAGCTTCGTAAAAAAAAGGAGAGGAAAGGTTCAGATGCCAGCTACTTTCTTTTTTTCACTTCTTTCTCTTCCCCATCTTTTCTCTCCTACTTTCCCTCTCTGTCTTACCACCTACTGAAAATACCGATATCAAATTGCGGCACCATGCTGCGGCTGTTCATTTGCAGAGGGTCTGCATTCGTTAAGTGAGCTCATGTCCCACATGTGTGGTGGATCTGGGCCACATCAAAGTCCACGGCAGCTCTTAAGACCGTTCTCTTTTTCTGGGTGTAGAGGGTGCAGAGAAAGCTGGTAATTAGAGCACCTGCTGAGTCCACATGCCTCACCAATACACTGCAAAACAAAGCCAGGTTACTGTGCCGCCCTATCGCACACCCACACACACACTTGTACCTTCAGTAATGTCTATGAAACGAGGACAAAAAGTTTATCTCTTATTCTTACAGACTGCTAGAGAGGTTGTTTGAGTGTTTAGAAATAAACAACACTTGGAGAGATTTGTAAATATGTGCCTACAATCAAGCTAAAATCAGGATGATTGATTCCCACCCGAGGGTAAACATAACTTCACCAGAGAAGGAAACTCTGTTTGCTGTCTGGCTCTGTTTTCATTACTCAATTTGCCACTAAAAAAAAAACATATTTGATTTATTTATCTAAATCGTACAAGCAGTTATTTGTCTCGTCTGTTTTTTTTTTTTAGCAGTAACAAGTGAGAAAACCTGATCCTGATAGGGCTTTGAACCTTTATTACTGCAGCAGCCAGCATTTCATTTACACACCACATCTTCTATCTTTAGGGGGAAGCAGTGGACCATGTTACCAAAGGAAGCCACAAATTGGGACTGCAGCAGAAATGTGTAACTCGGTGGTTTTGTGTTTTCTAAATGCTGCAGTACTCCGGGTGTTCCGCCAAGGTTTATGCATCATCCCCCTTGCTTCTCCTGCTCAAATTGATGATGCTGTCCACTCCTCCTGTTATTTTTTGCCTCAAGGCCTCAAATTGGGAAAGTATCCTTCCTGCTCAGCAGTTTCTGGCATGGCTGTCTCTGTGTTCCCACGCTGACAGCATGACGTCTTTGCTTTCCTCTGTAGTGGTTAAGGCTGTGATGTTATTAAAGCCAACCCACTGAGGATGCTGTCATTTTAATCCAGCTGTACATTAGGTCTGTGGTAGCGCTGCGGCTAAATCACAGCTTAATTATCTGCTGTTTGTTATTAGGATAGGAATTCTGACACCATAGCAACATCTTTTAGTCCTGCTGGATGTTTCGGGAACCTCATCTATTATTTTGAATGATAAATAAAATTAGCACTGATACATTAGAGAGAAATGAGTTACACTCACACTGTAATCACAGAGTATTTTGACACTTTCTCCATTGTTGTCACAACATCCCTTTAAAGGGATATTCCGGCGTAAAATTAAGTTAGGGTCAAACACTGTAACACCAAGTTAGACACCCCCTCAAGAGATAAATGTTGCCAACCGCTTGCTTCTCTAGTTATACCAACTTTAGTAATGACCACACAATAGCAATAAACGGTGGTCTAAGGAGCCATAAACAAACCTCAACCAAAAAGCCACTCTATAGTCACAAATAATGTTCAGAACAGCACCTAACTTCATCAACAGTACATATAGGGTCCCAGCCATAGTACTAGCCACCAAATATCTTTTTAGCTTTGCCTGATTTCAATAGCAAAGAGACTAAACACAACTCACCTACTCTCTTCCAGCAGCCGCTTGTTTGTAGTGTGACCTCAGCCAGTCCGTTACGGACTGCTGCGGTGTGACGCAGCTCAAGGAAGAACATTTATGATCATTATTTTTTCATTTCCTTGAGGTAATAATCACCATATTAATAATTTTGCACTGCAGACGCGGTTGTTCCTCTGCCTTAGCATCTCGGTCTGATTGTATTTCCATGACATTTTCCATTCCAAGACATGATCATAAATGTTCTTCCTTGAGCTGTGTCACCCCACTGCAGTCCGTAATGGACTGGCCCGAGGTCTCACTACAAACAAGCGGCTGCTAGAAGAGAGTGGGTGAGTTGTGTTTAGTCTCTTTGCTAAAGAAATCAGGCAAAGTTAAAAAGATATTTGGTGGCTAGTGCTGTGGCTAGTACCCTATATGTACTGTTGATGAAGTTAGGTGCTGTTCTGAGCATTCTTTGTGGTTATAGAGTGGCGTTTTGGTTAAGGTTTGTGCATGGCTCCTGAAACCGCTGTGTATTGCTATCGTGCGGTCGTTACTAACGTTGGTATAACTAGAGAAGCGAGCAGTCAGCAACATTCATCTCTCAAGAGGGTGTCTAACTCGATGTTATGGTGTGTTTTACCCTAACTTAATTTTACGCTGGATAGCCCTTTAATTTTCCATGTGTCACTACAACACTTCAAGTTTACGAATTCTTCATCCAGCAGGGGGCGATTGGTTTCCATTTAAACAATGGAGCAACAATCTGTCTTCTGGTATTAACACAGTCCACAAGTGTTGGTAAGTAAAGACTATTCTCTCTTTCTCTTTGTTTATAGGTAGGCACAGAGTGATTCAGTCCACCCCACACACACACAGACACACACACACACACACTGTGCCATCGTTGAAAGACTCCATCTCTGCACTAAATGAGCTCTTTTAGACAGGAGGATTATTTCCAGATTCCTGGTTGTGTAAGAGCCGCTGCTGTCAGCCCATAAAGCAGGTCCAAAGACCACACAGCCGGGGAGGGCAGGCCACAGAAATAGAGCGGATAGAGCCAACACAGAATAGAACTTCCTGGTGCTATTCAGGGTCTATACACTGAAAGAGGTCAACACAACAACATCAAAACAACCCGGTTTCTTCGACAATAACGCGGATGTTCGATGCCAGCTGAACCAGGCTTCTTTTTTATCGCAACCAAATGAGCTATTTTGATACGAACATCAAAGCTGAAAACTAGAAACGAAGCACAATCCACGTTAATTGAAGTGGTCCAGTGTGCAGGACCCATGTCAGCACAATGGATCGCCTCCTCTGACAAGGCTTGACAGAAATGTTTAGTATCAAGCTCAATGCCACAAGAATACTCAATGAAACTATGCATTTCCCCATAGTAACAACCTTTTTGTGTCTTCCAGATCCAGTCCTTTCCGCAAATAATGTCACGAAAAGAGAATATCGCCCACGTTGAATCTCACACGCTAAAGTGGAAAGTCATCTCTTTCCATTTTAATTCTGTGAAACAGATGCACCAGAGAGAGATCTGGTCCTTCTCATAGCACAGGCCTCTTCCTGACGTCTCCTTAAGGAAGAGGCCCAGCAGAAGACGGAGAAACTGGACACCTCTGTTTGAGGAGAAACCGGCTCTCAGAAAACAGAATCTGGTCCGAACGATAGCCGTCTTTCCACAGAGATGTCCAATCAGAGCAACGTCTGTGTCTGAGGCCATTAGACTGTTATGACTGGGGATGTGAAACTCCGTTCTAGTGTGACACGCCTGTGATTTACAATGCCCCGTGTGCTACAGAGGTGGTATGAATTTCTGGCCCTGGTCGTACTCTCACACTAAATCTTACACTTGCAATAACATGAGGGCATTTCAAGTCAAAAGACTATAATCAAGAACAAATCTATTACATTGTTAAGACTCTTGGACTGCTTGTTCGTCTTGCAGTACAGTAAAAATATCCCCATGATGAGAAAAAATATTGGTTACTTGAGGGGTTTGCCATGGCAAGATGCGTAGAAAAACTCTGCAGCCTATGAAATACAGTCAATCTGCCCCAAGATGACTCATACAAATTATATCTTGGGATTTGTGTGGTTTTAAAATGGTTTTGGTTATGACATTACACGGACAATCTGATGATTCATTGAATCTGTGTGGTGATTCACCGAAACTGAGGCGCAGATGAGAAAATCAGAAGAGTGTCTTGCAGTGCCCTCTAGTGTATCAAAATATGATGACTGCTGATTTCATGTAGCTTGTGCCTGAGAGAAGCTGCCTCCATTGAGGATTCAGGGATGACAAACATCACTTTGAAACTTTTTTGTGTCAAATCAACAACCCAAAGTCCAAATTTTCAGTTAGCACTACTTTTCTAAGACAGAGAACAGTTGCAAATTCTTACATGTGAAGCTCGAATATATATCTATTTCTAGGATTGTTCTAGCTCCTTTTTTTGTGAGTAAAGAGCACCGCATGTGCAGAGACACAAAAGCAGAAATACAAAGGAGGGCTCTGTGCCTCTGAGACATCATCTAAGATGTCAAATAAGATACACCTCAAATAATTTGGTCATAGATAGACATTAAGACAAGATTTTTTCAAGTAAAAGATGCAAATAATGGGCCAAGTATAACCTTATTCATACTACAAGTTACATAAAATGAGCATATACCAAAGCTTATATTACTGAGTGAACTGCACGGCCTCAGCTATAATAAGAAAAATGGGATGTCACATGACCAGTGACATATAAAGCTTAACTCGTAGGTAGGTAGGTAGGTAGGTAGGTAGGTTGGTTGATGTTGTCCCCGTGAGGAAATTCATTTGCAGTACTTTGAAAACATGCACAAAGACAGCACACATACACAGTTCCATACACTGTCCCATATAAAACAAAACAACTCAGAAAAGACGATATGAAAATCCTACTGCACTGTACTTTGTCAATTCAAAAAAGTATTTCAATAAATAGTCTTTAAATAATGTATCTGTGCTCAGACCAGCTGAACCAGTATCTAAAAATAAAGAATAAAGCTGCCCACAATCTATTTTAGTTTATTCAATTGTAAAATCACCCATGGTACAAACGACCACCTGGACCTGTTCTTGGTGAGGGCTGGGCACCGGTATCTGCGGGCTGAGGGCAGCAGCTCAAACTCGAGCTTCTGACAGTCTCATATGTTAACTGTCTAATCAATTACAAAGAATAAAAGATAGAAAATCTGCAACTTATTTAACAACCAAATATATTTACTTATGTTTTATATCAGAAAATACAGTAAATAAATAATGGAGCTTTGTGAAAATGCATAGTTTATGACTAATTTACGACTAACTCACACAGAAATATTAACTAATCAACGCAGCACCTCTGAACAAAGGCGGGCAGATTCAAAGATAGTTTTATCCTGACTATTATTTCTCAAAAGACTAAAACTATGAATATCAGAGAGGTGTACTGATGCTTCAGAAAATCTTTGAGAAGTCTGAGATTTGTTTCACAAATGTCACACTGCTTGTAGAGTTTGAAGCTTTAGAGCTTTTAATCTTTACCAACACGAATTGAATGAAAACTCCAAAGCTTCATAAGCTTCATGAAGCTTCATCTGTCCGTCGCGTAAAGTAACCTTTCTTGTTCAAACGAATCCAGCGAATAATTAAACCAGATCATTCTAATAAATCTCAAAAACGGTTTAATCACATTTATGTTCGGATGAAAATGAATCCAAACAACAAGAAACCTTCAATCTTCTTATGAGAGATATCATCAGGAAAAGAACAAGAATGTGTGTTAGAAATAAAATTAAACCGTACCTTTTTCACAGTAAGTTCCAGCATATCCAGGTGAGCATGTGCAAGCTCCGCTCACATGGTCACAGGCAGCTCCATTCTGACACCGGCACTGCTGGGTACATCCCTGCCCATAGCTGCCATTCACACACTCTGATAGTGAAGATATGAGGGAGGAAGATTAAGAGTGAGAGGAAGCTTTTCATAAAACAAGGAATACTGTTTCATTTTATGAGATTGGTGCATTTTCTGAGCTTCATCTCTTGACTGTATAATCTAAAGTAAAACACTTAAATCTTTCATCCAAAGTTAGTCATATCCCACAGAGTCTGCAGAGGTACATGATTTAAATTTAAAATAAAATCAAACATCCAGGTTACTTTGAGTAATACAAACGAACTAAAAAGGTGTTATGAGTCCCAAACCCCACTAGATGGCAGTGTTATTTAAAAAGTTCACTCACTCCTCTCGCAGTGGTCTCCAGTGAATCCAGCTTCACACACACACTGACCGCTGACAGTGTCACATCCCAGAGACGTCTCGTTGCACTGGCACTTACTGAGACATCCTGGTCCCCAATAACCTGATTTACATGCTAAGAAGAAAAACAAATGATTCTTGAAAATTAAACTGAATTGTATTTATTTGTTTCGTCGTAAATGTGTCACTTACTCTATTTCTCCCACTCTATTATTAGCATCTCACATGATCTGATAAAAGCTAAAATGAGTAATAATAGTTATACTTTTGATCTGCTCTTACACGATGCACAGTCATGACCCATTTTGCCAGGAGGGCAGACACAGTGTCCAGTCTGTGGGTCACAAGTAGCAGCAGTGTGACATGAACATGTCATGGAACAGCCTGGTCCATGAAATCCCAGGGGGCACTCTGTATACAACAAGAAATTCAAATAACCATGCTTAATATACAAGCAGCTTCAAACAAGATTTTATGTCAGAAAATTGAAGCAAAAAGCTTAGATCAGTTATTTAAATGTTCTTGTTTTTTAAATCTTTATTTGAGACTCAGAGATCTGAATAAGTGGTAAAATTGAGCAAAGTATTTATTGAGTCGAGCTCAGCCCAGGACCTCAGCTGACAGCTTAGCCGCTTACCATCTCTGCATCCAATTGGCAAATACCAATATGCTCTATCAAAACAGCTTGACCTTGCCTACTCTTGTTGCTTCCTCTACAAACACTTTGCACCCACTTCCACCCAAGCTCTTCCTGTCAATGCTGCATGGTATTTCACCAGTATCATGTGTATTGTCACTAGCGTCTGCTCTGTTCTGCTCCACTGGGGTCTTCGCTGCTGCTCTCCCTACCTTGACTTCTCATCTATGCACATGAAGGGGAGGAGAGGTGTGCCACCCCCTTTCCACATTCATATATGGAAGGGCAGGGCCATACTGTCAACAACAACACATTGCATGCAAATGAAATTCCCTAAATGAATTAGTAGACTAAATTTCTTAGATACTCCTTTTCTGTTGGTTTAAACTCACCATTTTCACAGAGGTTTCCTGTGAAGCCTTCTTTGCAATCACAGACGCCTGTTTGCTTGTTGCAGGAGCCTCCATTCTCACAGCTAGGGCAAGATGACTGGCACTTCAACCCCCAGAATCCATCAGAGCAGTCTGGGGAGCATCAAGTATCTTTCAGATTAAGTAAGCAGTAAGCCTCTTATGTTAGTTACGTCTCTGTAAAGCCTTAAAGCCACTTATATTTGAATCATTAGAGTGAGAAATGTATTAAAAAGTCAGTAGGCTGCATAGCAGAGGACAAGTTTAAACTGCTCTTAGTTTTAAGAGGGAGGCCACACAACACAAACATCCCAGTGATCCAGTCTGCTAGAACTGGCTAAAACTGTGGGCTCACAGTGTCACTGAGTTCAACCAGGTCCTCTGTTTTAGTCACCTTTCTCATGGCCTGCCACAACATAAACCATGTCCTAAAACTGCTATATAAAGAGTTGTCACAATGGGCATCTGTGGCTCAGTTTGTAGAGTTGGTTGACTCTCAATCAGAAGGTTGGGGGTTTGAAAGCAGGTTCAGCTGTACACATGCTGAAGTGGGCAGCACACTTGACCCCTACTGCCCAGTGGTGTGTGAATGGATCAGTCAAAACTGATGGTGCTTTACCGAGCAGCCTCTGTCATCAGTGCATGGGTGAATGTGACATGTGTAAAAGCACTTTGAGTGGTTAGAAGACAAGAGGAAGTGTTATATAATGGCAGTTTATGGCCACCATTTAGACCAATAAAGGGATGTTCCGGTGTAAAATTAAGTTAGGGTCAAACACACCGTAACACAGATTTAGACGCCCCTTTGAGAGATGAATGTTGCTGACTGCTTACTTCTCTAGTTATAACAACTTTAGTAACAACCGCACAATAGCAATACACAGCAGTCTGAGGAGCCATAAACAAACCTCAACCAAAATGCCACTCTATAGCCACAAATAATGCTCAGAACAGCACATAACTTCATCAACAGTACATATAGGGTCCAAGCCATAGCACTAGCCACCACTAACATCTTTTTAGCTTTGCCTAATTTCTATAGCAGAGAGACTAAACACAACTCACCTACTTTCTTCCAGCAGCAGCTTGTTTGTAGCGAGACCTCAGGCCAGTCTATCATTGACTGAGGCGTGGGGGTGCACCTCAAGCAAGCACATTTAGAGTGGCTTTTTGGTTGAGGTGTGCATGTGGCCACAGAGACTAATGTGTATTGCTATCATGCGGTCGTTACTGAAGTTGGTATAACTAGAGAAGCAAGCGGTTGGCAACATTTATCTCTCGAGGTGATGTCTAACTTTGTGTCACCGTGTGTTTGGCCCCAAACTTAATTTTACACCGGGATATCCCTTTAAATGAAAGAAAGATTCAGAAAAGAAAAAATAGACGCACCTTCCTGACAGGACTGTCCAGTCTTTCCAGCAGGACAGATGCACTGTCCAGTTACAGGATAACACGGAGCTCCTCCACAGTCACAAGTGAGACGACAGCTCTCACCATATCTCAATGATGGACAAGCTATTAATACACACAAACACACATAAGAAATTAAAGAGAAAAATATTACACAACAGTCACAGTGTAACATACACACCCCTCATGAAACACAAGACAGGAATGAACTACTCTGTGAATATGGTTCAAAAAGGAGGACTCCAGAACTGAAACTTTAGAACTGCTCAATTATTTTCTGTTTATTTTTTCAGTCTATGCCAAAAGCCTCTGAGGTAGTTACAGAAGTTAATCGCTCCTCTCATGAGCCGCCCTGCAATCGACTGTAACAAACCCAGCCAACTGAGCCAGGGCCTGGACTTCTTTTCAGTGCTGACGTACTGTAACTCGGCTCTGTTATCTTGCTCAACTCCACAGAGACACACCATTATACTTCTACTAGAGGCTCCTGAACGGCACTCAGCATCATTTCATATCACGAGACACCGGGTTGAACTTTCCATCAACCCACAGAGTAAACAGCCAGAGGACACCCTGCTGCGGTGAAACACTTCTGGTTGAACAGCTTTGCAGTAAAAAAGAACACCTGCTCAGACCAGGCAAATGCAAGAGACACCCAATCCATCAAAAGTAGCAGAGAATAAAAAGTAAAGATTTATTGGTAAAGTGAAAGGGTTTCAACGACGCCAGAAGTCAGAAAGAACATTTCATGTTGACATAGTTAATCAGAAAGGCACAAATTCACATACACATCGAGTATGCAAACAACAACTGCACATGCAGGCACATGTTTGCATGCCCACACATTTCACATGTGTGCTTGCAGAGACTCTTTGTATTGGACTATGATCATTTTTGATCAAAGATACAGCCACATGAGAGTGCTGTGGAGTAAAGCCTTGACTGGAGATAACTATTTAAGGGTCCTTCTTAAAGTACTGGAAGACAAAAACATTATCTCACACATGTTTTGAAAGAAATACTTATTTTTTCCACTTTTCATGTCTTTGAATAATTACAACAAGGCATTGTTGCTACTGCAATGAACAAAAGAGCTTTTCTTGTCTCACCCAGCTGACATTTCTCTCCATGAAGACCTGCAGGACATCGCTGGCTGCACTCTCCAGTCCTGGGGTCACATGACCCTCCACCTGCACAGTCACATGGTTGCTCACAGCCTGCGCCAAAGAAGCCCAGCTCACATTCTGCATTGGGAATATACAGATCCAAAGCAAACAGTCTGGAGCTGAACAGTGTAGCAATAACAAAACTAAACTATGGACTCAACTTAACGAAACGAAAACTTAACTAAGTAAACTAGCCGAACCTGACTAAACTTAACTTAACTAAACCTGACTAAACTTTACTAAACTAAACTTAACTTTACTAAACTTAACTTAACTTAACTTAACTTTACTAAACTTAACTTAACTAAACTTTACTAAACTAAACTAAACTAAACTAACTTAAATCACCCTATCATAACTAACCTAAACTAGCCGAACCTGACTAAACTTAACGTAACTAAACCTGACTAAACTTAAGTAAACTAAACTAAGTTAAACTAAACTAATCTGAACTAAACTGAAATAAACTAAACTAACTTAAATCACCTTATCATAACTAAACTAAACTAAACTAAACTTAACAAAACTTAACTAAACCAAACTAAACTAATCTAAACTAAACTAAGCTAAACTAAACTAAGCTACACTAAACTAAACTAAACAAAACTTAACTAAACTAAACAAAACCAAATAAAACTAAACTTAACTAAACCAATCTTAACTAAACTAATCACACAAAACTAAACTAAACTTAACTTTACTAAACTAAACTATACTATACTAAACTAAACTAAACTAAACTTAACTAAACTAAACAAAACCAAATAAAACCAAACTAAACTAAACTTAACTTAACTAATCTTAACTAAACTAAACCAAACTAAACTAAACTGAATGGAACCAAACTAATCTAAACCTACCTTAACTTAACTTAACTTAACTAAGCTAAACTTAACCAAACTAAACCATACTAAACAGAACTAAACTATACTTAACTGAACTAAACTTAACTTAACCAAAATGAACTAAAGTAAAATGAACTAAACTTAACTAAACATTTATTTTGGATATCTGCATGGTTCCAAGTTCATTCTTCACTTAGACCATAGCGCTACAGCTGCAGCAGGCAAGATAACCAAATATAAGAGTCACTGTTATGACCTGAAATGATCTATATTTTGTATTCATGCACTGCTTCAGCTTTTATTTGAAGGGTCTCACGCGCCAAGTGAGTTATCCTATTTGGATGTACTAATACCTTTCTCACACTGTGGTCCTTGGTATGCAGCCTTACAGAAACAGCTCCCAGTCTTGGGGTCACAGCCAGTGGAATGTTCTTGAACACAGTCACATTCCTTGGAGCAGCCGGCACCATGCGTCCACCTGGGACACGCTGAGGGGCGGATGAAATCAGTTTGAAAACAGAGCACAAGTCAGACCGACATATACGCTAAGATGAATGGTTTCAGTATGTTTGAATGATTCTTACCCATAAATGGATTGCACTCATAAACTAGGTATAACTTGGATGGGTAGGATGCATAACCTTCAGAATAACTTCGCTCATGAAACTCTGGATAAGTTTATTTTGAAAGTCAAGAAAAGAAAACAAGAAAGCTTTGCACTTGTTGTTTCTGAAAATGTAGGTGGTCAAACCTAATTAGAGGAAAAATGTTGGAATGAAATCCTCTCTACACACTCAGGTTACATTTTAATATAAGCAAACAGACACACCTGAAAATCACATTAGCAAAAAGTCAGACTTCTTTAAGTTAAGGTTCACTTAATTTAAAGACCACTAAAAACCGAGTTGCATTATTCGTCTCTACTGCAGTATGATAATGAAGATTATTTAAGAACCAGCTGGTCATTCAGGAAAGAGATTTCCGGCAGTCCTTGTTATGTTGGCTCTGGTTTCTCTACTCTTTATCACATTAACAGGAGCTTTTAACAAAAACAAGCCGTGTGATTTCTAGGACTTTTAAACTGAAACGCAGCCACATCCTCACTTAACGTTCAGAACAATTAATTGACGAGTTTTTTTTTGCCAAGTCTGTCTCTTCACAGCAACAAAAAACTGAACTCCACTCCACCCTGTCCCTCTTCACATTGGCTTTATGTTAGGTGCAGCTGCAGACTCTGGTTACACCCTCTCCACCCTTAATGTCCCGCTGCAGTAAGGAGCAGACAGCTGTGAGAAACTGATAATATTCCTCGTGCATGTTCTTCCATCATTCTGTTTTGGTGTTAGAGGAGTGAGACGCTTCTTTACTGTGAAATCAAGAGGAGGAAATCCACCGACATGTCAATACGGAGGTTCAGGAGCAACCCTAAAACACTGGGGGATGTAAATATGGTGACAGAGGAGCTGAGGAATCTTTATTATAAGAGGCTGCTGCCCATAGAGAAATATTATTCCTTCCATCACTTCCATTCTCCAAGCTATGAGGATGCTGACTTTGACAACAAACCAATGGTGCTGGTGATGGGTCAGTACTCAACAGGAAAGACAACTTTTATACGGTAGGAAAAAGATCTTAAACTTTGCATGCCTCTTTAAAAATGTCAAAAAAGTGCATGTATTTTACATTCATCTATTAGGGATAACAATAATGGTGATGGCTGTGATTTCTTTTGGTTTAAGGTATCTGATAGAACAAGATTTTCCTGGTAGCAGAGTCGGACCAGAGCCAACAACAGACTGCTTCACTGCGCTCATGTATGGAGAGACAGAAGGGATCATCCCCGGCAATGCTCTGACAGTGGATCCAAAAAAGCCCTTTCGCAACCTTGATCCTTTTGGAAATGCTTTTCTCAACAGGTAAAAGGAATCAAGAGATAAAATAGGAGCAGAAATGATTAATTTCATGTTTACCTATGAGTAGACTAGACGAGTCTAACATGAAGTTATGGAAATATTTACTCTAAACTAAGGATTTTGAGAGTCTTGTTTTATGTTGATGCATGCTTTCTGCAGGTTCCAGTGTGCTCAGATGCCCAACAAAGTCCTTGAGAGTATCAGCATCATCGACACGCCTGGTATTTTAACAGCCGCTAAAAGAAAGCTGAGTCGAGGTCAGTCAGAAAACTGTTTATTTCTTTTTCTAGAAGCTGTTTTTGTTTGTAGTTCTCAGTAGGATTTAGTTTTCTGCTTGAAAAAGAGGGAATGTGATACTTTAGCGCAACATATTAAAAGTTTCTTCGACAGAAGCCTACCAGCTGAAAGTAATATCACAGTGAGCTGGGGAGGAGGCAGACGTTTAGGAACTGAGCAGTCTCTCCTTTGTTTTAGGGACACATTAATCTATGGGTGTAACTCAAATGGCTCCAAATCTAGGGAGGACCACTGGGATACATTATATGTTCTCTCACCAGTCAGGCAGATAGGCTCGCCCCATTTCATACAGTGTTAATGAAAACCCTGTGTTTTCTTCCTTCTCCTCAGGCTATGACTTCCCAGCAGTGCTGCGCTGGTTCGCAGAGCGTGTGGACCGGATCATCCTGCTGTTTGATGCACATAAACTAGAGTTCTCTGATGAGCTCACTCGGGCCTTTGGGGCTCTTCTTGGCTACGAGGACAAGTTGCGTGTGGTTCTCAACAAGGCTGACAGGGTCGACTCGCAGCAGCTGATGAGAGTATACGGCGCCCTCATGTGGTCGCTAGGGAAAGTGTTTCGAACCCCAGAGATCTTGAGGGTTTACATTGGATCTTTCTGGTCGGAGCCGAGGCAGGTGTGCGACCATTATCAGCTGATTGAGCTGGAGGAGGAGGATCTGTTGACTGACATCAGGAACCTGCCGCGCAACGCTGCTATACGAAAGCTGAACGACCTGGTGAAGAGGGCGCGCTTAGTGAGGGTAAGATAACACGAAAATTAAATTTTACTGAGAATATATAGAAACAGAGATGTCCATGTAGATTCTCATTCATCTAGGTCATGGTTTTCTTGAAGACTCCAAAAACAGGCAACTGGACTGTGTAGAGAAACGTCTTCTCAACTCTACACAGTCCAGTTGCCTGTTTTTGGAGTCTTCAAGAGAAACAGAGATGCCGTTATGAGATCTTAGGTTTCATTTGTGCTTTTCTCTCTCCTAGGCTCATGCTCACATCATCAGCTACCTGAAACAGGAGATGCCGACAATTTTTTGCAAGGAAAGTAAGAAGCACAATCTGATTTACCAGCTTCCTGTAATTTTCACCAAGATCCAGCAACAGCAGCGAGTCCCTGCAGGAGACTTCCCCGATTGCACCAAGATGCAGGTCAAACATAATTTCTTAAATACTAAATCTATGAGTTATCAACCTTTATGCTTTCTGTGAACCTTATATGCAATTCCTTATTTTTCAGGAGAAACTTTTAGGTCAGGATTTCTCAAAGTTCAAGACACTGAAGCCGAGTCTCATGGCTTCCTTGGATAAACTGCTGTCCACTGACATAGCAAACCTGGTACCTCTACTCCAGCAGCAAGAACTGAGGAAGAAATCCCTCCATGGCATTTTAGACGGTGAATTCTTGGGTACATTCAGGCGTGACCATCACAAGAGAGACCCTTTCAAGGAATTCAGGGATGACGAGAGCAGTGAGGCAGATTTTGATGACTGGGTGGTGGAGAAATATAAGCCCAAATATGATGAGATTTTCTACAACCTCAGTCCAAACGAGGGTAAACTGAGTGGAACTAAAGTCAAAGAGTGGATGACGAGCACGCTGCTGCCCAACTCTGTGCTTGCTCACATCTGGAGGCTGTCAGATGTGGACGGTGATGGCATGCTGGATAATGAAGAGTTTGCTTTGGCAGTCCACCTTATTGAGGGGAAACTGGAGGGTTACTGGCTCCCTCGGGAGCTGCCGTCTCACCTGGTGCCTCCATCGAAACGGCCAAGTACAGCCAGTGATGACGAGTAAGGATGTGGAAAGCTGTGGCTTTCTGTACATAACTTGTGCATAGTTTCTAAATGTAAATTAATCTGATGTGCACTTCACCTTTTTGGATAATCTAGATACCTCTAGTATCACCGCATGGTAATGTAGACCTTGTAAAAATGTTGACTTGTTGATCTATAGGAGGTCAGGAATGGTTTTTACTTGAGTGTTGTTTTGTCGTTGTTAAATACAGTACACCCTTGTGTTTTTATCCAAAGAGCACATCAAACTAACCTCTTTTAGGGTAGAAACAGCTCCAATCTTTAAACTGTGATAGGGTTTTTGTCATCTACATAAGTAAATGTTCAACGCTTGTTCATAAAACTGAGATGGTGTTATCCATGTAAATGTTGTTCGTTATGATACAGAATTCCTTAACGCTTATCGTCACTCTCAGAGTTAGTTAAGAGAGTGGCGATCTTTGGTGGGAGGAGCTTCGCAAGAGTGTCGATAAAAATCCTTTTTATCATGTTAGCCAGTATTAGACAGTAAGATGACTTTGGCTTTAGGGCCACAAGAAGAGAGAAAAATCGTTTCAGGAAAGAGATTTTTAAAATTTCCATTTTGGGATTAAAGTCGAAATTTTGAGATTAAAGTAAAAAATTTTAAAAAGTCGAAAAGAAAAAAAAAAAATCTAAATTTCGAGATTAATGATGAAAGTTCAAGATACAAAAAATCAAAAGTATGTGAATAAAGTCAAATTTTCAACTTCGATCTCAAAATTTTAATTTTTTTACATTTATAATTTTTACACATTTCATAACAGTTCGAAATGTTGTAATCTCCAGATTTTGACTTTAATCTCGAAATTTCAATTTTTAATCTACAAATTTCGTCTTTATTGACATAATTGCGATTTTTTTAATCTTGAAATTTTGACCTAAATAATGAAATTTTGACTTTAATCTCCTTCCTGTAAGTAATTCTTTTTTCTCTTTGTGTGGCCCAGATCCTCTTTCGTAGATCTCTCACTGTTCTGGAGTGCTAAGAGTGCTCAATAAATTTACACTGATGAAAGGGACTAGTTAGCTCAGTTAGAAGTGATTTGGCTGATTACTGATAGACAAAGCAATTGAGTATATATTCAAGACCATCTGAGGGCGTATAAGTCTATAGATGCATTATTGATTATTAGGAGGACAACAAGTAAGCAGTTTCATTTTGGTAGTGAAACTAACATTAGCAAAGAGTTTCCCATTACAGAGTCTTAATTCCTCCTAAATGTCTATTTCGATGGTAATGAAAACCTTTAATTTACAAAATGTCATATATCCATACAACAGTTAACTGTTGTATGCTGCTTACAAGAGCATTTTTAATTATCCCCGACCAGTCCTTTCATTGTGTTTATCATGGTTAACTAAAATTAGTGGTGGCTGGTATAGCAAGGGACTTCAGTTTTGAGACAGTACTATTTCTTCTTCTATCCTGACAGCCAACAACAGAAGACTGTGACATTTTAGGACACCTTTGTTGCCTATCCTGTGGTTGTCATTCATGTTTGCCTACAGTTTTGTGTCTTTTTGCCTCTGTCCAATACTGTGACATTACCTTGTTATTAAGTTCAAAGGTCTTAATTGTATTGTATCATATACAGCTCATATAATGGCATTATAATATATTTTCTCTCTGTGCTATTAAACTTGCAACTTAAAAACGGATTGTTTGTAACAGTGTAATCATCAACATAATCATTCTTCAACGATGTTATGCTTTAAAGTCAGTTTTTTACTCACGCAGGTGGCAGAAGCGTCCATATAGTCCAGGAGAGCAGAGGCAGCCTCCATAAAGTCGGTGACATTGTCCATTGTTGGGACAGTTACACTTTCTTCCGCAAAATCGTCCAAAATAACCTCTTGGACAACCTGTCAACATGAATGAATCCACTTAAGATGTAATGTCCCATTTCTATCGAGTGAATCAGTTAAACAAAATCACAGTTTAAGGGGACAGTGCCTGTTTAAAAAGTATGTCCCAACCCTTTATACTACTTGATCAAGATTCACATCAGCAGTAACAAGATAAATCTGGAAGGTCATACAAAGATAGCCAAGAAAAAAATAAGAATAAATTAATTTATTTGGTCTTGTTTTCTTCAATGCTGTAGCTGGATACTGCTTCATGTCAGTTGGCCATACAACACCAAAAACAATGTCTCTAGTCCCATTATGGTGGATCTATAAATGAGTGTACAAACCATCCTCGCAGAGCAGGCCCTGTACCCCTGGGGGGCACAAGCACTTTCCAGTCACAGGGTCGCACGAGCCTCCATTCTGACAACGACACAGGCTGTTACAGGCATGACCGTAGGTCCCTTGTGAGCAGGCTGGAGAGGGAAAACAAGAGGGAATCATGGGCCAAGTATTGGCACCTAAATGATGGCTCATATATTAGAAATGTCGCAGTTTGATGCTAAACACACAGACTTTACTAAGAGCAGGTTATGCTTGCTGGCGTAGATGTCAGCACTTCCACCTTCGACCCCCTCTCTCCCCATGTGTGCACCCTCATAACACTTTAAATCTCTCTGGCTTTGTTAGCAGATACAGCATGAACAAGCTGACTGTTTTAGATTTGATGAATTGTTAAAACTCATCAAGTTTATGTCTGTGTGAATTTCATGTCACACTTTTATTTTCTACAGAGGCTTCATTCAGCCTAAAATACTCGAACAAGGTCAGAAACTTTCAACATTAAAATAATAAGTGGGGATGTCACTCGCAACAAAGAAATCTGTGCATCTTAGATAGTTGATGAAAAGAGCTTTGGACGGGGTTTATGGGAAATTGATTGTGTTTGGAACCATGAAGTTAGTTGTTGTTGGAGCCACATGCAAAACCCAAAAGCTATTGGCATAAAGTTCTTGTGTTTCCACCACATTTATGTAAAACGCTGACAGAGTTTCAGTTTGACTTATTTCTCAACCAAATGATTCTGTGTTGGAGCAGAATTAGGAAATAAACCATGTTTGCACGGATAAAATAATATTTCTTTACCAGAGTTTGAATTAAAAAAAAAAAAAAACAATATAAAAAAAATACAATGACTGAGAAAAATCCCAATAATCTTGTTTTTTCTTAATTATATTAATCACTGGCAGCATACAAACAGTAGAAAAGTAAACAGGTTCAGATTCATTAATTAAAACTGTGATCAGGTTGTTAATCACTAAAGTAAAACTAAGTGAAGTTGAGAAATACTTGACTCTTCCAAAGGCATGAATCAATACTGCTCTTGCCCTTTTATACCATTAGATTTAGCCTCCTTTATTAATTCTTATAAATGCTCTCTAGGCAGTAATTTGGCTCGTTTCCTCCATCCTAAAAAATGTAGCCCATGTCCAGACCATCACCTCCAGGGTGTGTATCTAAAGACTGCTACCTCAGGAGCGTGTTTCTACCAGTTACAGATTGCTCCTAATGGACTCATCCCACGTGGCTCTCCTCTTATGATTACCGGCCTGACTCAGGTTCAGACCAAAGACAGCCATTAATCATGGAGCAGGATAGGAACAATGGAGCCTTGCTTCCTAACCCAGTAGTGGACATCCTTGGCCTCGGGCTGTGCTCTTGCTGGGGGCCCTGGCCTGGCTCCAGCAGCAGACAGATTGATTCCCCCCGGTGCTCCTGTGTTCTGGAGACCATAAACAAGCCAGCCTCCCACGCAGAGGGGCAGACAGGTTTTGATACATGGCTCTAGATCGATGCACACGGGGACCTATCTCTGCTTTCTCTTAAACTGAAATACATTGCAAAAGGTAGACCAAACAGACCAAGAGGAGGATGTTCATTTTGGGAAAAGACTTGTGTGGACAGTATGTATGTGAGCAGGTAACACAACAAAGAGACTCTCTAATGCCTGAGAGCTGTACTCAGTCTTACCTAAAGAAAGATGAGAATATAGCGAGGCCATTTTTCATGTAGCATCCCCATAGTAAACATAGTCACAGCAATACCCAGTAAATTTACACTATAAATAATGGGAAGCAGGTAGCTCTGCTTCTAAAGCTCAGTCACAAATTATATCTTGCAAATTCAAAGCTATTGTGCAAAGTTCCTGATAGGTTATGAGGCAGGCTAAAACGATCAGTGTTGTGTTATTCCATCCATCCATTTTCTACCGTTCATTCCCGTTAGAGGCTGGAGCCTATCCCAGCATCTTCGGGCGAAGGCAGGGGACACCCTGGACAAGTCGCCAGTATATCGCAGGGCTGACATATAGAGACGAACAACCATCCACACTCACATTCACACCTGCGGGCAATTTAGAAGTGACCAATTAACCTAACCCCACTTCTGCATGTTTTGGGGATGTGGGAGGAAACCGGAGTACCTGGAGTTAACCCACGCAGACACAGGGAGAACATGCAAACTCCACACAGAAACGCTCTGAGCCGGATTGGAACCCAGGACCATTTTGTGCTGTAAGGTGACAGCGCTAACCACTACACCACTGTGCCGTCCTGTTGTGTTATTATGACCCTCAAATGCATATGAAACTATTTGTAATAGCTGCTGTTAGGGGGTAAGTGCACCGAAGAAACAGCCATTGTTAAGATTTACAAATTAATATTTAGTGACTTGTGACTTGTAAATTTCAGCATTAAAAAAAATTATTGTATGTTGTAGGGTTTTTCTATTGCGTGGGTTCCTTATAACAAATGAAATTGGCCTTCAATTTGGAGGCCTTGTTTTTAAGTGAGCTTTTTTTTAAATTTTTATTTATTTTTTCATTCCATGTGTTTATGTTCTGTGCTTTACCAATGTTTGTCAAAGCACTTTCTGTTTTTAAAAGTGCTATAAAAAATAAAGATATTTTTTTTATTATAAATTTCAATTTTTTTGTCAGTCAGCATCACTTAGACCAGAATAAGAAAAGCTATGGTGACTTAATCCTTATAAATCCATGACCTCAGTCAAAAATCACACCTGCTTCATCATGTGAAAATAAATAAACATTTTAACCATTGTCAAAATGCTCATATGGATTGCTACAAGAAATCCTGCAGGAAATGTCATTTTAGGTATGAGGGTGCCTACAGAAAACTCATTCTTTGTGGATTTTTCCTTTAAGTTGCTCAGGTGAGGTCAGCTAGCGTACCACTTGTTAAGAATGTGTGTTGTCAAGCAAAGACATTTATGCATTGCACAGATGTAACTGCAGAACATCCTGATCACTATACTCACTCTCATTGCAGATGATGCCAGTCCATCCAGGCGAGCATTCACATTTGTCTTTGTTTTGACTACACTCCCCATTCATACAGTCTTCACAGCTCACACTGCAGTCATCTCCAAATGAGCCATCGAAGCACACTGCAAAAGAAATCATCAAAAACTGGTTAAACGTCTTTTCTCCAGTAAAGATCCTCTTGATTTAAATCGCTCATACATCTCAGTGTCATCACTACCTATGTTGCTGCTCACTCTCAGCTCTCCTCGACGCTCCCTCTGGATCTCTAATTCTGTATCCCTGTCACCGCCTTTACTACCACCACCATCATCATCATCATCAGTGTCATCACGGTAGTGCAAGGCTGCTGTGTACTGCAGGAGCTGTGGTGAATTGCGGAAGAGCAGGTCTGGTAATCTGTGGACCTCCAGCTGCTCATCATCTTCTTCTTCCTCATCATCTTCTTCCTCCAGTTCTCTTCCATACAGAGCTGAAAAGAAACACAGTTTAAGAGTCCCATAGTTTCGGATGGATGTATACGTTTCGTTTTATGTTACTTCTGTTAATGGCAAAGCTCTGAAATAAATGTCACTCACAGATACAGGAGTGCTGGTCCTGATCCAAGCGGTAGCCCATTCGACAAAAGCACTCATATGTTCCGAGAGTGTTGACGCAGTAATGTTCACAGCCCGAGCTCTCATCTAGGCACTCATCAACATCTAGCAGAAGAAACAACGTGAAAGGTTGCAATGGTGCTGAACATCACTTCAGTTTCATCTTGCTTTATCAGTTTAACTTTTTTTTTTTTCTCTGTGCCGAAAAGGCCTTCTTAACTTTTATTTTCCAAACAATTTGCAGATTATTTGTGCATCTGGAATTTGCATGCACAACCGGCCCACAACACAGACTTAAGAAACAAACCACTACTCTTACCATCACAGCCACAGCCATCTGGGTTCGGTCTATAACCAGCTCTGCAGCTGCACTCGTAGCCACCCGGGTAGTTTTTACAGAAATGACTGCAGCAGGCCTCCCCGCTGACACACTCATCACTATCTGAGAAGGGTATACAGTAGTAGGGTTTGATGAAAATGAAAGAAAAAGGAATCAAGTAAAAACAAAACAAGGACCTTTCATCATAGAGAGACAGTCTTACCTACACAGGTCTTCCTGTCCCGCTTCAGATGGTAGCCGCTGTTGCAGGAGCAGAGCGGACCGTTGGTGGTGTGCTCGCAGTGATGAGAGCAACCTCCATTGTTCTTCTCACAGCTGTTGACAATCTCCATCTCGATGCCTGGAGAAAAGAGGACCCAAACCACAATGAAAGCGCACGACTGAGGCTGAAACGTGAGGACAATGTTATGGGGATTTCATCAGGATTATTTTGGTTCGCTCCAGTCTCATAATTACAAGCTACAGATGATGAGAGGAAAAGACCCAATCATGACCACAGATACTGTTTACAGTCAAACGGTAATAGAAAGCTTGGACCATGTGTATTCACAAACAGAGCTAATGTGGCTGCCATGATATAAGTGTGGACATTTTTCTTTTTATTTTGTGACATGTCTCATCTCATCTCATTTCATCTGCTTCCTCAGATCGGCTGATGTTTAGAAGAAAAGGAACATTCTTGCACTACAAGCAAACAATGTGCAAAGTGAACATTTCTGTCAAAACTTTATCTTTCTTTCTTTTGCAGTTATAAAGCAAATTATTTTTTCAGAAAGTCAAAAAAATTGATCTGCTGGCCTGGAAATGAAACAAATCTTGAATCATGTTTTTGATTTTCTCAAACTGTTGCAAGAAAGGGGGATTACAAAAATCAATTTCATATGGCATGGGTAGGTACAAAGGAAGGCATTATTGTACACGATGATAGCTGCTAATGTGGGGGTTTCAAATCTGCAAATATGACTATTATTTAGATGGCAGTTACAGGACACCAAAATATTAAATGTCTGTGTTTTCTGTGGAACCAACCATGCCATAAAAGTTGGACCGAAGAGCTAAATACCTAGAGGGCTTTAGTCTACAGATTTTGTTTCTCTTTGTGGTTGTTAGGTCCAGACGCACTGTGGTTTTGAAATTCAAGAAGGAACTGTTTGCTTTTGTTTGCAGGCATATGTGATGACAGGCAATGACTCTAAAGCAGGATAATTTTCAGTAAAAGGGACACGAGCGTAAGTCAAGCTGACTGAGGTTTTGCACAGAATTCTTCATTAGAAATCCTTCACCGAGTGCAACAGGTTACCGGACAAAACGATTAAGCCGCAGCTAAACAGCAATGTCAGGGAGTGAGATTTTTAGCTAAGTCTTGTGGGTTTCTCTTTTTAAAACTGCAAATATGAGGTCTTGTTGGATCTATTATTGTCACAAAGAACAATTTCAATATTTGCTTTAAAAATTTGTAATTGTTTGACGTATTCTGCTTTACTTACGGTAGCACTGCTTGCCATCTGCACCTAGCTCAAAGCCGGGTTGACACACACATTTGAAGGAGCCCGGCATGTTGACGCACCCGTGGGAACACTTGGCATGGCCTGAGTTGCACTCATCAATGTCTGGACAGATAGTACGAACACGTGAAAAGAAAGGTAAAAACATCATGATGGAAAAAAAGTTTTATAAGAGATTGTTTCTTGTTTTTACAAAGTGAGTAAGTATTAGAAAACAAGAATAAATCTTTTGGTTATTTTAAGAAATGTTGCAAATGGGTAACAGTTTATGTTCTCCTGTCACTTCAATTAAAATTAAGTAACTCTACATTCCTCAGGTTGTTGAGGCTCAGAAAGGGACTGGGGTAAAAGGAGATTTAACAAATCCTTTGTTTCTGCCACAAGAGGTTAATGAACCAAACAGAGAGGCAGTCTGTCTGCTATATGAGTGTTACAAAACTCGCTTCCCACATAGTCTAAAAAAAAAAACGGCATTTGCACAGATTCCAAGCAGAATTTAGCTAATACTTCCTCCTGCAGGAAGACTCGGTCAGGTGTCAGATTTCTTTGGCTGCTCTTTTTCTCCAGTCCGAGCAGAATAAGAATTGTTGGTAAGTTCGTTTGAGTGAATATTTCCAACATCATCCTCTTGATTCAGTTATGCTTTGGACTTAAAAGATTTAATGAGGCTATTACTCAGCAAATTCTAACTGGCATGTCTGCTTTTGTGTCTTGTGTTTTGCATGTGTATCACCTTCACAACTTTTGCCATCTTCAGCCAGCGTAAAACCAGGTCTGCAGCTGCACTGAACCCGACCTCCTTCTTCTGAGAGGCACAGCTGGGAGCAGCCTCCATTCCTCTCCTCACAGGGGTCCCTTACTGACGCGCACAAACACAGAAACAGGATGACACACACAAACACAATTACACATGAGCAAAAAAAAAAAAAAGACGCCAGGTCAGCCCAGCAGGAGACTTTTTTCTAGTTAATTCAAGCTCACAGGCAGCATGCATAACTCTATGCTGACCTCTAAGTTTGACATATGCCTGTGCAGCCTCTAGAGATATTGAAATTCCTACTCTTCACTCTGCTGTAAATGTTTCCAAAAGTGCTTCTCCAGTTCATTTCCTCTCTGGTGGACTTTTTTTCCCCCCTCGCAGTCCAGCGGCGGCCACAAACATTTTTATTTGCACAAATTTGGTCCAGCTTGCACCTCGCTCACATCAAAAAGATAACATACCCTGGCAATTTAAGAACATTTGTGGGAAAATAAAGAAAGACTTACATTTGCAGTGTCTCCCGTCTCTCTTCAGCTGGTAGTTCTTCCGACATTCACATTTGTAGTGATTGTTCCCCAAGTCCACACACTTATGCTCGCATCCACCATTAAGTACCGAGCAAGAGTTCACAGCTTAAGGAGAAATGAGAGAAATCGTAAATGAAACGTTGAGGGCTTTTGCTCATATTATCAGACTTATTGGAGTTAAAAACAGAACTCACACAGCAGAGCAAATGTAATTGTATTGGTTGGCGATCTAATACCGCAAACTCTCACACCTCAGACTCTGGAAAACACAGGAGTAAAGGCTGGAAACTGGAGAATCATATCCAAGCTGGGTACCCCTGGTTACTGTCTAATGATCTTTCCATCCCATTACTCCCGTGATTTAATGAAGTGCCAAATATGAATATCAGCCGTGTGCCTTCTGGGTGCTCTAAACACAGACATGATGACACAGGCGAGCTGTAAAACCGAAGGAACAACTGGTGTTACAGGCTAATGACTTTAACAGACACAATTAGCAATCCCTCTGCCTCCATTCTTATCCTTTAACACCGAGCTGCGGTCGAACGATCGGAGCGCTATGAGTGAAAAATAACACCAAAAGCAACAGAGGAGGACTGATTTTCAGCAAGTCGCAAAGTCTCTCATTACCTACAGATTTTATGGTGCTAAAATAGGACAAAGTACTTTACCATCTTATATTACTCCTTGCAAATCATGTTAATATTTCCCTCTTGACGCTGGGATTTATCATGGCAGCTCAGCACTTCTTTTTTAAATGTTATAGCAATAATTTAAACAGAAAAGACTGAGAGTTTCCTCCTGGCATTAGCAAAAACTAGACACGGGTGACACCCTGCGTTGAAAGTTGTAGATCTAATACTTCAATGTGATGTTATCATTTGGATCTGGAGGATAATAATGAGTCTAAAAAAGTCAGAGCTGAAATTTTAAAGGCAAAATTGGTTAAATTGGTGGTATTGTGTTCTTTTCAGGCTTGAAACTGACCCTCAAATCTGTAAATACCTACTTGGTAGCTTTACATGAACTACAGCCTGGTGTCTTTAAAAACCCTCATTTTGTCTTTTCTGTCTCTTTAACCCTTGTTTTCATTTGAAAGAACAGATCACGAAACATGGATTTATGTTTTTGAATGGAATCTGATCCGGAAAGTCTGGGAAGAAAACAAAAGAGAAACCCCCCGACAAATCTCAGAGTAGGATGTTTCTGTTTGAGGGGTACAGTGCTCTTTTGATGAGGTTTGCCAATCCATGACATCAGGAATTGTGCATCCCAGAGCAGCCTTTGGTCTCAGTTCTGTCATTGACCTTACAATATAAAACTTTGCCTACATTTCACGTTGACATCTAATGTTTAAAATTCTGTTTTTCAAAAAGAAAGCAGAAACTCATCCAGCTACTATCTTTCCGCAAATGGAAGAGATTTAATTCTTAGATGCTTGCGTTTACTACTTACCAATGCAGGTCCGTCCATCAGTGTGCATGCGGAAGCCTTCACTGCACTCACAGTGAAACGAGCCCAGTGTGTTGACACATGTTTGCTGGCATCCTCCATTGAGCTCCTCACACTCATTGACATCTAAACACACACAAATAAAACATTTAACATTTTATGTATGCATAAAATTCATTCATGTCACTTGAACAGGGTTTAAAAATTGGAGCTCTGCTTAATGATGACAGACTAAGAGCTTTGGTCAACTGTAGAAACCATCAAAGTTTAAATGACAGGGGGCTTAAAATGAGCTGCTTTTGGAGAAAGACATTTATTACAGCCCTTATACAATCTGACATCCAACTTTTTGGTGGTCCAATCAAACATCCCATCTGCTCAAAATGGAAAATGACAAGCATGTTTTTGGTATTACTGAATTATTTTGACTTCACCATTTCACATTTCTTTCATAGACGGAAAATGCAGAGATCTCATCTAACTTTTTTCTTCTTCTGAAAGCGACACAACCACCATCTGCATCAGCTGCACAGTATCACACTGCTGTGGTCTGCCTCTCCTCAGAAGAGGAAGAAGAAGAGTGTAAAGTCTGATGTCTTCCAGGTGAATGATGGATGGCTCGCCGCACTGCTTGTGCAGTAGCATGCATGCGATCGATTAATTTTCCTGCAGAAGAGAACTGCATATGGCTGCACGTGTGTCAGACTGAAGCTCATGTTCCACAGAGACAGCAGCAACAACATACCTGAACATTCAACCCAAGGACGACCGGGTTCGACAAAACATCTGGACAACACATCACACTTCCTCTTTACCTCCTCCCTGTCATCCCTGGCTCTCAAGAGCTGTATCAGCCTTTTCAGTGATGAAAGAGTGGACATGTGCATGGAGGGGACAAAAATGTTGCTGTTTTATTTATTTTCAAGCAAGAAAAATATATTTTTTTTCATCCCGGACTCAGATTAAAATGATCTGTAATCATTTACAATCATAGGGGCAGGTACAGAGATCTGCACAAATACTGAAAGAAATTATCAGCACTCGCACGCCTGTGAATAATCACATATTCATGAAGCTCCTTATTATTCTGCACTCCTTTGTGTTTTAACACATTGGTAGCTATTGTGGAGGAAGCCAAACATGCTAAACAATTCACACAGGGGGAGGTTTGCCAAGGTTAATATACTTATTGGTCTCCTCATGTGAGAGGATTTCAATGGGATACACACAATAGCTGCTTTTCACTGGTTAGCGGGGTGGTGTGTGCGGCAGCAGCAGCGGCGGTGGTGTCAGAGGTCGAGGGGTATGAGCTCTGAATGGTGTTGTGTGACACCGTCTGGCTCAAAGCGGAGTTGCTGAGCTGGCATCTTTGAGCGGACAATGTAGAGGACTGAACATTTGGAGGCGCTGCTTTGGTGGTGGACAGAAACAAACAGGTGGTCCTTAGAATGAGCTCCACAGGAACTGAATTTATCACGACAAAAGGGGGACTCTGGTGTGAGAGTGAAAATTTGGTGTTATCTTCTATACTAGTATTTATTGTACATGTTGCTTCAGTGATTAATCTGAGTAGCATTTGCAAGTTATTCAAGTTTATTCATACATATTTTATGGATTTATCTGTAGAAAAAGAAAGAAAATATTCAAGACCTTCACAGCTGTAAAAGCAGCTCAGACTCAGACTTTATATTGTTAGTGGGTGACAAAATCCTGTCTCATAGGTCAAAGGTCAGGGGCATGTGTTCACACCTGTAACTGTTAGGGACAAATGGCCAAACACTTTCCTGGAAATGTCTGATGAGTTGGCTGAACTGAGACAGCGCTCTGACTGAGAGGATAAAGCTGTCTGGTGATTGGTTGGTCTTCAGAATGTGGAGCTGAAGCTTCGTCCAAATTTAATCCAGTTTAAAAACAAGTGTAAGACAAGTGTATAGAGAGGAAAAGCTTTGAAAATCCTGAGGAGTTTGTTTGAATTCATGTGCTAACAGAGTAAAGAACTGTCTTTCTGTATGAATGTATATGGGTATTAAAACATGTTCATAGTTTTGGACATGAAAAGATTGTTAATTAAAGTAGATTAAATTATGTTGGTAGAAATACTATGATGACAATTACCAAGCTGGTAAAAACATAATATTCTCAGGATTTTTAGAGGGTTGTTGATAGTAATTACCTGCCAAATAAAGAAGATTAAATAAGTTTACACTTCTTCCTTCTCCTTTTCACTGAGTAAATTGAAATATTTCAGCATTTACTGATGGATGTCTTCTTTCTTTTTCTTTATATCATCTATCTAACCACTGCTTTGTCCTTTTATTAGTCATATTCAAAATAAAGCCATCAGTCAATCTTGTTACCCAGTCACCTACAATAACCACATGAGCCTGCAATGTAATGTTCTCTTTAGCTGTCAGTGTGTTTGAGTCAATTTCCTGTTTTATTTTGTAATCCTATTGCTTTTGGTTGATGTCTACCTTACTTCCTGTCTTTGTTCTCTTCCTGCCTTTTAATCACTCACCTGTACCTGATATGTAATCACCCTCACCTGAGTATATAAGCCATGTGTTTTCACCAGCCCTCTGCCAGATTACCTTTGTCTCTTAGTGTGTCCATCCTGTTCAAGCCTTTTTGGAGCCAGTTTATGTTTGCCTATTTTTGTTGGACTTTGAAGACTTTTGGATGCTAGTTTTTCTCAAGTAAAGAACTTTGACTTGGGCATTTTTTTTTTGTCTTTGGTCTTTTCTCTGCATCTGAGTCTATTTTCTGAAACGTGTCATGCAAAATGTGTAGAACTAAAAATACAATTATATGGGGGACTTACTTTTTATACTGCCCAAGCACTTAATCTCTTTTTAAATTTAAGAGGAGGAAGTGATCAAACGTTTACTATGAAAACCTGCGACCATTCAAATCAACATTGAGAGATTTGTGAGTTTCCTTATTTTTCTACCCAATAAAAGATGCAGAATAGAATGATGATTAATGGATTTTATTTGAAACACTGAATCCCAAATCACTACTGGCATGTGTGTGGGTGGGATAAGATAACACTGATGGCACCCCATCTGCTGCAATGTGTTTTTGTGCGAACTACAGTTCCTCCAAGACAAGACAAGACCCCAACATGAAGCAACATCGTCACTATGCCAACAGGAGGAGGTGAAAACTAACAGTACACTAGAACTTCTCTCTGCAGAGTAAGTCCATATGTGTAACATATGTGACCAGATTGTCTCTAGTTTTACATTTGCTATTCAGAATTTACAATTACTGTTCGGTCCCAAATCTGTAACTAATACACATGAGGGATTTTTAAAGAAGTCAGGTATAACAGCCTCTGAATATGTATAAAAAGTGGGGATTGTAACGTAATGCTGTTTGAAATTCACATATAAGTTCATTTCAGTTTCTAAAGCATGCATGTATTTTTTGTATATATATTTTTTTACATTTTTACATTATAGGTATATTTAACACAAATTAATTTTCTTCAAGCATTAATCAAAATCTTTAAACGGGACAAGAAGCTAAAAAAAAACAACAGGCAGACAGGCTACTACACTGTGTCTGTGTATGTGCTTTACAGCTGCATCCAGATGTCCAGCTTACCTTGACATGCTTTACCATCTGGCCCCAGTTTACTGCCTCCAGGACACTTGCAGTAGTAGCTTCCGATAGTGTTGCAGCAGAACCCCTCACAGCCACCGTTACCTGCTTCACATTCGTTAATGTCTGAAAGAAAAAGATTTAAAAAGGCTGATTTTACTGACATAAAGCACAGCCAACAAAGGTTTCCAGCTTTCAGCTTTCTTAGGAATTCCTTGGTATGTTTTCTTTTTCTTTTCCTCTCAACACTTCATTGTATCAGTTTTTATTTTCACTTATCGCCATGTAGAAATGTACAGTGACCCCCTGTGCTGCTTTACTACTTCATAAAACACATGTCAGCACTTGAACTGTCATTTGAAGGAATCTAAAAACCAGCCTGTGTTAACTCTTTACACAACATAAGATCTCTGAGGTCTTTCTGTTGTTCATGTTGTTTTTCTCCCAGAGGGTGAAATCGGTTCCAGGCTTGGTCCTTGTTTAAACTTTGTATGATGATTTTGAAAGAAATCTTAGCTTTATGACTGTTTTTATGTTCGTTTGTGTGTCTGTGAATGTATGTGTGTATTGTGTTAAACCTTTGATTACTCTTTTAAAAATAATAATAATAATACATTTTATTTAAAAGTGCCTTTCTGGACACCCAAGGACACTGTAAAGGGCATTAAGAACACAGTTAAAACACAGTTAAAATAAATAAAAACAACATACAGGTATGAAGATGGAGAGTTAAAGGGAATATGCAATTTGGAACAGATGTGTTTTGAGTTCAATATAATCATTATTCACATGTATGCATTTACACTGTTTTTGACCAAGCATCCCAAAGAGTTTTGAGTAAACTTCTCTCCATTACTTGGAAAAACAGATAAAGCTGCTGCCATTGCCACTGTACAAATCCACAAACCAGAAACACTGTCAAACCTTTTCACAGATGTCACATTTTTTTTTTATGTTTGCTTTAGTAAACGAAGGTCTTGACAGAGAAATGCATAACACTTGGATGGACACCCCTGTCAGAGAAGGAAGGAAAAGTTATTTAGTATTTTGTCCCCATCTGTTAAAGGACTTAATAAGACCTCTTAGATTTGAGTTGGTTGAGCAACAGTAATTATTTTCATCTTTGAATGACAGGACATTTCAGAAGCTAAACTTGGAGAAATAATTTTAGGGAAAAAAGAGTGAGGGGTGAAGAGTGGCAAGCTCTACAGAAACAAAAGGCTTTATCAAAAGCATATGACAAATGGAGGTTTGCCTGTAATCAGGGTGTATAAATTGAGGATAGTTATTTAGCACAGTTGCCTACAGCTCTTCTTTCATAAACACGGATGTGCACCTGATCATTAACAAGCCATTAATTAACCGTTGTTTAGGCTTTAAATCTCCTGGTGTTTGGGGTATTCGTGTAAAAGTTAACATAAGGCACACATACAGTTCAACAGTTGCCAAAAAAACAAAACAAAGGAAAAGCCAACAAAGATGTATTCCAAATGCCCCTCTGGAAAAAAAACCTGAAAACAATTTCTGTTTCGGGGTTCAGCATGCTCAATGTGTAAACTTATCTCGAGTATCCTCTTGGTTCATTCAGGGTCTTCAGACTTCCTTGGATTTCATCTGTTTCTGAAGTCAAAAAGACACCCATGGAGTGTGGACAGATTGGCCGGTATTATGCACAGACAACAGGGTTTGATTAACAACCCGTATTGCTCAGATAAAATGTCCCTTCCACCATCTGTGCTCATAAATATACATGTTCAAAAATTGCTATGATAAAAGCAGTATGTGAAAAAAACAAGGCATGAGATACTGTCAAGAAACTACAGCAAACTATCTGGACGAAACCATCTCCAGCTGAACTTTGAGTTGCGTTCTTGCAAAGCTACAATCAGATTGTTTTAATACATGTGATGCAAAGCACAGAGATTTTGGACGAGCGGTGCTGAATCATAATAATCACATACTGTATTTTCCATCCACCATCCCTGCAGGAATGACGAGATAAGAGCTGAGTTTTTACAGATGGTGAAACAAACCAGATCAGCAGCAAAGAGGAATCGCCGAAGGGTCTCTCTTTTTTTGCTATACTTATTAAAAGTCATCAAAGCCAAATTCATGAAATGTAGATTTTAGAAGATCCAGCAGCAAGCTTGGAAAAGAAAAATAACCTTCCTCAGCAGGGGTGTAGAGCACTATACTGCAAATAATGGCTTTACAGTAACCTGTCAAGTTCTGCCAAACCTCAGAAACTAAGGATGGGTCGCCATATTTGTATTTCAGGCCACACCCACACTTGGTTTCTAAGGGCAGGCAGCTTTGACCGAGTCATCTGGAGAGGAAGACTTCAATTAGTGAACTTCAGTGAAAGGTGATTGGAAGTGCAGGAAATATAGCCGCTCTGTAGTGCCCACTCTTTTTGTTCTTTTCACTTTTTCAATAGCTAATTGTCTTGTCAGGGTTACATGCATGCAATGTTAGGAATGTGCTATCCTCCTCGAGTGAAGTGTCCTGCCTCAGCTTCTTGCATGCCCTCACACAGTAATTAGTGCATTGCCCTTCACCACAGGGGTGGGAGGTAGAAACCTTCTGCAGGACCCTGAAAACTGCATGCACACTCTTGAACACAACTCAGCTCTGCACTTTTCATTTACTCTTAGAGGGAGAGACAGACATGTCACCACAGGGCACTGCCTTCTTACACATCCCCACTTTGATCCCACAGCCCCTGGGTGCCTTAATGAGCTCTCCATATTGGCTCAGGGTTATTTACAACCATTATCAGGATGCCAAGCGCAGAGAGAAGCTAAATAAGAACAAAATGTTTTTAGTGAATCGAAGTTAGTTTGAAAATTTGATCTTGGTAGCAAGCCATATTTTGCAAAAAGCATGATGTGAAAGGGATTTCTACCATTTGGAGACCAATGCTAGAAGTCCCCCACAATCAAAAATGCCTCCCTTGTTTGCCTTGCGTCCAGGGCTGAAAGTAGGATAAGGTTCTTGCAGGTACTGTACCCATAGGCTTTGTACTAGAGGAGTACACCCAAGTTTAACGAGGTGCCGTGGTCTCTGATGCCACAGTATCATCATCTGCTACATCTCTCTTCCTCTTAAACATAAAATCAAATTTCCTCCGCATTAGGTTCATTTCTGCATTAAGATTGAAGCAGCTGTCTCTTTAAAAGGTCCCTCCTTCCGGAAAAGGCGGGAGGCAGTCCCCAACGCCTAGGCAACCAGCGTCCAATCAAAAGTGTGCACTGATCGCTCCTACTTCCGGTGTTTGTTTGTTTACGGAAGCAAATACGACTCACTCGCAAGCAGCATGATCCTATTGGATTACTACGGTTACAATGCAGAGTGCAGACTGACGTGCGGCAACACAGTAACCAAATGTAGCCTACATACATTGCAGGGGTGAAAGTTTGCGTACCACTGCGAAATATCATTGTCTGCCGGATTAGGGTTAGGGTTAGGAGATTCAGAATTGCGATAATGTTCTATAATGTTCTGTTCGATGTACAGAGGCGACAGCCTGCGTGTGTGAGGACATTTCCAGCTTTTCTAGCCAAGGCGGGACCTAGGAGGCGGGACCTTCCCCTACCAACGTAAGACAAAAAATATCACAAAATATCAATATCAAAAAATATTGTGTCTCCTCAAAGGAAAAAAATACTCAAGTATATTGCTGCCTGAATTTAAGACCAAAATCATAAATCAGATTTCTGGAAGATGTTTGTGGCTTGGCTACAGATTACTCATCTATTATGTACAGTAACTCTGGCCTTCTATTAAATTGTTGTAATATTATATTAGTGAGTATTTTGAAACAAGAACAAGAATCCATATCTTGTTAGAACAATGACTCTTTAACCAAGCATTCAAGATTAAACTATGTTTTATCTTTTGTAATACTTTTGGAATTAAACTCTAAAGAATGAAATATAAGCAGACCTGCTAAAATTAGATAAAAGCTTTTTGTTTAATATTAGGGTTACTACTTGTAATTGCTTTTATTGCATCACTCCTTTTATCATATACACCTTTACTGGCAGGGTTTGAATAGCATACACTCTGAGAAGCTACTCCTGTAGTCTTAAATGTGCAAAAAATTACCGTGACTCGACTTGACCTGACTTGACAACAGATGGATTAATTTAAAAATATCACTTGATGAGATAATAGATTGTTCAGGAGCAAGTGGAAAGTGTTGCTTTCCCATAGGTTTATAAATGCGATGATAATGGTTTCCCATCATGTCATGGAGAGGACCAACAGCTGCTTGAATATTCTTGTGTTCTCTGCAGATAAACACTGGCCACCAAGTTTCAATTCCTGCCTTTCTCATTATGTGTTTTTGACATTACTTGTCCTCTACAGTACACTGCCTCCACTTTCGAACCTCTCAAAGGACCAACACTCTTCCTCTCTTAAAAAATAAAAGCGTTTGAAGTACTGTGAGTGCTGTCATAAATCAATAAACCTGCAACCATCTGTCATTTTCCCTTCTGTCAAAAACATTACACAGAAAGTGAAGATCAATAACTGAATCAGCAGTCCTCTGCTGGATTGCTGCTCTCCTAACCCTGTTCAATGAATGTGGAAGGCTTAGATTTCAGACCTCAGTGGTGGGAACTGATACTCTAACCAAAAGTGATTTAAAAGTTTCTTCCTTACTAGTTTTTTGTCTTTATTCCCCCAAAAAACCCAAAATAACAAATGAATTCAGACAAGAATTCACTCTACCAAATATACTTTAGTAAGCACAAGTATGATAATAACACTTAAGGAAAAGACATCATATTGGGAGGTTGGCTGTCCAGACAAAACAGAGGGGAATAACTAAGAGCTTTTATAAAAAGAAAGAGTGTCATACTTCTTTTATGTACATCAGACTTTAACAGCAGAGCCGTCTAATGACCTGCACGTCTACTGTGATGTGTCTATGTACTCTTTGTTTCAAATTTTTACGTCAGCCCAGGTACACACTGAGATACAGAGACAGAGACACACAACAAACACAGTGTTTGATGTTCAGTGTGTAGCTTTGATCAAATTATCTTATCAGCCACTACACTTTATGAGCTCATGATTTGACTCAGGTCAGTTTGGGGTTGGTCTGGTTGGTCCGTCTGGTGGTTAATCACATTTGAACAGTCTAAATTTCTCACAACCTTTTAGATGGATTGCAAATAGAAATATTCCCATGATGATGAATCCTGTGGGCTTTGCTGGTCACATGGTGCAACTTGCAGGCTGATGTTTTTGGTTTGTTGTACAGTTTCTAAACAATTATTCCATAGATTGTGACCAGATTTCAGTGAGATATTCGTAGTGCCCAGGGGATATCCTACGGACTTTGGTGATCCCATTAAATGCTTCATCTTGTGCCACCATGAGGTTGACATTCAAGGTTTCAAACTATCAGTAACCATTGGATAAATCTTCGGATTTGTGTCCAAACATTGTCATATTTGGTCAATTGTAATCACCTCTTTGCTATATGAGGCTGCCAATGACATCCATGTCAAAAATAACATCCTCATCAACTTCACTGAGCAAAGTCAGTCCGTCAACATGACACAAAACACTGAATAAGGTAGAACATTTTTTCTGCTGACTACCTGCCTGGTATTCTTGTGGATATGAACACGCAACTTAAGCATTTCGCTTGAGCACAGTTCAGTGGCTTACACCTTACACCTCATTTCCGCTTGACTGATGTAAATATATCCATAACTAAATAAATGATACCTTTAGTGCCTCAACATAGGGAAGTTAATTTCTTCAAGGATGAAAAGAAACCTGATCACCTGTAGTCGTGATGGAAAGGATCATTTTGTTCAGTGACTGATAAAGCTGTCAAGTTAGCGCACTGTTGGCTTCTCTGACATTCACCACTAAAGTTCCCTTCTTTCACATACTCTGAGAAGATTACAGACTGAAACATTATGGCTAGACACAGTTTCACAGCCTCATTGCATATCCTAGAGGTTCCCACAGGAATAGATGGATTTCCAGTTAACTTGCCTCTGTATACATATGTTTACGCAACTGAGCCATTTTTAAATGCTAGCAGCTGTCGCAGCTGTAGCCTCTTGTTTGCTTTCATCTTCACGACTCAAAGAAGTTCAAATTATAAACCATGATAATACTTTTTCTTGCTCTTCAATATCTCCTGTTGCATAAACTGGTACGATGCGGGTTGGCTACCATGACAGAGAAATACTTAGTTTTTGTTTTTTTTTTCTGAAAGAGTATTCAAGCAGAAAGACAATAGCTCAACCAAGTGCTGTTAAGAAAAACTCAAGATCCTGTGAACTAGTTCGGGTGTCAAAGGTCACCCACAGACAGCTGAGGTGCTTTGAGGAACCTGTCACGGTCAGGAAAGTAAGCTTTAACAATGAGCTCAGCGGCATTTAAAGACGTGACTAAAGTGGGATTGTTTTCAAGATGTTGAACTGAATGAGATGAACAGCTAGCTGGAGAAAGGGATAGCATCAATCATGGTCTTCAGTACTGTGAGGGTTTTATTAGGCTCTCATTCAACCGCACAATAATGGAGAGAGGGCACATAAAGGTTTGGTATCACGTCTTAAGTGTTTAATTATCTGTTTTATGGGTCAATATGACTGAACTGTTAGAGGTTTTCACTTTCTTTAAAAAAAAAAACCTATTCATGTAAGAACAACTGTACATTTGGACCACATGGCTGCAGGCCTTCACTATTTTACCACAGCAGCTCATATGTTTCCCATTTGTTCTTTCAACACGAAATTTATTCCCTAATATAATAGGGGTTTTAAGAGACTGTGTGATCAAATCAGAAAGGACAGTCTTGGTGGGTCACAGTTTCTTCTCTAGCTGTGCGCATATGTTTCCTCTTTTGCCGTTTGGAAGCATTAATAAAAATTTTATATGTCTCTGCCCAGTGTAGAAAAATGACCTGAATGATGACAACTGCTGCTCCTTTTTTAGAGAGGTGAGACTTTACCTTGTGAAATACTGTACATCACCCTAAAAAAGCAACAGATATTCACACTCTTTAGCATGGAATAACCAGAAGGCACTTTTGTGTTTACACTGTAATACAGTAAAGTAGGCCAAAGCACACACCATCATGGTCATGGTGGTTGTACTTTGCATGGTAGGAAACAAGACACCAACATTAGCCAGTTCAATCATAAGTCGACTCACAGCAGAGAGGAAGTCAAATGCCTCATTGACATTTAGGCAGGTGAGCACAATTGTCCAATTTTAGACGTCACTCACAAAAACACACAAGTTGACAGACTTCTGAGTCATGAACGAGAGTGGCTTTCACCACTGTGTCAGCAATGTTGGGCGGAAAACTGACAGCAGACCAGCTTGGAAAAAGTACAGGGTCCACTAATGAGAGGGACAAATTCCCCTTGTTCTACAAATCGGACCATATTCTCAGAACTAAACCAGCTGACCCAGTTGATGCTGTGAGTCCTACGCCTCTTCTGCTGATGTTTACTTAAATATACACAGTTACATGCAGGGCAAAGTCGAGCTTTAGTTATAGCTCGATCAAGTGTTTATGAGCTCTGTCCTTGTACCAGTTTACTAGCACCAGGAAAGAACTGAATTACTGACAGAAGCATGTCCACTTCTGCTATGGTGTGTGGTGGTGCTGACAGGTCCTTTCCCAGTTAACATACTAAAACTATATACTAAAACCTAAAGCAATGAATGATTGAAACACTGTCACTTTTACAGCTTTAAACCTTTTCTCATACGATACGACAGTTTCATCTCTTTTTACATCCTTGCTTCATCTGTTAAGGATTTTGTTTACTCTTCATCTTTCTAGCAACAAATTCAAATTATTCAACTTCTGGGCAAAAGCATGTGAACTCAGAACACTTGAGCCAGTTCCAGTTGATTGACGCTCTACATATAAAAGAGAAAATTTATCCCCAACCTCATTGCTCAGCTATGTTAGCCATACATTTTTTTAAATAACTTAAAATCTACAAACGAGTTGACACTACAACTTGAGTGATGATAAGAATTCAGTACACTAAATCATCTGTTTTGAGCGTTGAATATTGTTGGCCTATATCTTCATAACAGTCTCTGCCAACCTTTACCGTCTACATCTGGAAGGGCTATCCTGTTCAGTTCACCCATAGATAAGACTGTAAATATTTTCCACAGACTAGATGAAACCTGGCTGTAGATTTATAGCTTTTTCTCAAACGGCTTCAAGAATATTTGGCATCTTCCAGCAGAAGCGAAAAGAGAAAACCTCTGGGCTGATTGTGATGACAAAGATGAACCCTAGTTTGTGCTATGAAAGATTGTTCTGCAGAAGAAGTGCCATAGAAAATGGATTTTGTTTCTGCCCTGGATTATAACAATGTCAATAGTTTATCATGGAACAACATCTTAGTCAATTACTAGATTCTTTTGTTTCTCAGAAACACCACGTATCATATGGTCTTAGTTACACATTTCAGTCCTGTTTGCCATGTTCATAAATTTTATTATTAACAAAATTCCCCGTAGGACAAAAGCAGATCTCAAACTAGAAACTTCTTTCTCTTGTCTTCCATCCAAACAGCTGCTGCCTGGATGGAAGAGTTGGATATGTATGTGGTGTTCTGACTGATGAGGGTTAAAAAAGTTCATTTTGTTTTTTGGTGAAAGTCAAGGGTCATTGTCAGTAGCCTTATTTCATACTCGCACAACAGATTGTTGACTTGCTTTAAAAGACTCAAGTCATCTTGTTGCTTACACTGAGTGAAATCATGTTGAAGATATGTTAGTGTTTTCACTCTTTGAGTAAAAATGAACAAGATAGTTTTGTTGTACAAACTTGTATCAGACAGCTCTGGAGATTTCTTTTTGCACTTTCAATTCAAATTCAATTCAACCTCATAAAGATGACAGTTGCCTTAGTTTACATAAATTCATAGGAGTATACCCACTGAGACACTAAGACGATCCCTATCAGCTAATCAACTGGTAAATAACTGTGTTGAAATGCATCTGTCGAGATGAGAGTGGGCTTGTTTGGAGTGTGAAAACTTCCATATGGTATCCGTTAAGGCCTAATAAGCTTCTTCCTCTGATAGCTATGCTAACTAAGGAGGATTCATGTTGTCCAGTCTGTCCTGTTGTTAGACCAGCTACCTCCAAGCCTGTGACTATTCCTCTGTCCACAGAGTTAATGGCAGACTTGAGGAATGAAAACAGTAAGTAGGATGGTTCACGCGGTTAAGAGAGGGCAATATTATTAAGTGACAAGAGAATAAAGCCGCGTTTGCATCTGTATTTTTCTAGACAGATACACGGAAGAGTATCACAAGACATAGAAAAATAATACTTTTAGGCATTAGACGGGATACGTAGTGTCCATGATACTACATCCTGTACTTTTCCACCATAGACCTCCTCAGTTCCACCATGTCGTGAATTCACATCCAATCTCCTTCCTGGCAGAGATAATAAAATGCATCTTAAGTAGAACAGCTGCGGCCGACATTGCATGTGAAAATGAGATATGAAACTCTGTCATAGCAGCTTTGATGAAAACAATACACCACCTGGTCTTTTAAGTCTTCCCAGAGGGGAAGTCTGCGCTTGGACCTCTGTTTACCTTTCAGTGTGGCAGAAATTCTTCTTTACATAGCAAAAATAGGGAAAAGTGGAAATGGATTTCTCTTACTCTAATTTCTGAATTAAACCCTCAAAGGGGACTCTAGGACTGGGAAAAGCTTGTCTCTATTACTGGAAACTCTGATGCAATCTACCAGAAGCTGCAGTGGATTTTAAATCAGTTTTCCACAGCTGTTCATTTTCTTAAATTGCTGCTTTCAGAAATATCTTTATTAGATGTTTTATTTCTAGTTTAGTTCTGGGCATCCAAAAAGGAATTTGAAAAGTAGCAATTATTCAGCTGTTACCCTCATGTGACAGCCAGCGAGCTGCCTTGAACAGCCATCATAATGAAACAGTCATTAGTCAACCTTTTCAATAACCTCCAAAAATCGGAGCAAGAAAGCTGCAAGCCAGAGCAAATCTCAGCCTGTCAGAGGGGATCATGAAGCCTATTTTCACCTTTGTACAAAAACAAAAGAATGATTTCAGATGTCCACACCTTAAAAACTTAAACACAACTGCAGCTACAACAAATAATGGTTGGAGATATCTTGGACGTGGGACCAAACATGCAAAAGCCCTATGCATTACAATCTTAAGGTTCTCTTCTGCAGAAAACCAGCCCAGGGACAAAAACACACAAATCAGTGAAAAAAGATAGTTTGATAGACAATGTTTTACAAATCCGGTTTGAGATAATTTGGTGAGAATGATACAGACCTGATCTCCAGAAGGGTTTACTTTCCATATGGAATAATAGATGCTTGATCTTAGGGATCTTTCCAGGTCTGTTTTAGACATCATTGTTCTAAAGTTATGAGAACAACCACAGAAGTTACTGCAACATGGTCTTCACTCCCTGCTTCTCAGAAGTTATTTGGGTTTTCAAAACACAGGCCAAACTTCAAGTTTCTTGTTGTAACCAAATCTCAAAGTTCTGTCTTTACAGCATTTTTGAGCTTTATTACTTCCATAAATCTGAAATAGAAATATTTTACTTTCCTTTAAAAGATAAATTCTCTCAGCTCCAAGGTTAAGGGCAGCCATAATGTTCCCTCTGTTACTCCTAAGCAGGTTTGTCTGATAATGGCTCCTAAAATATGTGACAGCATTGGAAGAAAATTGTAAATTTTATAGCTGATTCACAATTTACAATTACCAGAATATTAACAGATCATCTTCCAAAGTTTTGTTGCAAATATTTCTGATCCACACCCAAAAGCACTTAACATAAATTACTTTTACTTTACTTTTTTTTTTACTGGTCATTTTACAAAGAACAATTAGTTTTTGTGAAGTATGTAACTGTTTCAAACATCAGCAAGGGAGGGTTGAATAGTGCAAAAGAGCTGTGAAAATTGGAGCATGAGGAGAAAGGTTTTAGTGTCTTTGAGACTTTTAAGGTGCATGGTCCTTACACAAACAGGAACAAAGACCTAATGCCTTGGGGAGTCTAAGTAAAGAGCCTGATTTGGCACCTGTTTACCTCACTTTCTTCTTCCTCTTGACACTCACAAGGCTAACAAGTGAGGAGTCACCCTCTCTCCATGTGGTCCACCCTGAGTCCATACTATGATGCTACTATAAACATCAGTGCAGTGTAAAATCCTGCCTGTATTTCAAACCACGGCCTGTTGTCAGGATGGACAAGATAGGAATCAAAGATGAGTCCTCACTGTAACCTGAAGATGTTCCTTACTTCAGCAGGTGAAAACCAACTTCATGTAAAGCAACACAAGCTGATATTCTGAGGTTTACTCACATGGACACATGTTGTCTTTAAAAGAGAACGAAACCAGTCCTGCCCAGACATGAGCTCAGTGATTGTGGTGAGATCTGGACCTATGGGAGGCAGCTCAAGGTCCAAGGGATTAAACACTCAAGTCCATACGAAGACAGATGACTCCCGTGTGTGAAATTTGGATTATACTGCAACTACAACAACTGTGAAGTTTTCTGCAGCGACCCCCCCAGAGGGAATACTTCCTAAAACTGCCCAGAACACTTTCATTGCTGAAGAAGATTTTTTTTTCCAATGGTCAAAAATTGCTGCTAATATTTGAATGATGTAAGACCACTGAAAAACTGAGTGTCAAAACTAAATACACTGTATGATCATCTCTCTCCATAAATTGTTTTGTTGTTTGGTTCAAATCAGGTGACACAGGGGTCCCACAATCTACGTGAAACCACATGGATAAAATCAGTTGATGACTTTTGTCCCCACATATCATAACAACATAAATCAAAGTGTCATACAGATTATACTATGGATATGGTTTAGCTCTAGAAGTGACACAACAGAGAAGCAACATTCAGATCTTCTAATCTTGATTTTTTACAGATTGAAAAAGAAGATGCTTGAAGTCACAATAGGAATCTCAAACAAAGACACGCTCACTTGGAGATAGTATGGGAACAGTGCCAACAAGTGCAGGAGTATGCATGCAAAATATGATGAACTGATTTTCCACACGATTGTCTGTCTTATGAAATATATATTTTTTTCTATTAAAAGTACAAACAAAAGAAAATGTACATGTAAAATGAAATCTTTTTAAAGTCTATTTTAACACGAAATTGTTCATTTTAACTATAGTCCCACCCTGACAATCAAAAACTGAATCCTGGTTAAGGTTTTCTGACTACACTTCTGGTTGATAATCAGATATTAAGAAGAGCCCAAATACTTTCCAGCATACAGCCCAATTTTAAATAAGAAAAATGATTTAAATGATTGTGGCACTATGGGTGATTTGTGTAAAATGTGCAGGTTTCTGTTTTGTAGATTTCTCTGTTATGCTTTTATGGTGTGTAATATTAGGGCACTTCTATAAAAGGACATAAACTATTGTTACAGAGTCAGCCATTGTTCCAGCGAGGGATTTTATAAGGCTGTTTGTACATGGCTCAACATCCCCTTTACCTTTCTTACACTATAGAAATTATTTGAGGCTGTTAGCTATCTTATTACATTTCTCGAGCCACCAAACACCAAAGCACCAGGGTCCTGGTTTTAGGCTCCATCCATAATAAGTCCTTTACAGAGCGTGTAAGCAGCCAGGCTACTTTAGTGAGGACCAGATGGTTTCTGTCTTCACACTGTTATGTGCCTGTGCTCTTTTAATTCCATGCAGACCGTGCACCAATTTAACCAAAGCAGAGCCTTAACCAAGCCTTAATAGAGTGAGACAGAGTGGCATTCCCAAGCAGGGGTAAATACAACCATTACTGAGCAGATTCCAGTGTCTCAGCACATGCTTGGTCTGTATCCAGGCTGTTTATTACCTCGCACTGTCAACACCACGGCCTTGGTGTCAGCAGCTGACACACGTTTCTATAGACGGTGCCTTCTGTCTCATATCAGAGATTGGAAGCAGGTGGCCGGTCTGCCCCCACGACATGCAGTGGGGGATCTACCACCACAACTTGGCAGCGATACCAAAGAGAGAGTGACGTTCAAGAAGCCAATTCATGACGAGTGCTGAAAAGGGGTGGGAGGGGAGAGAGCATGGATTCTGACCTGAACTTTTAAAAGAGGCAGACTATTTTTTAACACTGCTCTTATGTACGGTCTTTCTCTACTCAAGTGTGGAAAAAGTGCTGAAAATCCAGGCTGGTTTGTGGTTCCTGCAACAACTAATCACATTCTTGATCGAATGATTTCTTCAACCGGTGAAAATGCTATCATTTACCGCTAATTTTACCCTTATAATTAGTGTTACTTTGGTCACTGTGAGACACTTATCTGAAGCTGTAAATAAACAAGGATGTAACATTTTAAGCTGACATGAGGTACTTGTGACACACACTTGTTTATTCCAGTAAAATCCAATACATTTGCAGGGCATTTAGCATTAATATGAAGTTTCATCAACTCATTTTTTCCCTTTTTTTTGTTTGCTTGTCCTGTCAAGGGTCTGGGAGTGAGGATTAGGGTTACCCTTGGATGGGTATTCTGTCAATCACATAGTTGACACATAAAAACGATCATTCATAGACAATCTAGAGTCACCAAATAACTGAAGAGGTATGTCTTTGGACTGCAGGAGGAGGTTTCAGTACCCAGAGAGAGCCTCTTGTCAGCACAGGGGGGACATCAAGCAAACTCCAGACAGAAGGACCTTTATCTGCCGGGGACTCAAATCTTCAAAGCTTTCTTGCTGTAATGCTACAGCACGAACTACCATCCTACTGTGCTGCTGCTCAAGTGAAAATATGGGACTAAGATTCACTTGCATTTTGGATTTGTTTGCAGAGACTGTGCTGTGATGATACAATGTTAAAAATGCAAGTAGCCTCCTTTAAAAACTGCTAAAACAGCATTCTTTAGAGCTAAAATGAACACAGCTGTGCAGATCTTTTGAAAAGTGAAAAAGACTTATGATTGTCATGAAACTGCTGCTCACAATATCTGCCTCTGGCTTCAACAAAAGCACGGTATTCAAATTGAAAAACTGGTTAATCTGCGGGTTGACCAACACCCAACACCAAAATAAATCAGCCAAGGCACAAAAAACAGGCAGACACATTTCCACACTTCAATACAATAGGCATTGCATACAGTAGTATCAAAAACACATGGGAGAGGAGATGAATATGAAGGAAACACCAGACAATAAATCTGAGGAAGCTTGTGAAACATCTTCATGACCAAACTTCAGACCCAGTTTTCTTAAATGTAATACTCCAGGATAAATCCACAGGGGTCAACATTCCTTCCTCTCTCTACCGGATCTGCTTATTCTCCATCATACATGAATCCCATCTAGGACAGTAATAAGTCTGTCATTGTGGAATGCAAAAGCTCACAACACAAATCTAATCATGAACAGTTTTCCCTTGTGGAGTTCTGGATGGTCAAAGTGCATAATATACAGCCCAGTCGGGTATGATTCAGGTTCTGAGATGAGCTACAGTTGTCTCCCTTGGTGATGTAATGTAATCCTGGAATAAGATGTGCATGTCTGTGCATAGAGTACAAACAGCAAGGTTCCTGTACTCACTGATACTAGCTTTTCAGACCATGGGATTTATTTCAGTGGTTTTTAGGGGAGGAAAGAGGAGACGCAATCGGGAGAAGTTCTTTTGTAGTTTGAGCCCAAATGTTGAATTGTGACCCTCCTTTGTTCCACTGCAGTCCAGCTGATGGCAGTAATGTACCTCTGAGCCTGTTTTTCATGATCTAAGAAATACCAATAGAGGGGGGAGAAAAAAAACACCCTCATTTTGCCTGAATGTGTGATCCAGACAACCACAACAATGACGCTTGGGGGTAAAACTGCTTAAAGAGAAATATGAGCTAATCTGAAAAAGGCGTATTATTTAGCTCCCTTTATGAGCCCATTGTTATCAAAACATGACTGGTTATTCTGTCCATCTATAAATTATGGGGGGTGTCAGTCTTTATTCCAACTTAATTTGTTTTAGCAGTATTTTTACAAAGCTTATACCCACTGTTATTATAGTTATTTTGCTTTTTCCTTCTTTCTCTTCTGGTGTAGATTTTTATGACAAATGAATCTTTGTCTGCTTTTGAATAGTTCAGCCATCTTTCATTTATACATTTTTGTGTGTCTTCCTCCGTAAGGCACACGGTTTAAAATGTGTTATGTTTTATTAAATTTGGGGCTGATAGTTTCATCCATATCAAGTTATGCAGTGTAAATTATAATACTGCTCTGCCTAACTGCTAAGGTACTTTCCAATAACTGCTCAATATTATGTGTCAAAGAAAACACCACCAGGGATTATTTTCACATCTTTTCTTTCATCATCTACTGGATACGTTTTCTGCTTTTCCTGAAGGCTCTGTATTTCTGCAAATGTTCAAGCAGTCAAGAAAGTAGCCTCAGCTGTCCACAAAGAGGTTTACTCCCCAGTCAATGACACGTAAATGAGCTAAAGCCTTACACTGTAAAACGTAATTGTTGTGTCATGCATTGCCAAAATCAAAAATAACATACCTTCATGCCTCAAATCTATACAACACAAAGCCGTGGTGCAAATGCATCGACAAAGAGCACAGGTTCAGTGAAGGCACCTGGCTGAACTCGGAACCTGGCAGACTTCCTCCTTTTATGATGATCCTGGCAGATGAGTGAGGAAATATCTGCCTCAAGAGATGTAAGGAGGAAAAACACTTTGCAAGAAGAGAGGAACAAGAAGAGATCTCATGAGTAGCTCTGCACTGAGGAGGATCAGTGGACAGGATGTGCATGAGAGAAAGAGAAACCGGGAAGAATAGCGGATTAGATTTCATATCTCTATCTGTTCCCAATCTGTCACTCAGATGTGTGAAAACCAAAGAGGCCATGTCAAAACAAACACTTGAGAGAAGTACCGCTAACAAACAACGACACATTCCTGTGAAATGTCTAAGCAAGAGAGGGAACTGTTTAAAACCCCTGGCTGGCAGACCCTCCCTCCTGGGAAAGCCAAGAAATCAAACGGGAAAGCCTCTGCAGTGTGTGTGTGTGTGTGTGTGTGTGTGTGTGTGTGTGTGTGTGTGTGTGTGTGTGTGTGTGTGTGTGTGTGTGTGTGTGTGTGTGTTTGCGTGTTTGCAAGCATGTGGGGGGTGGTACCTAAGTGTCCTCTGTTCTCCTCTCTTTCTCAGCAGGACTTTTCCAAAATACTAACAGCTTCCTCCTGTTTGCACGTTGACATAGACTGCAGGGGTTTGATAGTAGAAAGAACAGACGCTGGCTGAAACATGACAAAGCTCAGGGACAAACGGAGCATGAAGCTTTTACACCAGCTGTACTGTAAAGGTTAATCTTTTCATGAGGACAGACCTCTGGTTTCATACATAGCTAAGGTCCAGACTGCTAAGTTTCAGAGTTGTAAAACAAATACAGTTCAGAAAGTTAAAGACCTGATGACAAACTTAGGAAAAGATAACCTGGATTTACTACCTCACAGTGTAGTCACTGATACCAACTTGTTCAACGGACTGAACAACCCGTTAGCTTACACTATACTGCAATTACATAGCTACAGCTAGCAGCCAGTTAGCTTACCTTAAAGACCAGAAGAAGGGACACAGCCTTAATCATAACTTTATACCTCAGCACCTCTTAAGCTCTTTTACTTATATTCAAGTTCATCTTTATTATTTGGCCGAGCAGTTGCCTGGTTAGAGTGCCTCCAGAGAAGTTACTGCTTTATGGCAGTGACTGTTTTCATTTTGACACTGACTTTTTTTAAACACCTAGAAACACTGTAAGGCGTTGTGCCAACAGGAGTGAGATTTAGGAGATTCAAAAAATGGATTTTGTCACATAGCCTAACAGCAGAGCAAGGCTGACTGCTACTGTTTCTAGTCTTTATGTTGAGCTGGGTTAGCTTGTTGCTTGCTTCAATTACCATATGAAGCATCTGATTTTCTCCCAATTTTGAAAAAATTGATTTATTCTTTTTAATTGTTGTCACAATGAATGAATTGCCTTCTGATGTATTAAACAAATGACAACCTTGTTCATGCCTTTGTTTTCTCTTCCATATGAAAGAGCCACTGCCTATACACTCATGTGCATAAACTATTTTATAGAGTGCTGGCTCAGCTGGGTTGCTCACAGCCCTTCAGGCTGCAGCCTTCAAAGCGAACCAGTCCTCTCAATGAGTGCCTTTACCATTAACTAGTCAGAAACCCCCCATAGAAAAAGACCCATCCAATCACAGCCCCACTACAGGCACAGCAAGTTTCAGCAAAGTGAAAGCATAAGGCTGAAACTCAGCCTATTAAATCTTAACAACCTGCTGGCCTCTGAGGATGTATCCTCACCAACTTACAAAGCTGCATTGAGCTTGCAGCTGTACAATCATATGCAAAGCAAAGTGAGGTACACAGATCTATAAGAATGAACAACTTCTTCAAAACTCACCATATTGACATCGCGTCCCCTTGAATCCCGGCGGACACTGACAAATCTGCTCTCCAGTCTCTGCGCATCGACCTCCATTGAAACATGTGTTGGCGCCACACACTCCTACAGAAACCCAAATAGACACACCATAACACAATCAGTGTATTTGTGCAGGATAAATAACAGATACATCCATCTCATACATGCCTGCTGTATTCATGTCTTATATAATTAACATTAACTATCATAGTTATTATACTGCACTATAAACGTCACACAGGTAAAACTGTGTCATGATTAATCAACACAAGAACTATCATTTATTAATGAGTAAAATGCCATAACTTACTATGTAGACACCCAGCCTCTTCACCCTTCTGAGTCCAGCCTGGGCAGCACTTATAGACTGTGTGCAAATCCATGTTATATACCTGTCTGTACACTGTATAATATGCTGTCCTGGGAAGGAGAAATTCTGTTATAGTGATGAAGTTATTTGTTGATACTGAGTTGCTTCTACTTTCACGTCTTATGGAAGGGGTCAGTGATAAAGTGTGCATTGTCAAACTCTTTTTGCTCCTACCTTCTCTCATAGCTCATACACCAACTGTGGCTGGTGCAGCCCTGCTTCCACACTTTGACCATGCGGGTAAAAGCCTGGACACAAGGCTGACGGCTCCCCAACATGGACATCTCCTGGTCAGCACAAACATTTGGCCTGTGCAATATAAACCCACAAATGAACATAGGCACACAGAAGGAATCATTTTGCTTTGGGCTTCAGCAATCAATTCAGAAACAGCTTTTGAGAACACCATACTACTACAATGACCAGCCTGTCAGTCTTGTATTTCTTTTTTTTTTCCTTCGGTAAAGTGGGTCTCCAGCTGGCAATAACACTTCTTTTGGTGGTCTCAACCTCCCGCAGAGAATATGCAAGGTCTGTGTTCTGACAGACATGAACTTACACATGTTCTATACATGTTCATGCTCATCCAACACCCTGTCAAACAATCACATTTCTCCCTGGTTGTTGCAAAAAAACAAAACATGGATTGGACCCCCTATTGCAGGAAATAAGGAAGCAATAACTTTTCAGGGGCATGTTGTTTTCCCATAAATGTTTGCACAGTCTTGTACATGCATGCGCCAATGTGTACATTTCCATTTAAAAGTTTTTTTTCTTGTTTTTTTTTTCTTTTTATTTATTTTATTTTATTTTTTTATTTTTATTTATTTATTTATTTATTTATTTATTTTTTTTTTTTTGGGGGGGGGGGGGGGTTATTGTACAGCAATCTGTGTTGTTAAATGTATCCTAAATTTGTGGTGTCCTGCAACATAAAACATCTGGTTTCAGTACAGCAGAAGTTAATTAGAGGAAGTATTCTGCTTCTCTGGTTCTGAAAACGATTCCTTCACTCGTGTCCAGCACAGTCTATTTGGATTGAGAAACCTCTGGCAAAGTACTCAAGCCACAAAACAAATCACATTCCACCGAAAGCTATTATGCAGAAGCAAGTTATGACAGTGCCATAAAACCCCCATCACTCTTCACAAGGGACCCGAAAGAGCGACACCTAGTGGATGTTTAACGAAAGTGAGTTATGAGTGCAGAAAAAAAAGTACATTATTTCTTTGCAAAACTTAGGTTGTGCTCATACCTGTCTGAAAACTGGCTAGTGGTCTGACTACGAGGTATGTTGTTTTTATCGTTGGAGTGAAAACTTTCTCATTCATTAGCCTTTCACGAACCACAAAAATCTAATAAGAGTCTATTAAAACACAGAAAACGAATTAAAACCAAAAACACGTTACTCACATGCCAAGCTGCAGCTCCGAAGATGATACCACGTGCAAAGTGCTGAAAAATATCACACACAAAATACTGGGCAACATAATTTCAGTCAGTACAGACGAGGAGGGAAGTATTCAATCGGCGCTGCCTCCGTGCTCATCAAATTAAAAGCATCCTGATACTTGTGAAAATCCGCTTTAAGTCATTTTTTTCTGAAGATGTCGGCTTCCTTGCATTTGCACTTCTTTAGAAACTATCGTTATTTACCGTGCACTGCACTAACGGAGTGAGCGCTTGTCTCACATCAATCGCAGCCGAGTGACTCCGGGTGAATGCACCACCCACAGTCACTGAGGGGCCACCTCTCCATACTGCCCCGACTAGTGCAGTTTTTTACCGTCACGACCAGTCACTAATTTATTTAAAACAATTCACTGAATAAAAAACGACAAAGAATGCTTTTGGGGGGGGAAATTGCATGAAGTTCTCAGAAACATCTGTCCTTGGAGTAAGATACCAAAATCCCTAAGTTTGCAATAGTGACACCATATGTCTGAAAACACAACAGTAGCCAACATGGTTTTGTTAAACTGCTTCGTGCGTGCAAAACACGTTTATTTTAAATTATTTATTTGGAAGGGGACATAATACTCAAGACAGGTTATCACAACACATTGACAACTATATTATAAGTAAAATTTAACATGATGAAGCTGTAAAAGAACTGTACAAAAATATTGAGTTACAGTATAGGTTTACTTTGGACATCTGTTAGATTAATTGTAGTGTATAAAAATACAAATATATATAGTAAAACCTAACCTTATGTCAAACATATTTTTGGAAAAAGTGACATTGCACAAGGGTAACATAGAGCCACAAAATAAATCAAGTAAGAGAATTTGACAGTAATTTCATGTTTGTGTTTTCTTTTCATTTTCTCCCTTTTTTTTCTTTTTGTAGATTTTGCGCTTTTTTTAATTTTTTTTTTTTTAAATTGTCATTACATTTTACAATATACAGTACCATTATAAATAGGCGGGTTTTTTGTGTACGAACAATACTAGGTGCACATGCGCAACCATGGGGCAAAAGCCTGCGGAGTGAAATGATATCAATGAAGATGCCATCTTGTTTGCAAGTTCTCCCTGACACAATTGCAATAACATGTCATTTCATTGAAAAGTCGCTTTGTCTTTCATTGCATCAAAATCAGAAAAACACTTGCTGAATAATCCATGAATTTCACTTAAGTTACCTGGTTGTGACGTTGCTTTTTTCTAATATCAGGAGCAGGGTCATAATGTTTGCCGATTGTTTGTTTTGCCGATTTCGTGCAGTTTACAGCACAACAGCTCCTTGTCATTTTCTTTCTCCGTTGACTCCGCTAGTAAACAAATAAGAATTGTCACGCTTTCTGCCCCAAGGTTGCGCGTGCATACTTGTGATGACGTTGCACAGAAACCCGTCTATAGCCCGGAAAAAAACTAACTAAAGCAAACATCAAGACAAACAAACAAAAACCAAACACCAGCAACAAAACAATCAAAAAAGAAAAGAAAAAAAGTAAGAAAATAAATACCAGGTAAGAAGTAAGAGAAAAGATGAGTCGTCCAGACGATCAACGATCCTTATAATATTTGTCCAACATGGAGTGTGTTTTCAGAACCTTCTTGCTCTTAAGTCCATTAATAACAGTGCAATATTGCGTCAGTTCATTTAGAAAGTGGTCAAAGCTGGTTTAGAGTCAGTCCATTTTTTCCTGTGTATGTGACATTTCCCAAGAAAAAGAAGTAACTATACAAAAAAACCCCACAAAATCTTTCTCGTTCTTCTTCTTCTTCTTCTTTTTGTTTTATGGCGGTTGGCAACCAGCTTTTGGCGCATTACCGCCACATCTTTCGCTTTCTATTTTGCACTTTCAATTTCCGCGCTTGTTACCAACGTCACTTCCCCCGCACGTTGATTACCTCACTTCCTGTTGGTGCAGACATAGGAAGAAGAAGAGAGGAGGTTCCCCTCTCATATCAACAGAAGGAGATGCCTGACAGCTACATCACCTGCAACACCAACACCTGTTTTTGACTCTGTGGTGTACCTACAAGTTTTACGTCTCTACAAGACTTGAAAAATAAATTCTTTCTTGGATAAGAAGCTATCCTTAGCAACAAACCAAACGGTAAGAAAGCGAAACTATCGCGCTAACGTTAGCTCGAAATGGCGCTAATGCGTTAAATAGCTTTAACCCAAACTAACCTCAAAGCGTCTGGGTTTTATTTAGATCTTATCACGGCTACTTAAGTGGATAAAGGTAGATTAATGGATTACTGACCGCTGCAAATGCTCATGAATGTTGGTTTGACACAATGAATCAAATTACTCCTGTTACCTTGTTATTAGCTTGGGTGGTAATGCTTTAATTTACCATCGTTGATACAGATATAAAAGAAACTCATGTCAGGACATGTGAGGAGCAGCCTGGGCAGCTCTCAGCTGGCAAAGCTAAATAAGCACAGTCAATATTTCCTACCCACAGAGTCAGAAGACACAAAGTTATTATTATATGATAGTGTCACGAGAATCTTTCCTATTTTGATATCTGCATGGTTCTAACTAAATGAGCCACTATTTTTGGAAAAGATTCTTGAATGAACTATTGTTTTGCAGGTGGTTTATTGTTGCAGTAGGTATGCAGTGTAACCTGTTCAACTGGACTGAGAAAGAAAATGAAATTAGAATACAGGGATCTCTTATGTTGGCATGTTTTTGCCCTTAGTGACCTCTCTCTGTGGCTAGTAACAAGTAGCTTTGTGTTGCTGAACAAATCATTCCACACAGCCAAATGAACGGAGCAGCATTCCCCTCCCCCACGGCAGAGATGGCCGAGATGAACCGAATCCAGTACGAGCTGGAGTACACCGAAGGGATCAGTCAGAGGATGCGCATCCCTGAAATGCTCAAAGTTGCCCCTCAGTCCCACGAGGATCACAGTCTTGGTACTCAAGAAGTACCCCATAGTGTCATCATGCAGGTCCCAGAGAGGATTGTGGTTGCAGGTCAGTACTGTTCACCTTTTCTTTCCATGTTTAGGCTGTGTTTACTGTGGAGAATCTTTGAGTAGAAATTTGGAGTTGGTGTCTGTCAGCTGATTCTGGCCAATACACGACTTTTTTATAACCCTTGACCTAGATATACTGCTATCAGTGGTTCAGGACTTTGTCCAGACATTTTTTGATTAGCATTTAAAGGGATGTTCCAGCGTAAAGTTCCCAGCCACAGCACTAGCCACCAAACATCTTTTTAACTTTGCCCAATTTCTTTAGCAAAGAGACTAAACACAACTCACTCTCTCTTCCAGCAGCCACTTGTTTGTAGCGAGACCTCAAACGAGTCCAAACTGACTGCAGCGGGGTGACGCAGCTCAAGGAAGAACATTTATGATTATTACTTCATGGAAATGATAAAGAAATTATCATAAATGTTCTTCCTTGAACTGCGTCACCCCACTGTAGTCTGTCATGGACTGGCCCAAACAAACGGCTGCTGGAAGAGAGTAGGTAAGTTGTGTTTAGTCTCTTTGCTAAGGAAATTAGGCAAAGCTAATAAGATGTTTGGTGGCTAGTGCTATGGCTGGGACCCTATATGTACTGTTGATGGAGTTAGGTGCTGTTCTGAGCTTTATTTGTGGCTATAGACCGCTGTACATCGCTATCATGCAGCTATTAATAAAGTTGGTATAACTAGAGAAGCAAGCGGTCAGCAACATTCATCTCTCGAGGGGGTGTCTAACTCTGTGTTACGGTGTGTTTGACCCTAACTTAATCTTATGCTGGAATATCCCTTTAAATCATGTCAATAATTTTAAAATGGTTTGTATAAGTTTTTAAAACAATATAAAAGAATCTATGCATCTCTGATACATATAGCGATAAACAATAATAGCCATTGTTTTCCTTATGATGTTTTTTCACAGGTTATAAGTTTCAAATGGAAGTCACCATACTTGAAAAACTGAAATTCATACTTTTCCTTTTTAGGGGACAATAATGACCTCCAGTTCCCCAGACCTAGAGATCTAGACCTCATCCAGTCCACACCTCTGGATCATTTGTCACTGAAGACTCCTCCCAGAGTCCTCACCCTCAGTGAGAGGCCACTGGATTTCGCAGAGGAGGAGCAGCGGTCAGCTCAGGATAGTGAGGAAGGGGTAAGTGATGGATCACAACTTGTCAATCTGTAAGGAATACTGAATATATTTCTTTAAGAATTCTAGTCTGCTGTGATTCTCTTGTGTTGTGTTGTTTGTGTCATTTATCGTACACATTTGTTATTCTGTATGGCTGCTGCCTTGGCTAGCCCTCTTTGGCTAAAAAAATGAATAAATAAAAGGACATTTTATCTGGTCATTAACCACCTCCCAAAGTTAACCTGAATAATACACTTGTATATATGTATATTTTTTTTAAGCTGCGGCCTCAAGGAAGATTACGACGGGAGCGCTCAGCCAGTGAGAATGCTGCTCGTCAAAACAGTCAACTGCTTCGTAATGATTCAGCGTGAGTATTATCCTTGATGTGCAATCCTAAGCATGGAACAAGCTTCTTCTTGTCCCCTTTATGCATGCACTTGCATGTTGCATGTGTCTTTTTGGTTCTTTATTTCCCTCCACCTTTTACCTTTGTCTGTGTGGGGCTGCTGGTGGTCTACCTTGAAAGCATGATGAGCTGTTTAGTTGCTTGCAAGAAGTATCCTGCTTTCAGTTTTTAAGCAGAAGTCAGTTGTATTTTTTTCTGCGGATACTTTTCAATGAGCACTATGATTTTGAGCTTTTACACTAATCATTTAATTTGATGTTGCTCTAATTTAAGTTTGCTCAGTTGCTTTATATTCCTACGTATTAAAAAATACGCCATATCAACACTTTATCAGGGCCATTTAAATACCTTTGTCCTGATCACGTTGCTCCATATAATTGCATGTGATGTCCCAGTGACGTTAACTAGGTCACCACCCTCTTTATACAACAAGACTGAGCAAAATTGCAAATCTGTCCTGACTGATCTGAATTGGAATTTTTTGCTTGTCAGTGCCTTTTTACTTTTTTTATATATGTATTTCATGATAGTACAGCGTTGTTCTTGGCCAGCAGGTTAAACATTTTGCTGTTATTACAACTTAAGTTTTTATTGCGTCCACTTTGTTGCAGCGTAGAGCAAAATAACCAGAACTGAGGACAGCTCCTTTTCCTTATTTCTCTCCCTTTCCCTCATCCGTCTTTCTTTCCTCTTTTTCTTCCTTTGTCCTTTCCCTCCCTCTCTGATTGGCTGCTCTTAATGGTGGGCACTGAGCAGTGCGACTCCATCTCCCCCAGCCACTGGCCACCCTTGCCCCCCTCTCACTGTGACTGAAGAAGAACACAACCTGTACAGCGCTAGTGGTGTTCTGTCTTTCCTCCAGTCCACTACACGTCGGGCCTACCAGCAGGTCCTGGAGGTCTTGGATGAGAACCCTCGCAGGTGACCTTCCAATCGCCCAGGCATTACTTTACTTTAAAAGAAACATTGGTGTACAAGCCATTGTTCAAAGAGAGCTGTGTCACATATCTTTAGTTTTCAGGGACCATGAAAAAATATTACACACAATTTATTTTGCGAAAATAGTTTTTCTGAAATGTTTAGTGTTTGGTTAATTCATTCTGAGTGTTAGCTTGTATGCTCAGGCAATACTTGACCATTCTCTAACAGACTGCTTTTAACATTCAGTAACAATATTAATACAGCATCTTTACAAACATTCAAAGTGTTGCTGTTTCAAATCTGTGGCATCACGTCAACTGCTGCCTAGTTTCTGCTAGCTATGTAACCAGCTTCTGAATGGGATGTCCCTGAAAGATTAGCCTGTTCATTCCTAGCACAACAACAACAAAACTTGCCATATGTGTGCATGTATGCAACACAAAATATGTTTCTCTATCTTTCTCGTTTTCCCCTTTTTTTCCCCACCCTGTCTTCCCCCACCTGTGTAGCAAACCATCACTGCGAGGGGGGTCGGCTTCAAGCTCCAACCCCCTGCATGAACCCAGGTAACCTCACCTGGCTATCTTCATTCTGATCCTTTTTGTCCTTTTCCACATCCTTTCCTTTCTTCCATATGTTCACTATAGGTCAAGACTGTAAGTCATGCTTGAAAAATAATCTTTAAGAGTGAGGTTATGATCAACGCTGTGTGATAAACCATCTCAAATAATACAGTCTCAAGTGTTGGAAGTGTTATTCTTAAAACCATTATTCTGTCTTTCAGGCTTGCATTGTCAGCATATGAAGCGTCACTGGACGGGGGGTCTGATGACATGACCGTGGTTGATGCAACAACTCTTAGACGTCAGGTGAGGTCTTATGTTGCGTTCCAGTTACCTGGGAAGTCGGAGCTGGGAGTGATGTCACACCCAAGCAGTGTTGTTTTTCGTTGACAATGACGTTGACGGAAATATTTCGTCAACGTCATCGTCAACGAAAACAGCATTGCAGTATATATCTTTAACGTTTGACTGACGAAATGCTCATGAAATTTGCAACTCTGTTCGTCATCCACCACTAGTGTTTTCATCTAGTCTTGTCTCGTCAACGTAAACGCGTCGTGGAAAAAAAGGGGGAAACAACCAGTGTTGTTTTCGTTGACGATGACGTTGACGAAATATTTCCATCAACGTCATCGTCAACGAAAACAACACTACACCCGAGTTGACGGCGTTCCAGTTAACAAATCAGAAAACCAAGATGGATGCCTACAGTTACCCGTTGTTAGCTGTTGTTTACAATTGTCAGCTGTCGTTAGCCGTTGTCAGTTGTGGTTACCGGTTCTCAGCTGTCGTTAGTTGTTGTTAGCGATACCAGTCAGTTGTAAACAACGCATAACACAGTATTTTACTCTAACAAACACTATAGCACCGTGTTCACAGTTATATCTTTGGCAGTACAACATCTACCACTTATTGAATTTCACCAAAACAAAACAGAAGTGCGAATAAATAATACATTACGAGAGCTTTCACTGTTACTCTTTGCTGTTGATGCACTGCACTGCCATCTTGGATTATGACTTTGTCATCAAGTCGGGGTTGGTGAGGATCTTCCAACTTTCTGAGTCGGAGCTCAGAAATTCCGACTTCCGAGTACAACTGGAACTCAGCACCATTCAATGCTCTGTCTCCTTCTTTTTGTAAAGAAATCTAATCATGGAATCCCGAGTCAAAAACTAACATTTTCTTTTTACGTTCAGCTCATCAAGTTAAACCGGAGACTCCAACATTTGGAAGAGGAGAACAAGGAGCGAGCAAAGCGCGAGATGATCCTCTACTCTGTCACCGTAGCATTCTGGCTCGTCAACACCTGGGTGTGGTTGCGACGTTAGAGCCAGCCTGTATCTCTGCCATCACAATGACAGAAGAACGTACTATTCCCTTATTTTATGTGTCAAATGTTAGCTTTCCGCTGCACTCAGCTCCTGTGTGAGAGAGACCTTAAGAGACATGCACTCGTCTGTTGCACACAGGGCTATTTTTATTTAAAACATGTACAGTTTTATTTTTTTACTCTTATTTTGTTCTGTTTCATGTTCTCATACATTGGTTTTAGTAGAAACTTTCTCGCTCACTGCTAAGCATGACTTGTTGTAAATATTTGTTCATTTCACCCCAAATATACAGTATAGCATAATTTACCATTAAAGGAAATCTGCAATGTGACATGTTGACTATTTATTGCAGAGAGAGTGATATGTGAATTGAACTGGGACATGTAATATTTAGTAAAATTATACATAATTACCTGTTGTCATTTTGTCTTTGTATTTTTATATTTGGGTTTTTTTGGTGTCTTTATTTGATGAGGCAGTGCAGTGTATGAGGTAAGTGAGCAGAAAGTGACATGCAGGAAAGGAGCCACAGGTTTGGAATCAAACACAAATTGCTTGCAGAAGAGGCATGACCTCTGTACATATACAGGGTGCATGCCTAGACAAGTTGCTCCCCAGTTATCCTTTTCTTACCTCTAATAAAATACTCATATCACTATATAGTTTGATCTTAGACAGAGAAACATTTCTCTCTGAAAATGTTTTTGATTTTTTAGGATGCACCCAACATTGAAAGTGAGAAAAAAATTATTCAAAACAACCAACTGATCTAGATCATGTGGGATTTATTAGTTTTTCGACTCTTACATTAGCAGACACATAAACATAAAGCCGGAATGAAATAACCCAAAAGTGTCAAATGTGTTTAATTGAGCTTTGCATTCAGGCTGTGAAATTCATCTCTTAAACTTGTGGAGGAAAAAGACTAATAAAAAAAAAAACGTCTTCTTTTGAAATAATCAATCCAGCTCTTCAATCAGGCAGCGTGGTGGAGAAGTTGCAACCATCCTGGGCTGTCCCACAGGCTCAGATATCAGGGGCTCACATGCATCCTCATCCCCTGGATACACCAGTGATGAGAAACTCTGAGATATATCTGTTGATCTGTTGTGTCCACTCATAAAAAACAGTGAGTTTTCATTATTACTCAATGCAGGGTCGCTTTCATGCTGATCCTCAACTGCCTCATCCTCATCGGTACTTCCTGTTATGACCTCTATTTTGGGTTTAAATGCTCGCTGAGAGGAAACTGCCTCAATGACGTCTCCTGTGTCCACCTCCTCTAGATCCGGCAGGTCAGCGATACACAGTGAGCGTTGTAATGGAAGATCAATGGTTTCGAGCTGCTCTGGGTCTTCTAGCTCTCTAACCAGAGGTCCAGGTCCACAAAGTGAAACAACATCATCTGGTTCAGGAGCAACGACCCCCACCAGAGAGGGCTGTTTCTTTTCAAACTGTGCTGTCATGTTTACTGCTTCACTTTCCTCTTCATCTCTCTCAGAGAAGATTCTACATGCTTGTTTTTTCTGTTGCTTTTCATCAACTTCTTGTTCGGTCTTTGATATATTTGCAGCAATCAGATTCTGCTCTTGTGCTGACTGCTCTGGATTCACCTCTTCTCGTGTTTCTTTCCCGGGTGGTATTACAGTTGTTTCATCGTGATCAATCTCCTCTTCCTGAGATTCTTGACCAAACTGTACTGCTTCTATATCTTCACTGTCTGGCAGATTTTCAAAGGACCCCTTTGTTGATTGACTGGGTGAGAACTCTTCATGGACTTCAAGGCTGTCTTGCATGAAGGCTTTAATATTCTCTTCTTGTGGAGAAGTCAAAACCTGGGCGTCCTTTTCCTCACTTGGAGTCTCAAGATTGGTGGGAGTCTCGATTTCCCCTGAATTGAAACAGAATTTTTGAAATGTTTAAAACCAAAATCCACATTTTAGCTCTAAGTGTACTTTAGATGTTGATAACAGCTTACCTTTCTCCTGTAGCTCTCTGAGGCGCTGTTTCTCTCTGGCATCCATTCGAATCTTTGCCATGCAGTCCAGGCTGTCCTGAATTCTCCTCCTCTCTCTTGTTTCCCATTGCTCCCTCTCTTCACGCTCCCCCTCCAGGCCCCCAGCTGCCCACGCCTCTGCACATGCCCTGTCTTTGGGAAACACTGGGCGATCATCAAGGAAGGTGAGATGCTTGAGGCGCACTATCATGGTCTTCCTGTAGTTGGGGATTTTTTTCACTACCTCATTTCCCATGAGATCGAGGACTCTTAGATCTGGCATGGTCTCGAGTATGGAGAGGATCTCAGGGTCACGTAACAAATTGTGAGACAGATCAAGCACACTGATAGCCTTACACTGACTCAGATGCTCTATGTCCCCCACAGACTCCAGCTTGTTGTGGGCAATCTGCAGAGTGCTCAGATCAGGGAGGCAGGAGATATTCTCAATGACAGTTATGTAGTTGTTGGAGACATTGAGGGTGCAGAGCTTTTTCAAGGGTTCAAGGTTTTCCAGCTTGTATATGATGTTTTGCTGCAGGAACAAGCAGCGCAGATCACTTTGGGCTCCCAGGTTCTCAATACGGCGAAGGCCATTACTCTCCAGCCAGAGGCACTTCAATCCTGTGTACTCCTCTAAGTTTTCAATGGTTGAGAAGCCTTTGAAATGCAGATACAGTGTGTCATTCAGGTAAGGTGTTATGTAAAGTTTGTTCTGCTTACAGTGGTCTTTGAGAAATGCCTTGGTCATCCGTGGCCCGGACGGTTTCTCTTTTCTGTCCTGGGGTCGGCATTGTAGATTTTTGTTTTCATTTACTTCTTGATCTTTTGTAATCGCATCTCCACTTTCCATTTTGGTCGTCTTCAACTCTTGATCTCCCATCGTGTCCTTGGCTTCAACGATTGACATCGCAAAACATATGAAAACAAATCACATTTACAAGCTTTGTGTATCTTTATAATGTCGCTTATCTTCCCTGTTAAGTGTAGCTGCTCGTAAAACACACTCGTCCTCAAATTTTACACAGAAGTCTCTTCGGTTCACCAACGCCTGTAAAAGTTTGTAAACGTTACCATAGTAACAGTTGTTCCTCATACTAGGACCCCTAGATATATACAGGAAAGGCTAGATGACTCGAGGCGGAGTCACTGGCGTCCCTACACGGCGGCCATCTTACTCCAGCATACCATTCTGGCACGCGCTGTAGTAGCTGACGGGAGGTAAGTGATCTGCATGATCATAAATACTCATAAATCGCTGAAATCTTGACAGATTTACAAATGGTTTTGTTTATTACAGACATAAATAACGTGGCTATGAATCAGGGTTCTTGTCTGTCTATCTATCTATCTATCTATCTATCTATCTATCTATCTATCTATCTATCTAGTTAGTTAGTTAGTTAGTTAGTTAGTTAGTTAGTTAGTTAGTTAGTCTATGTGACAGTCTTTGTGGGTGTGCTTGTGTTAATCAACTGTCTAACTTGGCTAACAGGCTCTGTGAGTAAGACCAAGTACGTATTAAAAAGTTGACCCAGCAATTTTACATGAGTTGGAGAGGCAGAAATGCTCTTTCGTTTCAACATAACTTCAGTTGCACATGATTTCCAAGCTGTTTGGTTTGTTAAAAACATCTAAAATGGCAACATGAGGCAGAAATTTATATTTAAAATAAATATGTATATATGTTATTGATATATGTTATTATAGTTATCCCTGTAATAGAAATATTACTAATATAACACACATGGAAGGAGATATATATATATATATATATATATATATATATATATATATATATATATATATATATATATATATATATATACATTTAATATGATTTAATATAACTGCCTTGTGTGTAGGCCTATAGCTATTGCTCTACCTATCTGCTTAATGTTTATAAGTGAAAATCCATGGTTAAAATTATTCTTGAGTTGCAGGAACATAACTTAAACCCTTGGGTTTGTTACAAATCCAAACCGTTTGAAAATCGGTTTAAATTTAAGCAACCTATGGTTATTTAAATGCTACATGCACCGTAGACTGTAATGTTGTGAGTGGGCGAGCGTCCCGTAGCAAAATGGCCGCAATGAGCGGACGTCGGTCTCCATTGGCTAACAGCGTGCGTAAGCCATCTAGCGTTTCTATGCTAGGACCTGTCCGGTCCGCACTTGTTTCGCCTCGGACCGTTTTGCCTGATGCACTCCGTCCTCGGTAACCATCATGGCGTCCGGGTACCTGTTAAATCGTGGAGTGCTCGCGCTAGGAATCCACGGTCAGCGTGTTTGCAGAAACGTGTTATTAACACAAGTGAGAGAGAAAAAGCGATGGATGAAAGCATACAAATTACTGATGGCAAAGAAGCTGAAGCTCGAAGGACCTCCACCACCGACCCCACGGTGAGGCTAATGCAACTTAGCTAAAAGGAATCCACTAGAGAACATTTCAAGGCCATCTAGGTTGTAAATACATAAACCAGTTTCTGTGTACATGAGGCCTAGAATACCTGACAGGTTTAACACAGGAAATTCAGAACAGCGCTGAGCTCTGAATTAAACTCTAACATTGTCTTTGTTTCAGCTCTCAGAAGCTAAACTGGAACTATCACGCTGAGGTTCAGGCTTTCAGCATCCGCCTCCATGAGAACTTCTCCCTTGAGCTCTTGAAAACCGCCTTCATAAACCCTTGTTACCTGCATGCGGAGCAGGAAAAGAGACAAAGCTTAGGTGTGGACTCCGAGACCACCGCTCTCAATCTGAAGGATAACACTCAACTGAGTCAAAAGGGAGAAGATTTCACCCAAAGCTTCTTGACTGACTGGTGCAGGGCCAGTTTTCCCAGTCTGCCAAGTGAAGGAGTGGACAGCGTCGTAGGGCACCTCACCAGTTGTGCGGTCATTGCCCATGTTGCGAGGAATCTTGGCACTGACGACCTCACCATGAGTGCAGAGTGCCCTGTACCTGAAAGTGTACTTCATTCTACATTCATGGCAGTAATCGGAGCTCTGCAGGAGAGCAGTGGTGCAGAGCGGACAGGGTTTTTCCTCAGGGTGAGAGGCTTGAAGGAGATTCATTGCAGGAATCTTGTATTAGGGATATTCCGGTGTAAAATTAATTTAGGGTCAAACACACCATAACACTGAGTTAGACACCCCCTCGAGAGATGAATGTTGCCGACTGCTTGCTTCTCTAGTTATACCAACTTTAGTAATGACCACACGATAACAATGCACAGCAGTCTGAGGAGCCACACACAAATCTCAACCAAAACGCCACTCTATAGCCACAAATAATGCTCAGAACAGCACCTAACTTCATCAACTGTACATTTAGGGTCCCAGCCACAGCACTAGTCACCAAACATCTTTTTAGCTTTGCATGATTTCTTTAGCAAAGGTTTTAACACAACTCACCTACTTTCATCCAGCAGCCGCTTGTTTGTAGTGAGACCTCGGGCCAGTCCATTACGGACTGCAGCGGGGTTACGCAGCTCAAGGAAGAACATTTATGATCATTTCTTCATGGAAAGCCAATCAGACCGAGACCCTAAGACAGAAGTACTACCGCATCTGCAGTGCAAAATGATTGATATGATGATTATTACTTCAAGGAAATGATGAAGAAATGATCATAAATATTCTTCCTTGAGCTGCGTAACCCCACAGCTGTCCGTAATAAACTGGACTGTGGTCTCACTACAAACAAGCGGCTTCTGGATGAGAGTAGGTGAGTTGTGTTTAGTCTCTTTGCTAAAGGAATCAGGCAAAACTAAAATAAATGTTTGGTGGCTAGTGCTGTGGCTGGGACCATTTATGTACTATTGATTAAGTTAGGTGCTGTTCTGAGCATTATTTGTGGCTATAGAATGGTGTTTTGGTTGAGGTTTGTTTATGGCTTCTCAGACCGCTGTGTATTGCTATTGTGCTGTCGTTACTGAAGTTGTTATAACTAGAGAAGCAAGTGGTCGGCAACATTCATCTCTTGAGGGGGTGTCTAACTCGATGTTATGGTGTGTTTGACCCTAAATTAATTTTATGCCAGAATATCCCTGTAGTGATGTCTGTCCGTTAAACTTTTTTGTGTGTACTGTGATATAACAGTTTTCTTTGTTTTCCCTCACTGTAGGATTTCTTGGCTAGTCAGCTGATAGGGAAGGACCTGTTTGATATGTGGACAGTTGTAAATCCTATGGGTTTACTCGTGGAAGAACTGACAAAGAGGAACATCCCACTGCCAGAGCCTCGCCTCATCAGGTCTGCTGGAGCCAGCACTGTCCTACCGCTGTACTTTGTCGGCCTGTACAGGTGTGTGTGCTGCAGTCAATAAACAGATTACATATTGAAGTGTTAAGTGTAAAATGTGCTTAACATATATTTTCTGTTTGTTTATTGGTTTATCAGTGACAAGAAGCTTCTGGCTCAGGGTCCAGGAGAGACAGTCTTCGCAGCTGAGGAAGAAGCAGCCCGTGTTGCCCTCCGAAAACTCTACGGCTACACTGAGAACCGCAGACCCCTTGACTTCTCTCCACAGCAGCATCAGAATCCCTTAATTCAATCAGCCATTAGCAATTAATAATGTTCAGTTATTATGATTATGATTGTGTTCAATTATCAAGACTGTTTATGATGAGTATTTGAATGGCATTTTCCTCATATGACCGAGAGCAAAGCTAAGCCTTAAAGGCCACATAAAAGATATATAAAATGTTTCATAATATTGTTAGGAGTAAAGACCTCTGACCCTACAGCTTACTTTGGCTATAACCAAAAGGTCCAGTGGTCCTTGGAATAAAGTGAGATTGATGTCTGGTTGTCCTTGTAAATAATCCATTTACTGTCACTCTAACTTACACTGTCATGACATGTTTTTGTCATGTATTAAAAAGTTTAAAGTATGTGTGCATCATTCCTTTTCTCAAGCTTGATTTTTGTATTACAACTGTTTCCTTCCATGCTTTTGTATACTTTATGTTTCTATGACAGATATGCCATTGCAAATTTAATGCCTAGAATTTTTCTTAAATTACATGTGGTTGGCCTCACAGCAAGAAGTTTAATCCAACAAGTGAACAAAAAACCCATCTGTTGGGGGCCATGCTGTCTGCAATTTAAATGTTCTCTATGTGCATGTGTTAATTCTGGCTTCCTTTCTTTAGCCTAGGTCAGTCTAAGGTATTGTATAGGTGGGTAGAGAAATAGGTGGTTGTATTGAATCACAGATCTAAGTAAATGAAAGACCTGTTAAAGAATTTCATTGAGAAATTCAAAAGATATATTTCATAGTTTATTGACAAAAATTTATTCACATAACCCTCATTTTGGGTTAATGTAGTGTTACAAACTGAAGCCTTTGAGACACAATCACTAGTGAGCCAAACGCGCCCCACCTTAGTGTTGCAGTAACGCTGCGAATACGCACAGGGGCGCCGATGCTCTTGGGAAAGCAAGCATTGTCACGAGTACCACCAGAGTAGTGATGGGCACTGCAGCTGTTTTAGATGTACTGAATCACTAGAATCAGTTCACTAAAAAGATTCGTTTACCAAATCACCGAATCATGTAGCGCTTGGCGGTAGAAGCCTGCGACACAGCTGAATGGTTCAGGATTCAGTTCAATTCATAGCTTCTGGGACTGGGAGTCATGAGTGTTTGGCTGTGTTGCTTTAGGAAACAGATTTGTGAAATTGAACTTGTTTATAAGTCATGATGTTTTAAGTGTACTGTCCTATGGCATGCTGTTAATTAGGTCTGCTCGGTAAATTAGCCTCAGTGAGTGATTTGTTCACTGAACGTTAAGAAGAATTCAAACTGAACATACACCGTTCCCTCTCAAACTGCTGCAATGATAGGATGCTGCGAGTTTAATGCACTAGTTGTTACATGCTGTGTCATATGGTATGCAAGTTGTTGTGGTGGCAATTTAGCAGTGAAAAAACAGGTCGTTTTGTTTGACAAAGATGATTCCAGAGAGCATAGTTCGATGCGTGAATCGTTCCCCAAGTGATTCAGGTGTCTGTGCATGCGGTCCCTCGTTTGCCAGCTGCTCGACTGGCAGTACCGTTTCTCACTTCAGCTCTACTGTAGTGAGAAACGAACGAATCACTCGAGGAAGAAATTCGGTTAAGTACGTTCACTCAAAAGATTTGGTTCTTTTGAACGAATCGTTCGCGAACGACACAACACTACACCGGAGAACACTAAGGAAACGAGATTTTATTTCAAGCCTTTATAACCGATTTAGTCCTTAAATTGTAGCTTGCAGCAACTGTGGTTTTCATAGTCAAGTATTTAACTAAAGGTATGCATGGCATTATTGTGTTTGGCCTACGTCTAACAAACCGCGGATATACAGAGAGACATGTTTTAGACCACAAAACAGTAATATGGTTGTCGATTTTTGATAAAATAAAAATATTTTTTTTTCATAAATATTTTAAGGAATATGGGACAACTGTATCCGTCCCTGACCCCAAAAAACAGGCGGTGTGTTCTGCGTAACGGGATTTTAACGAAAGCGGAAGTTGACGATAGGTCGCAGCTTGTTCCGTTAGAAACCGGAGTCCAACGCCTCAAACTCCTTGTTTGAGGAGACGCAAGGCCCCCCCTGACAACCGAGCTACGTCCACATCCTCTCCATACCCTCGACACGGGCCGGGCAACCGTTTTTAAAAAGCACAGAGCTTTTATTTTTAGTTGCAGCAGACCCTCCAGTCTTCCTCCCTGGGTGTATATTTAATCCTGCTGTCTATCCTTCACCATGGCGGCGAGTGCGAAACGAAAACAGGAGGAGAAGCACCTGAAGATGCTGAGAGAAATGACGAGTTTGCCTCACAACAGAAAGTGCTTTGACTGCGACCAGCGCGGCCCTACCTATGCCAACATGACCGTGGGCTCCTTCGTGTGTACCTCCTGCTCTGGCATCCTGTAAGTTTCGTGTCGCTGAGTGACCTTAGTTTAGACATGGCGTACAATACTTACCGTTTTGGTTCCCTGTGTGAGCTACACGCGGAAACTTAAAACGAGCTAGCCTCCTAGTGCTAGCTAATCTATTGGGAGATAGTCATGCAGTTGTGCCAGTGTGAGTGTAGCTGTTTTTGACATTGTGTTACTCTGCGGTATTGGGCGGGGTGCAGAGATGTCAGTGTTTAGCAAGTCGAGCTAATTTAGCAACCACCTTAGACTGGCTAACCTTAGCTACCCAGAAAATATAGGAGACTGTTCTTGCTTGCTGGTTTTGCTGAGCTGCATTTAACTACCAGTTGCTGAAAATGTATGGAAGCACCACCTTGTAACAGTGTTATTGGTGACACATGCACACATCTGAAAATTTAGATGAGGTATTATAACTGTGAATTTGATGTATTTTGTAGATATCACACTTAACTTTGATATCAGCAAGAATTCCTTGTTGGTGCATGATGTAAAGTGATACCAGTGGTGACACATGGCTGGGCGTGGGATAGCCGAAAGATTTCGAGATGCAACTGATAATGCAGTACCAATATATGAGCTGTGTTTTGTCTTGTGGTTAAAAAATTGTACGCATTATACTATTTCTTTAACCCTCCTCCTGTGTTAGAGTCTGTGCTAGGGCCCGACCGATTTATCGGCGAGCCGATTTAATCGGCCAATTTCAGCCCGTCGGGAATCGGCCAAAACTCACCGATTGTCGATTGGGGGGTTAGTTGAAAACGCTTTCCTGGTCTGAGTTTGAGTCATGAGAAATACGTGGAATGTTACTGAGATGATCAGTAGGTCTTCCTGTCCGCGTGAAGAGCAGTAGCCTACAGTATATCAAGTGTTCCTCATTTTTTATGATGTAGCTTTTTTAAAATTTATTTATATAGGCTATTTATTTTAGAGGATGATGAGTGTGTGAGTTTGACAAGACAGACGTTGACTAAATAATCAGACCCACACCCGCTACAGCCTGCATAATAAGCTGAAACGAATTGGTTTATCATCTTTATTACAGTTAAAATAGCCAGGGGTTGTTTTAGCAATAAAAAGGATTTGAAATGAGTTTTCTGCCTTTAATTTTTTGAAGAAGTGATAAAAAAAATTTTTAAATCGTCCGGTTAATTGGAAATCATATTTTTTCCCCCTTTACAAATGGTATCGGCCCCAAAAAAACGTGTTGGGCGGGCCCGAGTCTGTACCACAACGATTTTGATTTTAAATGCTTTAAAAAAAAAACTTAAATTAGCTTTTTTACATCATGACCTTTTGGCTTTGTCAGGAACCTCCATTAACAAAATAAAAAAAATAAATTGACTCAATTATAAAACGCTCTCGTTAAAATTATGGCACTTGTCATGTTAGGGTCACTGTTGACCCAGTTAGATCAATATCTAATAATCAAAGCAAAAACTGAAATCAAAGTGCACTGTCAGGCACCACACTGACAGTCAGATCCTCTTCCAATCATGTGAGATTTAGGAAATTCTCATTTTGCCATGTTTTCCCTGCACAAAAAGCAACATCAGGCATGTCCAGACATGTGAGATCAATTCAGTATAGATGTCTGTATGTGGGGTATACTGACAAAGAAAGGCCCAGAGGCCCACAACATAAATATTATAAGAATTATTTTCATGGATAATGAAGCCTAACAAGATAACCTAGAGATGAGAACCAAATTGGATAATAAAGATTTGTTTTACTGTAATTTACAGCTGATTTAAGACACGGGTCAAAACTGACCCTTCACATGGTTGGTGCATAGTAAAAGCTAACACAGGAGGAAGGTTAACAGGTGCACACTGACTAATGTGTCAGCATGGGTAACAGCCTTTCTGCAGTGCTGACCCAAAGCTTTTGTCCGTTTTTTCTATTTGTAACCACAGTCTGATATGGCAATAGTAGTATCAGTTTTGCTCGATGATGCGACCTTAGATAGCGTTTGCCTGTGTGATTTAAAGCTCTGCTGTGCAGTTGTGTAACCAAGCATCTGCAGCTTGTGATTTGGGATTAGTAAAGCATTCCATTTCTTCTTATTCAGCTTAAGATATCCCACCTCAGTTCAGCTGTCAAATGTTGCATACTGAAGAGGTTTTGTGTTGTTAGTGTGAGTCATGTGAGCAACAGTTTTTAAGAAATCCAAAGCAGTATAATGACAAATAAGCGTATGATTTTTCACAGGAGTTTTATCTGTTGCAAAATGAAAACATGGTCGGCATTAAACATACAAGAAATCCTTTCTCCATCAAGTTCTCACAAATAGCTATACCTTGTTTTGTCAATATATATATATTTACAAGCCTTTGTGAATGAAACATTTGAGCAAAGTGTCTTTTTGCTACTATCAGGTAACTTATTTAACTCCTGATTCCTCTTCTAAGATATGTCTGCAGGTCCTTCCAAATGCTTTAGTGAAATAATATGTTCCATTTGTGAGTATTAGGTTTTCCTGTAATGTTGCAAGGGAAAGATAAAACATTTGTTGCTTAGTTATTTCACAGTGACCTTCATGCCAGTGGAACAGATGAAGACTTGGATGCACTCCCTCTCACTTTGCCCACTATACAGACCTTGTTTGACTCCGTTTGTGACCTTAATCTGCACAAACTGCTTGTCTCCACTTGAAATGTGGAGTGTATTTACTTTAGCATATCAAAGAATGAGATTAACGGTGTGTTTGCTGATGGACAGAGTTTGCCCTCTATTTCACTTCACCAGTGGGTCTGCTGGGACTCCACTGTGAATAACCATCTGCTTACACGTTGGTATTAGTACTTGTTATGCAAGGAAATTGAGTTCTGTTATAGTTTCAGAATGCAAATCACAGTTTTCCCTTCATCTCCCCACGCAGACACCCTCTCTTACATTTTTTAAGACAAATCATGCTGCTGTTGTTGGAATTTTTTAGCAAAGTTGTTTCCAGTAGAAGAGTGTGGGACTGAAAGGACTGATGTATACAGGAAGTCTGGTGTGATTGTAAGCTCAGGAAATGGTATGGCTCCACTGTTCTGCTACATCAGCAGCATGTGCTGTTACATGTGCCACAGGAAGTGGCATAGAGGTCACTGTCTGCCTCTGTCTATTAACTAAAGTTGGGCATCTGGGGATTCATGCTCAGGCATGATTTGTTGGTTTGGTTACTGCCTTTAATCTACCTGTAATGACTCTTTATTAATGAATACAGATGAAGGCTTGTTTTGTACCATCATTTGAAGCAAAAACCATTTAACAGAGAAACTCAGCTCTACAAATGGTGTGCATTTTCCATGAGTTATATTGTATGTGCTGATTTTAAGTCTTAAACAATAAATATGACAGGTACAGACTCTGCAGAGACAACTCAGTGTGTCTTCTTTTTTTTTAGCATTGAGTTAAATAATAGTCGAAGCAAGAAGACTACCTGTCCCCCCCTCCCCATGCGCACACATAGTTGTGGCTATTTAATGGGTGGAGTTGGAATCTCCAATGTAAACACATTCCTCGTGAAGGTGGAGGCGTTCCCGGGAGGAACACCACTCACAATGTCTCTTTCTAGAGTGCTGTGCTCAGGGCAGGAAGTAACCCCACTTGGCCTGTGTGTTCCTGAGTAAGCAGGGCTCAAGCAGAGACTAGAGCGTAACCGAAAGGTCAGGAGATGTCACTTGCATCAACTGTCCGGGAGAATATGAATCTTTCATGAATGAACAGATAAGACTTGAACTGTGAAGCTCAGCATGTGTGATTAAACTCATGTCCACTGGTGATTTGACAGTGAGTCATGAAAATCGGACTTTTGTTTTGTGCTTAATCATTGTAAAAGAAGTGTTTTTATACTCTTTAAGCAGCATACTGAAGAAAGGCGTAAAGCCCTCCTCTCTTTTGAGAATTATTGGTGCCAGTTTCTGTCACCCTAGAGCTGTTACAGTATGCAAATGAGCAGAGCTGGTCTGATACACAGTAGTGACTAGGTCATAATTATTTTACTGTGCAATATGTGAAACTGTTCCCTGACACACTCTTCTATTCAGCAAGACATGTTGTGAAAAAAAGGTGAGAATGGAAAGCAAGCCTGAGCAAAGGTTTGAGGGAGTCACTCGTTTCTGATTGAGGCACTGCAGCTGAGTGAAATATTTAGATGTAGGAACTAGCAATTTATTGGTACTGCATTTTACATGCTGTCTGAGTACCCGCAATTATATGACTGGAGGACCATAACAAATATCTGGGATTGATGCCCCCATGGTGAACAGGAAACAGGCCCCATTTGAGAGTTTTAGTGTTTTCACTGGATGTAAAATGACTCCAGTTATAATATAATATGCACTAATTCAATCCATGTTTGTTTGTAAGACAAAACATATTTCGAACTTCACAATCTTTGCAGATAGGGTATATTTAACAAGCTTATACCAAAGTAAATGAAGAAATGAAAACTGAGATTATGTTTAACAGCAACAACAGAATTGAGCTACTGTGTGGCACCCTGCCTTGGTTTGAGACCTTAAGGGCTTGAAGTTGGTCTCACTGTATCTGACCTAGTTACATCTTCATGAGTCGACTGTGGGATCTTATCACTCACCTACCGCAGGGCTCTGAGAATTCCACTCACGCACTCCCATCTTTTTTTCTCCTACAGTCAAGTCTAATTTTGCAATGATAGGGACGCATCTCACAAAGGCTGTCATAGTTTCATCATGTAAGTCATTTAAACAGAAGGATGGATGATCTGCTTTCATTCAGTTGTTGAATTAGTATATGATTTGGTAGTGTTTCATTTCCAAGGAAGGTCAAGTTGACAATGAAATCCAGCTGTTGTTTGTAGTTTTTTGTTTTTTCAATCATGGCTTTTACTTTAACCATTAACCATGATTAAATTTTCCTTCGGAGATCAATAAAGTTATTCTTAAAGTTAAAGTTATTTTTTTATCCTCTCGGAGTGTGATCAGCATGACAAACAAAGGGTATGTTAAAAAGGGTGGCACCTAAAACACAGCCTAAGTAGATCCTATAGATCCTGATTGAACACGGTTATTGACGTTGGGTTTCTGTGTTTTCATTGTGACACAGCTGTTTGATTGATTATATCGACTGTTGAGTAGTATAGGGCTTTTTTATTGGTTGACAGACAAGACTGTTGAAAATACATCTGTTTGTAATACTTGGCAGACCAGCTGGCTCATTGGTGAATGTATACGAAATAGATGGAGGTAAGAACACGTTCTGTCAGGGGTAACGTTCGTAAATAATTCAGCAGACTCGTCTTGTATTTCACTGCCTTTAGGATCTGACTCCTGTGTATGACAATGTGTTTGTAATTGTTACACTGAGGATCTAATTTCCAAGAGCAGGGAGTGGATCGGCAGCACCCAAAGGTGCGTTGAGGATGGAGACTTTTTTAAAGCATTTTACAAAAACCACAACAAAAAAACTTCATGAATGTTTTTGTGTTCAACAATAAAGAAAAAAAGTGATTTATAGCGGGAGAATGGAGGTTTGCAGAAAAACAGCAGTAGTTGTGACCGAAGTGAAGTCCTGTGTTCTGTGTGTGCTTAGAAAGAAGCATCTGAATGTAAAAAAGCTGACTGTAATAACATCAGAGAAATCAAAAGTGAATTATAAGTTCTTTGACTCATTTTCCAGAAGAGCTGAATCGGGAAAACACCAGTTCAGTTTCACAGCTATTGTGAGCAAAAATATACTTAAATATTTAAGAAACAGCTGTCTGATCAAAGAACTTCGAAAAAAACAAGCTAAATAGTCGAGGAAAAGCTTTGAAAGTGTTGGAGAAACTGGGACGTTTTTGTTGCCAGCAGAATGTTCTTGTTGAAGTCAGTCCAAAATAACAACCAACCTCAAGCTAACGTCATTGAGCGTGGATAAAATGTATGATACCCCACCAGAATAGTCCAGACATATTCATCTGTAGTTGATCCATTTGCATGACAGATGAAACCGTTTGACCTATCACACACTGCTCATGTTAGCCTCAGCACAGTGAACTTGATAGTTCAGTTGTTAGAAGTGCATGCAGCTCATTTCTGCTTTTTAAAATAAAAATGAAATCAAAGTAAACTGTGCCAGCATGAAAAGATGAGTCAATGGATTCAATTTTAAGTATGTATGTCGTTATAAGATTTCATTTATATCACCTTTCCATCAAAATAGTGTGATGCTTTGTTCAAATCTAGTAAGTAAACTGTTGTGTCATGACTGTGTTAATGAATCCTGTGACTGTCTATTTCTAGTTACACTAAAAATATCCTTTACATGACAACACACTTAACTCAGCACAAACCATCTTTTATATATCCTTTTTTATTTTGTCTTTCAAATGTGTAAAAAAAACTGTACATGTGCTGAGATTGCTGTCTAAATGCTTTGGGAACACTTGGATCCTGTGAAGGACACTCATGGAAGAATTCTGATGACATGTATTTGCTAAAAGGCAGGTTTAGACATAAGTGGAGTAAGTGGACATATAAATGCACATTCAATGTCAAAGGACTTTAATAACATGTGACTGATGACTCTTAATTTGATTGTTGTCTGGTTTGCTCTGTAGTGGCTGTTAAATGTAACAGAACTTCAAGCTACTGTTAGTTTAAGTCCAGTTGTTTCATGAAAGGTAACTGATATTAAAAATGTCCTGAAACCACTTATAACAGTTTCACATAGTGAGCTACAGTTTCATATTAGATCATGCAGCAGTGAGTTGTCTGTCCCTTCTTCTGATGGCTGTATTTCTCAGCAGTAACACTCTGATCACAGTTGAAATAATCTGCTTGCATGCTGGATGCTGATTGGTCACCTACACAGACAAAACATGTGGTGACCTTGAAGCCAGCGCAGCACTTTCACTTAGAAGCAGGCCTAGAGCTTAATATAAAACCCTGATGCTGCCTCTCTCTTTTCTTTTTGTTAACCATTATAGCTACCGGGCGGTTTTAATTTGGGCTGCGCTGGCATGAGCTGTGACCTTCTGAGGAACATGAGCAAGCCTTGTGTGGCCTAATGGGTGTTACTCCATAATGGAAGTTTCTATATTAAGACAGATCACTTGTTCTGTCACCGTTCTGACAGCCTCAGAGCAGCGAGCAGCAATTAGGACAGAGTTTCACCCACTTCCTTTTGTTCTGTTCACTCCCTGTCATTTTCTGACACTGTTTTGTGATTTCTATCAATAATTCTGTCACAGCAGCCCGTCAGCTTGTTTCGAATTAGAGGGCACCATCCGAAGAGGTGGGGGTCCGGAGTTTGTCGGCATGAGGCTGTCACAAACAGTGTTGCTAAATTAAATGACCCCGTTTCCATTTCTTCGCCCACAGACGAGGACTGAATCCCCCCCACAGAGTTAAGTCCATCTCCATGACTACCTTCACGCAACAGGAAATCGAGTTCCTACAGAAACATGGAAATGAGGTAAGCAGGTGACTGTCCACTTGGTATGTGAGGGTCGAGATCAGGTCTCTCACAGCTTTGCTCTACGAACTATTTATGCACAGGGTGTCTGCAGGTTTCAACAAGTCAGATTAAGACTCTTTAAGACTTTTTTTTAAGACCTAATGAATACAATTTAAGACCCATTTTGTATCCACACTGGCAAAAAAGTACAAAAGACATGAAGGGAAATGGGGACATTTCACATTACTTCAAATTAATCTTTATTTGTATGTCAAGTTATCTACTTAAGATCTTACAGAATCGTATTTAAGACATTTTATGAGATTTTAACAGAATTATAGACAATCAAATGATTGGATTTAACACCCTGTTGATACCCTGTATGTAGTTTGGCTCTTCATCATGCCATCCCTCTTACATCCTTATTGGGTTATCCATCTGATATGAATGCTTTTGACAAGTGTTTTCCAGAGAATATAAAACACAGACTAAAAGAAGACAGGTTGTCACATTTTATTATAATGGGTTTAGAAAATATTGTACAGATTATTATTAACAACCTTAATCCTGGAAGCTGCAAGTTGTACGGCTTCCTGTCCACACTGTCATTGTCTCCTTTTTCCATCATGACATCTACCAACCTTGTGTTTGGCAGAAAAACTATTATTTTAATTATTGTAAGAGTTAAAACTTCTACTGGTAGAATTCAAAAACGTACTTACAAAATTAGCAAGGCTCTCATTGTGGAAAAAAAAAACAGTGAAAGTGTATTTTTGAACTTGTGAACTGACTGTTGAACATGAGACAGGAAGTGGTTGCTGACAGCAAGTACACCTGTGTATCAAAACAGATATGAGTGTTCACTGAAAATTAGAGTCAGATGTAGAGTACTGTATTCATCACAGGGGGAAATTCAGAAATTAAGATCCCCCTTGATGATTGACTCCATTATGGGTCATGCAGTTTCTTCACAGGTGGGATCTTGGTCAAACTGTAAGGCTACATGGTCTGTTTTATAGTCATGCATATTTATCTCTGAGAGTCTTTCAGAAATGCCTGGTACTTTAAATTCTACTGCTCTGAAACTGTGCAACATATTCGTACTGCGCACAGAAACCAAAATGCTTGATCATCCAAGAGTGAGTTCTGGTAATCGGAGATTGAAATGGAGCAACGCCACCTGGGATCACAGCCTATTAAAATCTGTAGCAAACTGTCACGGCAGAGAGACATTAAGGAGACTCGGTGAAGGAGATGATGCTCAAGGCTGATGTAAAAATACTGCTGCCATCAAACTGATTATCCTTCAGGAAGATCATTACACACTGATAAAAACTATCACAAAACACTCTATTTCTTACAGATACAAGCCAAAACTTAGAGAATCATTAGTAAAGAATAGCTACCATAAATTGTGAATATGTCACTGTGAAAGAACAAGCTAAAGAAATAACACTGGAACAGAGGTCGAGCAGCTCCATGATACTAGTTATTTAAAATGTTCAGGAATCATTTAAGGCTCTTTTTACAAGACTAGGCAAATATATTTGCTATGCTTTTATATCAAAGAGCCAAGAGCAAATAAAGGTGAGATTTAAACTGATGAAGCAACCCAAGAGAACCGCCATGAAACATCAGTGAAGACTCTCTTGACCTTCACCTGCACTTCATGGCTTTCAGGGGATTAACTGTATCATCATTGAGGGGATGCTCCGTGATAACCAGCTTATCATGTCATTTCCCTGTGCCGTGTTCCTCTATATCACTGTGGCAAAACAAATTAAATTGCTGATTATGAAGGTGAAACAACCTTGCACTCATTTGCTTTTCGACGTGCTGCTCTGTCTGTTCCAGGTGTGTAAGCAGATCTGGCTGGGCCTTTATGACGACAGGACCTCCTCGGTACCAGACTTCAGGGAACCACAAAAAGTCAAGGAGTTCCTACAAGAAAAATATGAGAAGAAGAGATGGTTAGTCTATTTTATGAGCGCTCCTCGGGCTGTGTGCACCGCGCAGACATGTAGAGTTCCTCTGAGTTTTCCTGCTCCCTGGCTTGGAATGTCTGTCAGGCAGCCTATAGCGGTTCGCCCCCAGCAAGCCAGCAGATATCCGTCTTTAAATGCAAAGAATGTAGGTCATGACAGTCAAGCTGCTTTCTGTGCGAAAGGAAGTTGTTCCATGAAATTATGGGTTAATTAAGTTCAACTATGTATGACATTTAGCATAGAAGTAATATGATCGTGAATGTTTAGATTAATGGGAGCAATTATTTCAGAAAAGTACAACTAATGCAAAATAATTGTATGTCCCATAAAGATTAGTTTGTCGAGGACTGCTCATTATTTAGTCAATAATTAAATAAGACCTGTAACATTGGAAATGCTTCTGTCATTTGCTTGTGTTTGCCTGGAGTTCATGAGAGCGATGTATAGTACATGTCTGAACATGTCAAGATTCACTGTCCCTCACACAGGCACATCCTGGTTTCTGCAGTGTCTACTTTTTTCACGATAGATTTTCTCTCTGTCTAGTCTCTATTTTGGGGTTGTTTGATGATGCAATTTTTTAAAGTTGCTGCACATGAAATGTAACGCAGTCTGTGAACTGTTCACCAGGTACGTACCCCCAGAGCAAGCCAAAGTAGTGGCGTCCGTCCATGCTTCCATCTCTGGCTCCTCCAACAGCAGCACTAGCAGCACACCTGAGGTTAGACCACTGAAATCCCTGCTGGGGGACTCGGCTCCCCCCATACACCTCAACAAGAGCACCCCTCCTAATCAGGTGAGATTTATTCACTGTGTGCGCTTAGTAAAAAAGATGATATTGCAAACAGAGCCACAGGGTTTTTAAGTTTTTAAGTTTCCAAGTTTGTTTGACAAGCATTTTAGATAACAGGAATAACGTTTCAGTTTGTTCTGCCTTCTTGCTCGCAGCTAGCCGTAGTCATAATTTGATTTGACAGTATACAGAGATTCATGAATCTGCTTGTTGGAAAAGAATGCTGGCTTTCTGACTGATTTTCCCCACTGTCACAGATCTCATATCTCTTCTTGCTGGCACATCCTAACCACAGTTTAACAATAAACCCTGTTTTAAAAGGCCCTTTTGTTTTCTTCCTGAGTCACAGTGTGAAGTTTGCTTAAGGACTGGCAGGCCTGCACACATTCTAATGCATGCTGCAGAAAACACACCTGCCGTTTGACTGAAATCATTGTCTTGTTTCCACCAGTCTCCAGTGGTGAGCCGTGGACAAACCCACCAGCAGCAGTTCCATGACAAGAGGTTCGACCTCCTCAGTGACTTGGGTGGAGACATCTTTGCTGCCCCACCCAACATGAACGCTGGCGCCAGCTCCAGTTTTGCTAACTTTGCACATTTCAACAGCCACACAAGTAAGAAACACACAAATGAATGATTGAGCAATATGTCCAAGGCAGAACTGCCGCCACTGTTAGGAAATTTAACGGTTCGGGAGGAAAAAAATATGAATCTCATTTGACTGAAAGAACAGACGGTATTTGGGGAGACATCGACAATATGCTGATGCAGAAAATGAACTGATGCAGAAAACATGGAGAACCTCTGAGTCACATAATTTTAGTCCTGAAACCAAAGGCGCCAAATCCTCTGCTTTAGTAGAGTTCACGCTTTTTTTTATCGGTATTTTTGGATGAACACTTGTGGAAGGTACCGGTGAAAGAAGTTTAGAGGAAATTTGGTGAATCTCAGCTGATGTGTACGTTAACATGAGTACCCATTTCATGAATTACTAAACACGAATGCTGGGATAATTGATGTGAAATAATTTCAAAGAGAAAACTCTGCGCAGAGACAGCGGCGGAGTTCAGAATCACTCAGAATCTGTTAAATATTTGCAGCCACGTTCCACAATTAAAAAGCATCGCCATATATGGAAGAGTACTGTGGATACTACAAACAAACACATCTCCATGGTTACTAATGCCTGTACCACAGGGCTATTAGTGTTTGCCTTCCATGGAGGATAATATCCTCTCATTTCCCCTCAAAGAGCCATCAAGACTCACTCTTATTGCAGTGACTATCATGGCATCCTCACATTTCCTCATCGCCAACATAAGCAAGGGGGGAGGCGGGAGTGGGGGGCTTCAAACACACAATTCTCTGTGCTCAATTTAGAGTCCTGACGGTATCCTATGGTAAGGGCTGAACAATGAACTGCCTTGTCTGCCCTTTAATCCCTCATGCACTATATTACATTAAATCACTCTCTGATCATCTCTCATATTTAGCTCATAATCCATTGTGTTTGTTTTGTATTCCATGCTTTTTATTATTATTATATGTATAATCCATTCTATTTTTGTCTCATCTAGTGTTTTCCTCTCATTGTGCTTTTTTTTATTCATCTGTCTGTCTAAACCCTCACCACCCCGACACCACCTCCACCTCCAGCGACACAGAATGCCAACACAAACGCAGACTTTGCTAACTTTGATGCATTCGGGAGCACGTCTGGGTCGTCAGCTGGTTTCCCCTCCGCACCCCAAGCTCCCTTCAATCCCTCAAATACAGGTAGACCGTGTTCTCGTTACTGGCCGGCTAATACAGCTACAATACACATGTATATCCTCTGCTGCTCAAACCTCTATATATGCACACTTTTTGTTTATCCTTGCAGCAGAGCTTGACCGATTTACTCGAATGATGGTCACATTACTTTTTAATACTTATAGATGATTTTCTTGTCTTTATGAAAGGCCTTTCTGAGCTGTCTCTTAATAGATTTTCCATGATGTGGATTTGCTCTATGTGATGTTGCCTGGGTTCAAAAGCTCACACTGCCCTTCCTGAGCCCTCCATGGTGTTGTTTTTTGTAACACGTATGAAATATGTGTCATGTAAAATTGGTATGTGTTTGCTGGCTTTTCACTGCAGTGTCCTGCCTCTCCTCTTTAATACTGATATGAAAACAGACTGGATTATACAAACACACAGTTAAAATCTACCCTCAGGAAAATGTTGTGCACCACAGTGCCCTCTGCTGGATCAAACTGTCGTTTTCCAGAGCAGTGCAATGATCTCTTTAGTATGCTTACCGCTTGATGAATAAAGCTCCTCTCTCTCTCTCTCTCTCTTTCGTGGCTTTGTAAAATAATCCTTTTCCCACAGACACTAACCGTGCTATCTGGCATAAGCTGTCCATTCTGTCACTCTTGTATATCATCTTTTTGCCTCAGCAGCAGTCAGTTTGCATTTGACACCATGCTTTTTAATGTTTTACTCTCTGGTTTAGTTTGTGTGTGTTCTTTTGTTTCTCCGCCCTGTCTTACATTGCTCATCGCACCGTTTTTTTTCCTTCCCCTCTTTAATTTTTGGCTGCCAGCGTTCACTGTGCTCTCATCTAGCCGCAGTGTGGGTGAGTTTGCCTCTGCCCTTCCTCTCCAGGGCGCTCACAGTAAGTCTCTCTCTCTGGGCTTGTCCCCTTAACAGCTGTCACCCCCTCCTTGCCAGTGTCTCTAATGTGTAGTCACTCTGATCCTTGTCTGTTTGGATGAGATGTTTGTTTCAGGATATAGCTCTTTTTGTGCCTGTGCCTCTAACCCACCATTGACAATTTAACCGGTTAAAAGCAAGGATTAGGAGGTTTTATTGTTGCTGACATTGAGATCCAGTTTGTTGAAAACCTCAAGTGAAGAAATGGGAATATAATGACGAGAGAAACATGTTCAGATCAGATCGTTGCAGTGTTTAACACACCAATTCCCCTCCTTCTCAGATTACATACTAACATCTGTAAACCGAAGAACACTGTGCCTTAATGTATCGTACATCATTAATAAATTACAGGTTACTTTGTGGGGTGCTGTCTTGGCCTAGTGGTTACATCCTGTGCCTCCATATTCAGAACCGGGTGTCCTGTGTTTAGCTCCTTCCTTCAGCTCCTTTTCCGCATGTCGCTCCTCACTCTCTCCTTCAGTTTCCTACTCTCCCATCCTCAGAACAAAGACATGGCAGGCTGAAATTTTAACTAGCAATGGGTGACATTGCAAATTTTCTGTTATCCAGTATCATATTTTAGAGAAAGTGAAGATAATGTATGATATCCCAAATTAACATTCTACAAGAGACACATGCCTGCTTTTGCTGTTTCATGGTTTTAGTTTTTCTTAAAAACAATTATCAAGAAAATGCAAAGATGTAAAGATAGCAGATGTACCATGTAGAGCCTAAATTTCCAGACTGACACAATATCAATTTTAGAGGAGAAAAAAGATCTCTGATAACCATTGTGATGTCCCAGATTCTAATACCAAGAGCTGGAATGAAAATAGACCTTTTCTATGTTGATTTTGCACCAACGTTCCTCTTCCTTCCTGTCTTCCTTTGACTTTATTCCAGCAGATGATACGGTGTTATACATTCTTAGTGACCAACAATAGTGTGTACAGCCACCTGCCCTACCACACCCGTTGCAGACATTGCTTAACAGTGTTGCACATGATGGATGTGAAAGATAAAACACTTGTAGACATAATTGCGAATTGAATTGATTCCTGCAATATAAACTATGATAGGAGAATCTTCAGCAACTAATTTATAGGAGAATATTTGCACAGTGTCTGCTACTGAAAACTGCGTTCTTGTATTTCTTAAACTTATTCTTTTTGCATCTTACTTCTCAAATAAGAAATGCACTATTACCAGTTAAAACTTATAATAAAAAGCTGTGACATACAAGATCAACTCTGTGCTCTTGAGAGGTCAACAGTTTGCTGTTTGTACTCAAACAGCTACTCATTAAGTGCAAATCAGCCACTAGTTGAAGTTAAACTTGTGTGCTGGTTTCACAGTCACTTAAATGACCATTTCTTCCTTTTAGAGTCACAGACCCGGTCCTGTGTCTCAGCGTATGAGACACGTTTGTTGTTCTGGATTAGGTCGTATTAGGTCGGACACATTATGTTGCAGAAAGCCTTTAATTGTGGTTCAAAAAAGCCAGTTGTCTTTGGCTTAGATCTTAGTATGCTTTTGATGTCTTAATCACTATTTAAGATATCGTCTGCTCTGAGACAGAGGTTAAAATCTTCGCTGCTCTCAGGCTTCCTGAAAGCATTAAGTAGCTGTGAATGTTTAACAAATTATAAAGACTAGAAAAATAAATACATACCAAAGTGGTTAAATCAAGAGTTAGTGTTGATCCTTGTTCTTTTATTTTATTCATTTTATTCCATAGCCTTTCTCTTAATTTTCTTTAAAAACTTAGATCTGGTCAATCTCTACTGAGTGCAATGAAGTGCAATTATTGCCATAGGTTTTATAACAGACCTTAAAACATTTCTTTTAAAGTATTATTAGCTTCAATGTATGTATAAAGCATACAGGCTGGTTGTTTTTGTTGCTCCACCAACATTAGGGTCTTTATAACCATAGACTGTACATGGGTGTAACCATAGAAATAAGGGAAAGTACCACTCATGTTCCTATTTTTGTCCAAGGTTCAGACACGAACAGAGAACCTTTGTAGTGCATTATAGTAGAAGGTGTGTTTTTAGCAGTGTTGAAGGCATCCCAGTCCCAGCTTAACTCCATCCCAACTCTAATGTCCATGCAGCTTTTTATCCCCCTTTCCACCTTGTTCATGCTGTTTCTCCAAACCAACAGTCCAGGTCCCCCTTTATGACTTTTTAATTTTTCTCTTTCATACAGGTAGCGCCTCAGTGGGACTAGCAAATGCCAATTTTGCAAATTTTGACCACTTCCCCAAATCGTGTAGTGCTGACTTTGGATCCTTCAGTTCCTCCTCCCAGAGTAACTCGACAGGAGCTGGCAGAGATGTTGTACAGAGTTCTAGCGCCCCTGCCGATAAATACGCAGCCCTGGCTGACCTGGATAACACGTTTAGCTCTGCCAAAACAGAGCAAGGTAACTTCTCCTGCCTAGCCTGCTTCATAGATCTGAGTTATAGGGAAAGTGGTTTTCCGAAAGAAGTTGTGTCGAGTCAAACATAATGGAACCAGGCCCATAGGATAGAGCTTCTTTGAGTCTTCTCTCTGCAAGGACAGCAATAATGTCTCTCCAAACAACATGACTGGCCCTTTTTGTGAGAACGCCCAGTTCCTCATCACTTGATCCTAGCCAAGGCTTTGTTGTGTTAGATGCTCTGACAATTTTATTATCCCAAATCACACCCCTGGCGTTGATGCGACTAAGCCCGCCACTATCAAGACAACAGTTCACTGGATATAGTGAAAGTACCTCCTTGCTTTAAAGGATGCCATCTGTATTTGTTGCATTTAAAAGATTCAAAATCACATGGTATGAATTTTGATGCTGGCACATCTGGGCCGGTGTTAATTTCATTTTTTTTTCCTACAAAAACTGTATTTCACTGCTAGAAACTGCATATTTCCTAACATTTATTCCCCCTTATTTCTAATAGGTTGATATGGCAGCTATCTTGGGACCTTTTTGTCTTTGTCTTTTTGAGGTTAGATTTTTCCTCCACCCTCATTATGTTTGATCGGATCTCACCTGGATTCCCTCTTATGTGCTTTTATTCTAGGAGGCGGCGTTCCTGGCGGAGTGAGCTCAGCCACATCGGCAGTAGGCAGTTTGCCACAGAAGCAGCTGACAGGAGGAGACCGCTACGCTGCTTTAGCAGAGCTTGATACAGTCTTTAGCTCTTCTGCCCCTGCGACAAGTGTTTACAACACCACCAGCACTTCACAGGGGTTAGTCCGAATCCATAACTTAAATCATTGTCAGACAAATCAACCTAACCTACAAATAAACTGTAGTAACACATTAATCACACAGATTGTTTGGCTGGTGTCTTGTTTCCTTTTTTTTCCACTGCAGGCCCATTTTTGGCCAAGAGACTGGGGTGTCAACAGCACAAGCACAACAGGCTATGCCAGGCATGGCTCAAGGTTTTGGAGGTGAGAAAATGTGGTTGGCTGCTACTCGAGACAACCAGGGTTTGTAAAGTCTTAATGGGTCTTGCAGACTTAATTCTCGTCAAGAGCAGGTCACAGAAAAAGTATAACTGCATTAAGATCCATTTTGTAGAGAGCAATCACTTTAAGTCACAACATGGATAAGCTTTACTCTTTCAGTGGAAGACTTGAGAAAGTGCTTTCATAACAAAGTCCATTCATCATTTTCTCTGGATACAGATATATATTGTTAGTAGGGCTGGGCGATAAACGATAATGATATATATTGAAAATTCATTTCCCCTCGGTATCGATATGAAACATGGTCAATATGCTTTTCAATAGCCGGCATGCTGCCATGTTTTGGTAGAAGATACAAATAGCCAATGAAAAGGGGAGTTGGTCCGGGTCTGTGCCGTGCTGAACCGATCATACAGTCCGCTTTCTCTAGCACAACACCTTACGACAGAACGTCACAGAGACATAAAAACTTAACCGATGCAGTAGCTTATTGTGCGTTGCAAAAGACATGCTACCAATAAGCACTGTTACATTTTATTTTTAGTAACAGGAAACATTTGAGATTGACAAGTGATTTTTTTATATCGTGATACTTATCATTATCGACTGATATGAAAAAATATATTGTGATAATTTTTTTCCCTTATCGCCCAGCCCTAATTGTTAGCAAAGCTACCTGTCTGGTGATTTTTGAGCCTAAAACATTAGTGTATATGGAAACCTATGGAGCCTTCATGCTTTAAAATCACGTCAGAAAAGTTAACCTAAGAACTGAAACTTCACAAATCCTGTCATCAGCACAAATTGACCTTTATTTACCCACACTTGTGGTCGGATAGGCTATTAACAGGAGATTATTTATGCTCTAGATGTTTTTAGTAGGAGATTGCAGTAGACATCCTCCTTTTATATAGTGCATCTTTCATGACTAGGTGCAATAATGGCATGCTTTTGTAGTTTTTATTTCACACTTCATAGTCCTGTTTGGTGACTCAGTGTCTCTTTTCAGCAGCACAGTCAACTAATCCGTTTGTAGTTCCTGGAGTCGCCCCTCCAGCTGCTACCACCAACCCATTCCAAAGCAACAGTAGAGCAGCAAATATGGCAGCAGCTGCAGCGGCAGCAGCAGCAGCCGGTGAGTCCTGTTGGTGTATGTTTGTGTCTGTAAATGTGTAGCACATATAGTCCACCAACTAATCAACTTTCTTCAGTTATGATATGAAACCTTTTTTATGATACAAATTAAAGTTTATGATGTAATGTGGGCACCTTAATTAGTGACCTTTTCCTGGGCTGCCTCAGCAGTGATTAAACCTCGGACATCACTGCCAAGCAAAGTGACATTCAGGAAGGAAGCAGAAGAGATAATGAGAAATAATTATAACTGGCCTGTGGTTCTGGGTAGCAGGGCTTCCTTAACCGCTCAGTTATGTGCACAAAGCAGTTAAAAGCTGCAGTGAGGTGCTGAAATTAAGATAAAGTATTCTGTCTGACTCCTTTTGCCGTGCTGGACAGGCTTGATGAGGGTCCTACATGGGCAGTGTCAGCCTGGTAGGTTCCCTTGTGCTCTCTTCTTCACTTTGGCTTTGGCTCTGCCCTCTGTTTGAGAAAATCTTAAAGGAAAATCTTGTGGAAGTAAAAAGGGTTTGATATCTCACAATATTAGTTGACCATGAATGTAGAATAAATTTTGATTTAAGTGAAATCATTTATTAAGCTGTCAAAAATATTTTTTAACATTCATTTTATCACAGAGGTATTAGCTAATTTATTTCTGTTAACTCCTGTTTTAATGCTTTCAAACCACCTGCAGACAAGAATTAGTCTGAGTGCCTCTTTTTTTATCTGTTGATGTGTGCCAACTCCTGTTAGGCAGTGGCAAATGTGTGCGCCATCAAAATCGTTGTCATTATTTGATATGTTTTTGTTTTATTTTTTCCCCCACATGTTGTGTTGTCATTTATCTGTAAAGGTTATGCAGAGGCGTCTTTAACCATTTGCTCTCTGGCTGTCTTGCAGCATCATTTGGCACAGGCTCCATGAGTATGCCGGCTGGATTTGGGAACACAGCAGCCTACAACCTCCCCACCAGCTTTAGCGGAACCTTTCAGCAACCCTTTCCTGGCCAGGCTCCCTTTCCTCAGCCTCCTGCTTATCCCCAGCAACCTAATGGTGTGTGTCTGTGTGTAGATAGTGATGACAGAACACATACTGATGCCAAAGATCAAAAAGTCATTATGTGGTGCTTTTTACATTCCTTTCAAAATAGCCAATTTGGAGACAGGCTATTCCAGAGCAGTAGATTAAAACAGAGTGGCGACACTCCCATAGACATACGCTGTACAGCCCGTCAGACCCCACTTCCGGGTTATGGAACTAGTAATAGTTCCAACATGACCGCCTGTCACGTCGGACGCCGTTCACTTCTATGGCCACAAGGCAAGCGCTCACCGAGGTTAAATGATAAAATATCAACAAGTTTAATGCCAATACATGTGTTATTGATATCGAGGGGACCCCTTTATATGTAAAAATGTATATCCCAAATGTAAATACGTTTTTTTAGTCAGGAATTGGGATCGATTTTTTAGCCACGGTTTGCTCCCACACTCCCCGAGGTAAAATATTGTATTAACGAATGTAATGCCAATACGTGTGTAAATGGTATCGAGGGACCCCTTTATATGTAAAATGATTTTAATTTTAGTATGCTCAAATTGTAATTACAAATGTAATTACATTTTTTTAGTAAGGAATTGGGATCGATTTTTTAGCCACGGCCTGCTAGCTGGACGTCGTCAGCTGTAGAGGTCTGCCAAAATGTATTGTGTGACTGAGTTATGAATCACAGATAAATCATCATCATCAATCATATGTTGAGATGGTTACTTACAGGCTTTATTTTAGATTTCAGCCTTTATCAGTTCCCGATGTTATATGCAGTTTATTCTTTTTAGACTAACATAAGTGCTATGTAATTTGATTTCTGCTTATGGGATGATAGAGTTAAGGGGCCGCTACTTTTTAAATCCTGTCAGCATTTAAGGCGTATGTTTAACATGGCAAAATGTTATGCAGGCCATGCTGCAAGACCAAAACATTGCACAATTGTTTAAACAGCTTGTAACACCTATTACTTACCACTTTATTGTATTATTTTCTCTTATTAAAAAGTAACACGTGTTACCAAACTTGTCTTATTTCACTTTTATTTGTCATCCAGCCGCTAAATATGCGTACGTGACTTTGACGTGTACACAGTAATCCAATAAGAGTTGCAAATGTTGAATTTTTACTGTTAATTTTAATATTTACCTCTTAAATGCGCGCTCACTGCAGTCTGCCCCGTTGAAGAGCATGGACAGTGCAGGCTGCGTTTGGAACTATGGAGGGGTACATGAACCACGTGACCGCTCTGGCGGCGAGATCTGAAGTTGTCGCCACTCTGTTTTAATCTACTGCTCTGGGCTATTCTATCTGGTTTACCCACTTTTAAACATGAAAGAAGACATTAAAATGTTGTTTGTTGATGTTATAGAATTGCTGATGTTGTCAAATCAAGTCTCCTCTCTGACAATAAACATGTCTTTCAGGTGGTGGGTATCCAGCCTATGGCCCAGCGAAGCCTGTTGTGACTCCTTTTGGACAGACCATGGCTGGACCCATGGTGTCCAGCAACCCTTTCCTGGTTAGTAGAACGGCTACATTGCATTGATAAATGTGGTAATTGCTCATGAAGAGAATTGCTATTGTTTCACATGTGATGAAAAAAGGGACATTCCGGCGTAAAATTAAGTTAGGGTCAAACACAATGTAACACCAAGTTAGACCCCCTGTTGAGAGATAAATGTTCCTGACCACTTGCTTCTCTAGTTATACCAACTTTAGTAACGACCGCACGATAGCAATACACATCGATCCCACTCACCCACTCTCGTCCAGCAGCCGCTTGTTTGTACATTGCTGTGTCACCCCGCTGCAGTCTGTGACTGACTAGTCCGAGGTCTCAACAAACGGCAGGCAAAGTTAAAAGGATGTTTGGTGGCTAGTGCTGTGGCTGTGACCCTATATGTACTGTTGATGAAGTTAGGTGCTGTTCTGAACATTATTTGTGGCTATAGAGTGGCTTTTTGGTCGAGCCAGTGGCTCCTGAGACCGCTGTGTATTGCTATCGTGCGGTCGTTACTAAAGTTGGTATAACTAGAGAAGCAAGCGGTCTGCAACATTCATCTCTCAATGGGGTGTTTAACTTGGTGTTACAGTGTGTTTGACCCTAAATTAATTTTACACCTGAATATCCCTTTAAATTGAAGATAATGCTTGTACATGGTAAGTCTTTTTTTCTGATTTTATGTCCCTTTACCCATCCAGGGTGCTGGTCCATCTGGACAATATCCAGCTGGAGGCTCCTCAACAAATCCCTTCTTATAGCAAATCATCCAATCAGCTCCTCTACAGGGTCAACAACTGGCGCGCTTGCACCTATTGCACTGTTTTATTTCACAAGTAGCTTTAAAAACACAATGTTTGTAAGAATTTGTATTTTCTATCACAGTTTGACGGATATGACAGACAGTCCTGCGAACACTGCTGATGGCTACAAGACAAAGTGATGGTGTGTACAGAGGGAGAGGTTGATCCCCTCCTTTCTATGTAACCTGTGAACTGGCCTGGCCTCTACTGAACCACAATGTATAATCAAACTGGCTGACAACTAAGTTATTGCATACAGTGTATCCCATTCATTATGCTGCAATTCTGTAAATATTATTTTTCTGTAAGGAAAAAAAAAAACGCTCTTTGTGCATATCAGTATTTGTATCTACACACAAGAACTTGTGAAGACAGAACTATTGCTTGGAAAAGCTAATGGGTACTGCCACTTACTGTATTTGTGAAGAACCAAACTGTTTATTTGTGCAGGATGATTTTTAAGCAAACTTATTCTCACTTGAGAATAAATTCATCTTTCCCTTTGGTAAGAGAAATGAGAAAAAGTGACTGCTGCATCAGGGGGACTCCCTGCTCACTCCTGCCCTGTTGACTTGAGCCCCTGACACAACGCTTCTGAACTACAGCCGCCACTTATGGGAGTGGGCTGATGAACTGAAAACCACTGACATTGGGTATAAGAGAATTTTAAGTTAAAATGTAAATATACGGTATATAAATATATATATTAAATTGAATTTTACTTAAAAATTGACCAAACTGTCATTTATATGGATTTATTAAAAAAATCTTGTATATTTGTTTTGTTTAAAAGAAAAAAAAAAAAAGATTTGTGTTCATGGTGTTGCAGTCATGCTTTTGTACCAGCATGTGGCTTCTTGGGAACCAAAAGTGCAAGTGATTATCTCAGCTGGAAGTATCAAATCCCTCATATTCAGAATCTGTGTTCTTCATAGTCTGGAGGTTCATTTTTGTGTGAAGAGGTGGAGTTTTTGCGACTGCTCCGTGTTCTCCAAATGGTAAAGAGTCCTCGGAGTGAAAATATGAGAGCGATGAAGGAGAAGTAGCTGGCGCATATGGTGAACTGCAAAACAACCACAGTTTGAAACACATTTACATTAGTGTTGGATGGACATAAACACTCTTCTGCTGCCTCTACAGAGAACCTGGTCTTTTCTAACCAGACGGCTCACCTGAGGAATGATGCTCAGGCCCAGCGCCCCACTGTCAACCACAATAGAAGTGATGATTGTCTGTAGAACCAGTGCGCCAAAGTTATTGATGCCGAAGACCAGTGCATATCTCTCCATTGACAGGTTGGCTGCAATCTGGTACCTAGGAGAAACTACAAGTTAATTTCTTCTCGCTCTTCCCTCATTAAGATCACTCTTCATATAGGTCTAGAAGGAGCTCTTACATGGCTATTGTTATCAGCAGCATGTACAGGCATTTGAATATGATGTAACAGATGTAGCAAACCCAGATGTTGTCGAGGAAGGTCATGATGAAGAGTGTAGCTGCCCCAAGTCCAGAGAAACCACCCAGGGCCAGCTCTCCCCACTGCTCCCATCTCACCTCAGTGAAACCTATACCATAGGCTGTGGCCGCACCTGCAACACACATAGACTTTGGATTATCAAAGTTCAGGTAACAATTTCATATACATTGAGCACATAAATTGGATGCTTTTCATCAAATGCTAGTGAAATACATAGACTATGTCTGGAATACACTTTTGGATAATGGTAGTATTATGAACACTGAGCCTTTCACCATTCACAGTCCTCATTTAAACCATTTTAACGGTTGCTCACCTAAAAGGTTTGACACGGCCTCCACGCCTCCATTGTAGATGCTGAAGTTCTGAGATGGCTGCACATGCTCCCACAGCACCTTTAGGGTGTGTTGCAGAGGACAGTTTAGCTGAAGCTATTATTTCTTGTCACTCCAATTTTGTCTGTGTTGCCATCTTTACTGACTTGCACATAGTTCACTGTCTGGTTATAGCCGCAGGTCGCCATTGCCCACCACACTGACCAGTAGAGCAGCTGTCTGGAGGAAAAGCACAGGCGGAAGTCCCTCCACAGCTGGAAGAGGACTTTGCCGCAGCTCTCAGAAACAGGTGCCTCATCCTCAGGCTCTTTTTCATCCTCTGTTTCTCCTTTCTTCGATTGGCTCACATGCTCTTTTGTATCCCCTGTTACTTGCTCATGCCCCTTTGCCTCCTCTGTCACAGTTTTCTGTCTGCGGTGAAAGAACATGCTCTGCTGTGGCATCGGCAGGAGGCAAGAAAACAGGAGAGCAATGGCAGTGAGAACTAGAGTAAATACCAAGATGTTGTTGTAGGACATGAGGTTGAAGCTGACAAACAGCTGACCCAGAACAGAGCCTACTGTGTACCCCAGGAGCTGGACGCTGCGGCAGTATGAGGTGGCCTTCCGGTACCTCTTCAGATCTACCACACTGTAACAAACAACATATTCAAAATATCATGCCTGTTTTATAAGCACTGAGTAAAAAATATCGACACCTGCTAGTACTGGTTTCCTGTACATGACCTGTAGATGTAGGAGAAATAGGCCACCTCACTGGCTGTCACTACCCCGTAAAAGAACTGCATGGCTTGCAAGGCTGGTACGGTTCTCGTCCAGAGTATCATTGCTGTGGTGATGAAGAGGGTGACACACTGGAACACCACCACTGGCTTGTAACGCAGCCAGTCAGTCAGAAGGAACACTGGCACCAGCACAGATAAGTAAGAATATGTCCACACTGGAAAAATTTGATTGTTAACCTGATGAGGAAACATCCCAGATGAATAAAAGGGTAATAAAAGAAATTGCATGTTAGATAGGAACTTTATTGCTTAATGGTAATAAATAAAAGGTTTTACAACCATGAGGTGATGTTTCTACCTCTCGAGTTATCAAGGCTGTGTCGCTTTTTAGCTGTATAACATGGCTTTATTTCGGTAAGTACAAAAATGTTGAGATAAATAAGCATTTAAGACTAAGCGGAAGTAATCAAACAGCTTTAAAACAGTCAATTCTTGTCTTTGTGGCTGATTATGTTTTCCATTTCAATTTTGTTCATGCCATTTAGCTCCAGATCTTCTCTTTACCTGTTCTGCTGTCAGGTTCTTGTCCGGTCCTGTCAAGTATGGGATGAGAAAAGGTTCCAGAGGTTTCACTGTACTGAAGAATCCGTACATGCACAGCAGAGTAGTTGGATACCTCCAGTCTGCCCTCCATTTCTTCACTGCCTCCATCTTCAGCTGTTATTACACCTGAGCCTGGTTTGTGTATTTGTTCCTTGGCGTTGTACTCTTCCACTCTTGTCTCCTTGTGAGAGAAAGCCTGCAGTCGTCTGAATGTTGAGCTCGGTTTGTCAATGTACAACCCGGTCAAAGAGCAACACAACCTTGAGGTGACGTTTTACCTCAGGCCAGCACGTGTCACAAATTAAACAGGCAGGCAAATCTCAGGACTTTATCAAATTTAAACCTCACTAATCTGTAATAATTGCTGATTTATTGTGCTGTATGATTTCTAAAGATTAAATTTGAAAACACCCACCAGCTCCCAACAGTCTCACTGGGGCACTACTTTGGGGGCTTTAAAGATGAGAAGCTTCAGGTTGGTGGATAATTATTTTATTGTCCATAAACAAAATGAAACAATCACCTGCTGATTTAGATAACACTCCTTCAGAATTTCAAAGACTACATCTGTTTGTTGACCTTGTTCAGAAACGTTCAGCAGAAATCACTTCTTCACTGGACTCTTGCTCTTTGGTTTTAATGTCCTCAGGAGTGCATCGATTTACACAGGCTGTGTAGGACCCTCGGATCAGAAAGAGCACTGAGATGGCAGCGTAGTAACTCCCATAGATGATGAACTGCAGAAAAAGGCCGTCAGTCATCCACAACATCATAATTCAATTCAAACATGGCTCAATCAGCGTTCAACGTGTCTAGATAACCACCAGATGTCACACTCTCCTCATGTTTTGCTGTGTGTTATCACAAAGCATGCTACTAAAGAGTTTTAACTGTGATTCACACAAGTGTTCTGTCATTCATTATAGATACTTAAATAATACTAAAACCTGTGTAAAACATACCTGTGTCACAATATCTAATCCCAGTGCAGCTTCATCTACAACAATGCCAGTGATGATGGTCTGCAGTGACAGGGCTACAAAGGTGTTAATCCCAAACGTCAAAGCGTAGCACTCCATGGAGAGGTTGGAAGCGATCTGAAACCTTAAATCAAAATATACTTGTAATTTCCATGAGAAACATGTTCAATACTTCAAAGCTCTTTTCTTGTGTGTGATAACAATGTTTGGGGCACTTTTTAAAAAGCTGTTCCTAACTTACGTTGTGATGGTGATGAGAAGCATGTAGCAGGACTTGAAGATGACATAACCAGCATAGCACGCCCAGATGCTGCTGGTGAGCGCCATCAGAAACACAGCACATGTAGCTATTGCCGAGAAGAACCCCAATGCCAACTCTCCCCACACAGCCCATCTTACTTTAATGTGTCCAACGCAGAAGGCCGCTGCAGCCCCTGGCCCAAAAAAGAGGACAGAGAAAAGCAGCTTTAATGCGCTCTCATTGTACAAAATCACTTTTTTTCACTTTCATGATGGTAATAGGATGTGAGGTACCCTCCTGCACAGACACGCCTTTTCCAGCCTCCATATAGCCTGACATTTATGATGAATTGCTTCCACCTAACTCTTAGAATCAACCATCAGCAATAATCACAGAATCCATTACCTCCTGACTCTATCTTCTTAATTGAAGCAATCACTTTACTTATTCTCATGCAGAGCCAGTTTGAGTGTACGCCAACTGGACCATAGTGCTGCTAGTCCCTTTCAAAATCAATACATATTTTCCATTTGATGTAAAAATCATAAAGCAAAAAACAGCAGGGTTGTTTTCTTCCAATAGTGAGCTTTCATAGGTCCATGTGTATGTCAGACAACTTTATAAAACATGTTTAAGTTTATTTATCTTTATACAATGTGATAAAGCAGAAAAAAACTTCTGCTCCTTCTCTGGTTCAATCAAATTCTTGGTTTTAAATCAAAATAAGGTAGAAATCAGTGCTTCAGTGTTCCATTCTGTGAGATTTTACAGCCCAGTAGCGGTTTCACAACTTCCTTAAAATGATTACTTCTTCTTGTTTAATCAACTTTACACATAAGTTTGTTTTTGGTAAATAGCAGTTTCCCTTTTCAAATTTTATCATTCTCTTTTTTCATGATTTTTTATCTTGCAGCCACAAACATACGTAACTTCAACCAATCTTACCCACAAGTGAGCATGCAGCCTCTACACCTCCATTGTAGATGGATGATGTAGCAGATGGTTCTATATGGTCCCACATCAGCTGGATGTAGTTGAAAACCTGCACATAGCCAGCTGTGGCCAGAGCCCACCACAGGGACCAGTAGATTAGGAGCCTGGGTGTTGGTTTACATGAAAAGAAATCACAATTTGATAAAACTAAATGATAATTCTTATACGCAAAAACTATTGCTGTAACCAACACAATGGATTATCATATACTTTCACATTCTCTGCAGTGTATAAATAGAACTGTGGAACAAGACACAAGAAGACAATGCCTGGAAGAATAGGACTCCCTGAAGCTCTGCCAAAGTAGATGGCCTGCTGTGGCTACATTTTCCCTGCTGCACCAGCCAGCACTGCCATTATGCGCAATCTCCTCTTTCCTCGAGCCAACTTCATCTGCATCCGTCGCTGGCTCCTCAGACCCGTCTACCCTCAGCGGCCCCTCCCACTGGGACTGCGAGCCCACAGCTGCAGCCCTTTTCCCTTTAAAGAACAGGCTCCTCTGCGGCATGGGTAACCAGAGAGATGTAAGAAAAGCCATGCTTACAACCCCCAGAGTGATGGCATTGATGTAGAAATAGTCGACTCCTGTTGATCAGAGTGTACACATTTCAATACTGGCCAAGTACATTGTAAGAGTTTTTGTAATGATGGTTGATCACTATCAAGCTCAAGAAGTATGTACTATCATTCTTGAAGTGTATTCATAATTTATTTTAGCAACAGAGATCTTACCTGCTAGGGAGATAAGCATTTGGCCGACACTGGCACCAATTGTATATCCAGCCAGCATGGCACTGCGAAGATAGCCTGTGGCGACTTGATAGTTCTCAATTGGAATCACACTGTAAATATAGGAAAAGTAGGCCACCTCTGTGGAAGTCACCACAGCATAGTTGATCTGTTGATGGGACGAAACATTCAGGACACCTGTTATGCAACTTGCACTAGTTGTGCATGATATGATATATATTTAAAGTCCAATTTAACCATAGTACTACATTGTTATTCTTAAAAACAGCATGGTTGTAGTGTTACATGTTATTCGAATACTTTTCTTTTTTAGGGACTTCAATAAGTCATAGTGGTAAAAAAAAAAAAGGTGCTGCTGCTCATGTTATTCTTAAGTAAAGTGTTCTATGAGTCGTGGCACTAATATTCAAACGTTTTTAATTGTATTTTTTTTTTATTGTTTTAGAGGACCTGAAGGAAGATCATTGCAGGTAGACCCGGGGCAAAGCAGAGGAGGACATAGTTGGTTACCAGAAAGAAGCCTTGCACCACAATAAGGGGCTTATACCTCAGGAAGTCAGTCAAGAGGAAGACAGGGAAGAGGAAGGCAAGGTAGGAGTATGTCCAGATAGGGAACAGGTAGTTTGTGACCTGTGGAAGACAAGCACCACAGAATAAATGTGCTTAATCAGAAACAATCAGGAACAACAAAATTTCATGTTGGTGCCCGGTAAATACTCCTAAAGACAGACAATGTACACAGACTTAATCAAACCGGTCTCTATTTACTTGTACACTACAGAGTGTAGCCTATGTGTATGCCATTCTTACCACTTCCTCTGAGATGTTCTTGTGTGGTCCAATCAGGTATGGTGTAAGAAAGGGCTCGGCTACTCTGCAGTTTGCAAAAAACCCGTAAAGTGACAGGACTGCGGTGGGAAAAGCCCATCCAGAGGACTTCAGCTTGGCCCAACAGCCCATGTTTTACCTTTAAAAAGATCCTTGGAGTTAATTTCTTGGAGCTCTTACAAAAAGCCTTAACTACACTTTATCTCTGTCTGTACTTAGGAGTGCTGAAGCTCTTCTCGTCAGTAGCTAGAATATACTCACATAATCTTTATGATCCACACGTGCCTTAGCCACAGTTTATCAGCCTTAGACTTTGAGCGCTTGTCAGTAAACAAAAGGGAAGCCCAGAGTATCAAATTAGACTCTTTCGATTTCTCTATGAGTTAAAGATTTCCACCTTTTTTACTCTTTTCCATCTTCTTTTACTGTTTTACTGTCTAATGTTTTATTGTCCCTTTTTAATGCACTGACTGCAGAGGCACTTTTTAATTTCGTTGTGCTTGTCACAGTGATGATTAAATTCTATCTATCTATCTATCTATCTATCTATCTATCTATCTATCTATCTATCTATCTATCTATCTATCTATCTATCTATCTATCTATCTATCTATCTATCTATCACAAAATTATAAGGCCAATGTAAAACATGTGATTGATAGAGGCAGCCTTCAAATATAATAGTTAAAAGTTAGATTATTATTGTTTCTCTATACACGTCAGGTTTTAGGGGAATTTGAAATAATAGAGCCGCTCATGTATAAATAACGCAAACAGGCATAGACCCAATTTGCCGTCAACTTTGCCTCTCATAGTACGCATGCGTACTAAGAGCATGCGGTGGATTTGCCACAGTCTGTTGCCCCAGCAACGGTTTGTTGATAACTAGTGCTCGGTAGTCTGAATAGTTGGCTAAATGAAACTTAAGCGGTTTCATCTCAGATATTATCCACCAGGTAATACAATGTGATATTTTGTCTTTAGTTTGATGTTATTTGTCGCGTTACTGATGAACTGTTGTGTCTTTCTTCGACAGTATTGTAGTTTCAAATCACCTTGTCGTTTAGCTAAGATGGAGTTGATGCTAGCGTTGACGTTATGCTCTATTAGACGGTATGAGTTGACTTTCTTTTTAAAACTTATTTTCTTTCAGGTATAATCTTGGAGTATGAGAAGAAAGGATGTCTTAGGTCGAAATCTATCGACCTTTTTGATCTGACACCGGCGTAAGTCAGTTTAATCTTCTGCGGTAACATAGGGGAGAGTGGGGTAAGTTGAGCCACCCCCCTGTTACTTGGAAATGGTTAAAGAAATTGATCATGTGACCAAATATTAAGGAGATGGGCATCAATTCATGGAGTCTGTGAAGGTTAGAAGCACATGGGTGAAGAGGTTAGACATTTATTTACAAAAAAAACCCCATTTTTTTCTCTTGAAAGTGAATTTATTCTGTCATGCGTTTTATTAGAATAATGTTCACACCAAAAAAGATCATTTTAAATTTGTTTTATACATCAATTGTTGTTTCTATGAGCTACAACATGAGGTCAAAAGGCCTTGATGTAGAGATCCGAAATATGAAAAATGGCTCATCTTACCCCACCCTCCCCTACATGAAGATTGAGGGTGAACAGCAGCCCATGTAACAGGAACTGCACCAAGTATATTTTTTGTGTTCTTAATCCTTTGCATGTTGTTGAAAACTGCAAATTTCTCACACATAGAACAAATCCAGATGAGCTGGTGGCAGTGATCAGGCAATCAGAGCCTCTCATCACGGAGTCCAGGGCAAACCAGGTCAAACAGCTGATCCTCCGACTTCAGCAAAAACAAGGCCAGAAGAACCACAGGTTCTGTTTCATCAAAGTAAGACACTGAACTCATAAATATGCTACTAGATTTAATTGACTCACAAATAATCACAGTGACATGACCACTCAATTCAGTTGGATGAATAAATGAAAACATCAATTTATTTATTTTCTGCCACATAGATTGCTTTCTAGGGTTTAAGTAGAAGCTGTTGTAGATTGCATTAGTGTTGAAAATATTTCTAATCAGCCTATAGACTGTTACATCAGTTCAAGAACTTGGCTTCTTCATCATCAGGTTCAGGGGGAAGAATAAGCACAGAGTGTCTGAGAGGTGAAAATAGTTAGTGCCACAGAGAGGCACTAGAGAGCAGTAGTGGTTGGGTTATGAAGACAAGGACTTAGAAATAATATAGGTAGCATGTCAACAAATGTTATAACTTGATAACAGCACAGATGTCTTAGTGTGTAAATAGTTGGTTATGTCCCTAGAAGTAAGAGGACACTCATGTTTTCTATTTTGTCCAAAACTGGTGAGAGAATGCAGTTTATGTAAGAAGAGAAAATGCTTCCCTACTTATAAGATGGGGGTATAAAGTGGTACCAAATAGACTGTCTAAAAATGAAGTAAATTGGTATATTTTACTTTATTTTTTCATGTATTTGTTGTCTTTCTTGTTCTTTTGCAGGAGCTTAAAGCTCATGTCCTTCCACTCACAAATGTTGCCTTTGACAAATCAGGCTCAAGGTGGGTTACCTAAGAGTTCAGCAATTTGGAATTCAGGAAAAGTTTGGTGTTTTTCCTTGTTTTGTTTTTTTTTTGTTATTTACTGTTCTTGCTAACATTTTGCAGATTTTTGACTGGAAGCTATGACAGGACATGTCGAGTTTGGGACACAGCCTCAGGCACAGAGCTGCACCGGCTAGAGGGCCACAGTAATGTGGTGTATGCAATTGCATTCAACAATCCCTATGGGTAATGGACTGGTACAGTACAAGTAGGATTGCATCTTAAAGGCAGATCTATTTTATCATCAGATTTACATTTTCTTTTCTGTGCTTGATTCACATTTAGAGACAAAGTCGCCACTGGCTCCTTTGACAAGACCTGCAAATTGTGGTCTGCTGAGACAGGCGTATGTTTTCATACCTTCTGTGGACACACGGCCGAAATAGTACGTATGATAGCCTTAGTTAAGTAAAATTATTTTAGTCTCTGTTTAAGTTAAGTAAATTGTTTCACCAAATTCTATAGATTTATATGCACTGACACCAATACACTAATGTGCACATTATCTTGCCTTCTCTATCTTCTGTTGAACCCAAGGCCAGTTGAGCATTTAAGTTGATTAATTTATCACATTTTCTTTGGTAATATGTTTAGTGCTATTACTTAATCTCATTGGAAAATTTGAAAACTTTTGTTTTGTGTAGGTGTGCCTGGCATTCAACCCCCAGAGCACACTGGTGGCCACAGGCAGCATGGATTGTACTGCCAAGCTGTGGGATGTCGAGACTGGAGAAGAAGTGGCAGCTCTGATTGTGAGTTGTTTTTTCTTTGCTTATAATATATTCTAAAACTTTTCCTGCATTAATCTTTTATTTAATTCGGACTCACATTCACTCATTAACAATGCATTGATTACCCTTTTTTTAATGAACTCTAAAAGTGATTATTCCTTAGTTAAGGGCTGTTACTCTTGCTGACAACCAGCACTTTTTTGCCTAATAAGACACAGATTTTCCATTTTAAGGGGATTGGTGTCTCTCTTTGACTGAAAGTGTGCCTGTGATGTGACAGGCTGGTTCCCTTGCTGAGTTTTTGATATGAATTTTTAACCACATAGGATCATAGAGAAAAATGGAAAAGGAGTTTGGAAGAGAAAAGACATGAGATTGAAGTATGATGACTCTTGTTTTGTGGTTTCCTTTTCAGGGTCACACAGGAGAGGTCATTGCTCTTTGCTTTAACACAGTGGGAAGTCAACTCGTAACTGGTTCCTTTGACCACTCCGTCTCTGTGTGGGATGTTGCTTCAGGAGAGTAAGACATCATTATTGTTGTGATTATGTGTCCTTGTCTTGTACTCTTTATACTGTACAGTGCATACATGACAACAAAAGTGCACAGCTGCATCATTGCTGCGTTTGTCTGTTGATTCCCAGGCGTGTCCACACCCTGATTGGACACAGGGGGGAAATCACCAATGTTCAGTTCAACTGGGATTGCTCCCTCATTGTCACAGGCTCCATGGATACAACCTGCAAGGTGAATTTTTATCTGCAAAAATCTAAATCTTTCAGTAGTTGCCTGTGAGATGCAAGTGCCGTTATTTTACTCAATATCTTTTTTTCTTTTTTTTCACCCCCTGGCAATTTCCTTCGATTAGCCTGGTGAATGATTGCAATGGCGCTTGTCACTCATATTCTCCATTTTCCATTTCCTCACTCTTCATTGCTCTCCAGTGTCTGTCTCTAAGGTCTCCATCTTCTCAAGTAGAAAAATTATCTCCTTAATTATGCCAAGATGAGTCATGCTCACCAGTAAGAATTAATGTCTTCGCTGCATTCCTTGAGGGGAGATGTTTGAAGCTGTACAAGACAGCTATATCAGCCTAATGCAAACATCCCTCATGAGACTGATTATGTGTTTGATTGTACATATGCATGTCCTGTTTTTGCCGATTTGTTCCCAGCCTGTGTTTACGTCTTTCATTGTCAGTGTTTTGTGCATTTATTCCAGCTGTGGGAGGTTGTCAGCGGGGAGTGTGTTGCTACTCTCGCTGAACACAAAGAAGAGGTGCTAGATGTGTGCTTCGATTTAAGTGGCCAACTTATCGCTACTGCCTCTGCCGATGGTAAGACTACTACTAATTAAGTTCATGCTTGTATATGCTAGTATCCAAAGTACACCACCGACAGCTTGTCCTGCTTGTCCCTGTTTCTGAAAGGTACCGCCCGGGTGTTCAGTGCAACCACACATCAGTGTCTCGTGACCCTAGAAGGCCATGGTGGAGAGATATCTAAAGTAAGTCATGAGGCTGTATTGTATGTACTATATTTAATAACCATGCTTTATTTAATGATGAATGAATCTATCCTCTTGGCTGTATGGAATAAACAGTGTAGCTTCATTTTTTTGCCCAATGTGAGATATTAAGTCAAAAGACCACCTTGATAGGTGCTGTCATAATGTGCTAAGCCAAGACATGCACAGAAGCTGCCGTAGCCATATAGGACTGAGGTCACACCTATTCCGCCAGCCAAGCAAAAGATGCATTAATCTCACAGACAAATTGTTGAAGATCATTCAGGTTGGTAAGCTCCGCTGTGGAATAGACACTTTGGTAACCCTCTCTTTTACGGTACACTCATTACCAGGTAATTAACAGGTAAATTACCTAGTAACAACATGAAATTATCTGGTAACAACATAAAATTATCTGGTAATTACATGATACCTACTAAGTCAATACTGTCTAGTATTTCTTTTTTCCATACAGCTCCATTTTCAAAAGCTATTTGGGCTTCTTATTTTCTACGGTTGACGCTTCAAATTTGTATGATGATGGAAGGTTACCTACCTGGTAGCTAGACAGTATTGACTTAGTAGTTATCATGTAATTACCAGATAATTTCATGTTGTTACTAGGTAATTACCCGTTAATTACCTGCTAATAACTGTACCGTAAAAGAAAGGGTTACCGACACTTTTAGTAGGGGAAAAGTGACCCTTGAGCACTCCACTTATGGCACCATTTTAATATAAAGTCTATGATCCAAACAGTTACATAAAAAAATCAGCAGTTTCTTTTAAGTATTTAAACAAATAAATACTATTTGAAAGTAAGTTGTTCAGTTCTTCTCAAAGCTGATAATATATATTGATGTGATGACGATATTCAAGAGGGAATTTGTGAATCAACATCCTTTTATGTCATCGGAGAGCAAAAGCCTGTTCATTTATGTGAGCTAGCTTTTGTGCAAGCTTGAGATTTTGTCCAGAATCATCCCTCAGTCTTTTGCTTAAGCTATGGTTCTTTTTTCCACTTCTGAAAGTAGGTTGTTTCCTCTACGTTGACTGTTTACAGGAGATAAAGTGGCTTCTAAGGAGGAGGAACAGTGTTGAGGCTTCAGGCTGTGTATGCTAACTGTGTCACATGGTAAAGCTCGGCAAGTAGGACAAAACAACTGCAGTGTTGCATCTGTTGATCAGATTAACTGAATCTCAAGGTCTCAAACCAGAAAGCCAGAGGTCAAACCTAAACTTAATCTATGAGTTTTCGAACTAAGAGTAGGAAGTGTTGCCCAAACATGCCATCACATAAGATCACACTTCCTCAAAACTTAAACCAAGCATGGCAGTGTCTGACTTTTTTGGCAAAAGGTGTGTTTTGGTTTACCCCGCACTTACTTATGCTTTAGAGGAAACTATCTCATTTGACCATTTACCGTACTCTAGGAGCTCTAGGTGTTTCATAGCTCAGAGTATCAAGTGTTCTCAGGTCTGTGAAATGACCCCTGCGTTATGAGACTAGGCAGTAATCAATGAGCTGGATGGAGGATAATTCCAGGAGATTATGACACAAATCTCTCTCCTAACACTACACCTCCTCTTCTCCCCCATGTTTCTTAACCGCGAATAAGCTATTTTTCTTTTTAATAATTGGTGTCTCTACTCTATGTCCTTTAATTTCACTTATTAGGTTGTACTTTGCTCAGTCTTTGTAAAAGATTGGTTTTGGTTCTAGTATTGTTACTTTAGGATTGAACCCAGATATTTAAAGAAATCAAAGTTGACCGTCCAAAAGTTTTTTATATGACTTGAATCTTTATAAATATACAGTAATTGGAGAGGGCACACTGCGATGCCATGAGACAGAACACTGAACTGCTTTACATCTCCATTACCCACATAATAGCCATGTTCATCCATCCATTTCCTGGACCTTTTAAGTATTGTTTTACTTCTAATATATTAACTCTTGTACTACTTAAGTGCTAAACTTCTATTTTGGAAATGAGGTTAGAGTTTGTCTATAAAGATAGACTGGGTTACAGATTTAGTCTGGTTTAAATTCATGTATTTCTTTAATTCTATTTTTGTACCTGTCATTGCATTCACTGTAATTTTCTTCCTTTTGTCTCTATGAACATCTTCAAACTGTTTCCATTTCCTGTCTAGGTCTGCCCCTTAGTGCTAAATTTAGTTTTAATAAAAACACACTTTAATTTTATGGCCCTCTGGAGCCAGCTTCGTTTTCATGATCTCTTTCTTTTCTTCACTACAGAAATACATGACCAGTCAGGGGATTATTAACTAGGGACCTATCACAATCAGATTTAGCCATGACTTCCACAGTATCCTCCTGGAAAAGCTCTTCATTAAGTAGTTCCACTGGTGTTTTTATTCTCCTTAAGCACTAAGTTGAATGGCCTCTGTGGAATAACACTGCTGATGTGGTGAAATTGTTCTGAACTCGTTCATTTTACCCTCATCATTTCAACCACTTCTAGGATAATCTCTTATTCAGCACTCTCTCTTACTCATACCATTGCTCCAAAAGCACACAGACACACACACAGGCAAACACACATCTTTGAATTAGACCATTTATCCTGACTCGGCTTCTCTTGGTAGATCTGTTTCAACCCTCAGGGCAGCAGGATTCTGACTGCCAGCTCAGACAAGACAGCTCGTCTGTGGGATGTTCAGTCTGGCAGCTGCCTACAAGTCCTGGACGGGCACACAGACGAAATCTTTTCCTGCGCCTTCAACTATGAGGGTGATACTATCATTACAGGTACACAATGCACCCCTGACACCCACGTAAAATATCCGACAACCACAGTGTGAAAATGTGGCCTTAAGCAGTGATTAAATTGCTCCTCTCTGGCCATCATAATCATAAATTCTTGATTGCACATTTCAGATGAAAGTATGCAGCTGTGTCCTTCTGTTTAACCACCTGTTCTTGTTTATGCTCTCCTGCAGGAAGCAAGGATAACACATGCCGGATCTGGTACTAATCCTTCCCTTGACCTCTTAGAGGCAGACGGGGAAATACCTGGACAAAGTGTTAGATGATAAGGATGATGGATGACGGCTGGTCAAATTGCATCTGTTGTTATCTGTGGGAGAGAAATATGCCGTAGAATACAATGTGGATGTGTACAGATAAGCTGCCAAACAATGTTATCTCTATACTGAGTGCTATGAATATTACAGACTGATTGTGTTTCACATCACAGAAATTTATTTATGTCAAAAGATAAATACATTCAGGTCTACCGTGACAGTTTACAGCTGAATTGTGTGCTTTTTTTCCCCCCTCGATGCTGATGTAACACAGGAGTACCACCACTAAGTAGAGAAAAAAACAGACCAAATTCACATACAAATTCAACATTACAAACCTTACTCTGTCTCCCCGACACAGTAAAAGCTAAAGAGAGCAGTCCACTACTCCAAGGTGCAGCAGTTCCAAATCTACAGTATATACAGTACAGCTATCCAAAATAATCAGTTCTCGAGTAACAGTAACATTAACAAGATAACTCACTTACTTAGAACCCATTTTCAAGGTCACAACAGAGGTGGGATGTTGGCTAATGAGGACAACCAGGAAAAATGAACATTTTGCTTATTTTCAGCAAATGTACACTACAAAGTGGCTATCATAATTAAAAGAGCGTTTCTGGGCTTACTTATCTTCACTCAGCCTCTTTTACAAGGTCATTTTGATAGAAAAGGTTCAAGCATGTTAAGTTAGTTTGAGAATTTAACCTGATTATCCTATTTTCTGTAGGTTCTTTGCTTCATGTGTGTTCATCTGGAATACTTAAATAAATAAATTAACAAATAAATAAATACAGAAGCATAATTTGGTAGTGTGAATCTGTAAATATATATCTATTTTATATATTATCTGTAGCAGTTAAAACCTGCTGTCTATAATCTCTTTAAGGCTAGTTCATTCCTTCCAGGAATGTCCAACCAAAACACCTTGTTAGCTCGGTGCTTGTGTGTGTGTCACAAGAGAAGTGAATCCAACAACAAAACATGCTGTTATTAAAGGGAAACTCGTCCATTTATGGTCGTGAACAGAAAACACACAACTTCCATGGACACATCGAGGTGTATGGGTATCTCAAGTATGCTGATTGTGTCAGGCTTTCACCTCGCTGTTGAAGACACTCAGTATGACGAGACAGGACAGAGTAAAAGGTGAGAAACACTTCAGTAGTGTGAGTGAATGCGTGAGCGTGTGTGTTTTCATTTGCAGTATACAGAAGCTAGTCCATCCTACAGGGTTTCCAAAAGCCAGTCAAACAGGCTGGATAGAGACTGGCCCTCCTCTTCCTCTTTCTTGTGTTGCTTACAGAACTGGACCACAGCCCCAAACAAGTCTGCAATCCGCCATGACTTCTGAGACATCAGATGCACCACCCTCTGAAACTGAACGAAGACACAGTATCACAATAAACAATGAATACAGGAGCACTGATTTAAGCACTTTGGGGAAATAAGAGAGTATTTATCAATATAGTATATTTTTTTTAATCTAAATAATGATCAGAAAAGAAGAATTCAGCTTCAAAAAAGACTGGATCAAGATTGTATCTCTTGGGCATTCATAGGGAGACACAGGAAGTGTAGTGTTCTCTAAGAGGCATCCATCTGTGCTCACCTTTGCAACCCTTTTTTCTCTGGATTTTCTGAAGTAGAGCCCTGGTAGGCCCAGCTCCGAGGCAGCAATCCACTGAAGAGCCACCCTTAGCTCTGAGTCCACACACTCAGGCTCCAGGTCACAGTTTACCACCAACAGCACCCTGAGGTTCCCACTGCTGCTCGCTGCCCTAGCTGGACTGCTCTCTGAAAGATTAAATGTGAAAAAACATGCTGTTGTTGAAGGGCATCAGTACGGTAGCCTACACAGCTGAAATGTTAACTTTGTTCTCCGTGTTACTTTACCACAGTAAGTTCTGCTTTAGTTTTACTTTTGGAGAGGCTTTGAAGGAGTTTAAATCATTAAACAAATATGAACTTTGTGAGAAACTTCTACAACTATGAGACCCATTGAATTATTGATGACCATCCATGTTACAGAGAAGAAGACTGCCTTCATTCAAGTAAATCCTAGAAGCAGTTTGTGGTACTTAAATCAAGCACAAGCACACAGTAGCATTGACCGCTGAAAGATATTGTTGAGATGAGATATGTTTGAGCTGGCCATTAAGGTAAATCATTTAAATGTCAATAACAGGCCAATAAATTGACAATACATCCCTATACTTACCAAAGGCATTCTCCTTGGTTACCGCCGGATGGCTTTTCTCCGTCTCCTCGCTGTGAAAAAATATAAAAAGCTACAGTTTTATACATGATTACTTAGAGAGATGGTCTAAGAATCTTAAAAAAACATATGCCTGCTCACTTGGAGAGTAAGATGAAAAAACTGGAACCCTTTTATGTCTTAATGATTAATAAGCAGCACCAGATCAGAAACGAGCTAACGCTTCTTCATCTGAAGGTAATGAATCTGCTAACCAGTAACTCTGACGCTTACAACTATAAAAAATTATATCTTGTATGTTTAAATCACGCAATACAGTGATAACAACCCATTGTGGTTCTATTGAGATTTATATTCATTTCATTAATTATTAATGGACTATTTATTAAAGGTTTATATAGGGTTTAAATATTGGTTGTAAAACATCTAGATTAAAATGTGTGTCAGTAGCACTTTGTAAATGGTTGATATTTGGTTTTTAAACCACCTACAAACAATACTTAGATGGTTATAACAAAGTTAGGGTTAGGTTTTTAAAATTGTAAAATTTACAGTTTAATCATGGTCTATATGCTACTTATAATTGATGACAATATGATAAACAATAATAAACCATCTGCATACCATTTATAAATGGTCTATTTACCATATATAAGTTAAGGTTATTGTTCAGTGTTACCCTTTTTTCTTCTGATTTACAGCAAGAGAAGAAATGATAATACATCCGTAAATATTAACCTTTATTAGAAATATTGTGTTTATTAAAATGCATCAATGTTAGGTCAGTAGTCATGAAGTCACGAGCCACCTTGTGCTCTAGTGAAGAAATAAGAAAAGGCAATATTCTATCTGCTGAATTGAGTGGGAAAAAAAGTTCCAATTATTGGGCTTCAAAGTGACACTTTAATGAGAAAAAAAGTTCAGCTCAGCCCTCTAACTTCTGACAGGTACCTGATTATTGTGCTCTGAGTAGGCACATCAGAAAAAGCATCCAGGTCTGCCAAGCCTAGGCTTGATGCGCTGCTGGTTCCATTCCTGTTTAACCAATAACAGAACAAGAGACAACGTCATCCACTTGTTGTCTCAAGACACTCGACATGATCACTTGCGTGTGAAGGGAACGATAACTAGACGCAGCGATGCAGGTCATGTTGTTCATTAGCTGGTGATTAACATATAAAGAGCAGCTGCAGTGGAATCGGACAAGGGTGGGGAGGGCTGAGGAGTTTTGTCCAGCAGCAAGCCTGTCTGAATATGGAGATGAGCAGATTCAGAGCTAGTTTAGGCAGGTAAAGGTGGACAGGCAGGACTGGGAGCCATGCCCATGTATCACAACATGGATCAGGGGGATGAGGTGAGGTTCAAGTGAGCAGCTTAGATGGAGAGGTTGGCAAAGAGCAGCGAGCGTTGTGTTGTGTATCTTTCTAGTTAATCAAAAACAAAAAAATAGGTAGTTTAAAATCTGTACACAAAGACCTTTAAAGAAAATTCATGCTGTTTAAGTTTCAGTTTATAATCTTTACTTTGTTGATGTAAAATTTGGTCCATAATTCAAGTTTATAGTAATAGGTTGTTTTAAGAAGGAGTCAAAGCACAACCACCTCTGCTGTAAGCTTTTCACAGCAACAGACGACTTAGTGCTTTAAGAAAAAAGGTTGAATTTTTGGCTGAAGGTAAACAGATAAGGTAGTAAGGTCCTAACCCAGAGGCTTTTATGAATGCAAGATGCAGGTAGTTGTGTGTTGTGTTGCGAGGTGCATGGCGTGGTCCTGTATGCAGGCTATGGAGAGGGCTTTGTGGTCAGAGCACTCTGCCATTGACCACCTTAGCAGGTGTGGGTTTTGTAGCAGCAGGGGTAAAAACTGGCACTGGCGTTGGAGAGCATTGGTATCAGCAGCAATGGGCCAATGAGAGTGGGGTGAGGGTGGGAGTAGCAGCGTTTGCAGCAGTATTAAGGAGCAATGGTTACTGACCCCTCGCTCAGCTGGATAAAACTACTGGTCTCCTCATGGGGGTCATCTTCTGGGGTTATATGGGACCAGCTCCCCATGCTCTCTTCACTGCTAGCACTCATAGAACGCTTGTCCCTCTTGGCTACTGCAGCCACCGCCGCAGCTGACTTGTCCCTCTCACTGCTGGGGAGAGCAAACCGCAAGATGGTGGGTGTGACCATCGGCTAGTTCTGCAAAATATCTGCTGACGTGTGTGTGCTCACTTTGACTAGTTTCCACTTTTCCCTGTGTTCCTCTGTTCATTATTCATGTTAACACACGGTTGTAATGAAATTTTAATAAGGCAGAATCTGGACACTTCACTCTCTAAAGACTCTAGCTCTAAGGATAACGGAGGCCTAGAAACAGAAAATAACTTGGAACCAAAAAATTTAATAAATAAATTTCATTATCTTTTTGCGTTGGCAAACTGCATTCCCAGGGAGACACTGTTGGATTCCCAATGTCTTTTAGAAAATGGATTAAATGAAGTCATAATCAGATGATTGAAGCCTACCATCCTTGACAGGTCCAGAGGGAAATTATGTTTTATTGACTGGGCATGCGACTGAATTCCACTCTCACACAGGGACCTCTCAGATACACTTCACTTGTTCTTGGATTACATGTAGTGTGAGGTAAAAGGAAGTGTGTCGTGAGACTCTTATGTGGCTTGGGAGCCTCTTAGCTGTTCTACTCTTGTTTTGTTAGAATTAGTTTGTTTTTTGAGGATCTTAATTTCTTTAAAAAACTCAGACCCAAAATACAGACTTTATATTCTCACTCTGTATCGTGAAATTCTCTTGCACAGTAGATCTTTTCACTTGAGAATTTCAAGTTGGTTTGATTTTGAATTTGATTGGACAATTTATTGCACAAAGACCCACCTCTGTCTTTACCACCCTCAGACTATTGGCTGAAATGTCTTCTGGGAAAATCTTCCTTTTAGTTTTTACCATAGACTGTATATACTATGGACAACTTGGCTCTGCCTTCTGCCAGTATACAGATTTAAAGCTGAAAAGCTCTCTGTATTTCTGTGTTTTTTCTCCACTTCCTGAAACCAACATTGCGCAGTAGCGTTGTACGCATTCAGCGGGCGAGTCGCTGTGATGACGCTCGGCTCAAACAGTGTATCCCCCGGGTGAGCTACGCAATCTTCATACGCCTATAGGCTGTATCAAGTGTCAATCACAGAAAATATGAACCCCCTAATAACTTTTAAAAATGGAACCATACAGAAAAAAGAGGAGTTGAGCACAAACCAGTCTTACAATAACTACATGTCAACATCACAAGCAGGGGTGAGAACAATTTATATTTTGTGTAATTAGTTTCTAAAGTTTGTCCACGGTCCAAGGATTGCTGGAGGAGGCGGGATTTATGACCTATACTGCAGCCTGTCAACAGAGGGTGCTGTTCTCAGAGTGGATTAACCCAGAGAGGAGGCAGACGGTGTCCATTCTATATACAGTCTATGGTTTTACAGTTTGAGCGTATCATTTTAAGCTCTTGTCCTCTATCCTAATGTAATACCTTTATAAAATAGATCTATCTATCTATCTATCTATCTATCTATCTATCTATCTATCTATCTATCTATCTATCTATCTATCTATCTATCTATCTATCTATCTATCTATGTCTGTCTGTCTGTCTGTCTGGAAATATTGTGCCGCTGATACTTCATCCTGACCTTGCTGTGTTGCTGCTCTAACCTGTTAACACATGCACCGAAATATAAGCAAGTCAATCCCAGAAGTGCTCTCAAGGCAATCATTTCACCCTGGTGTAGGTCTGACTGTATCTATTAATGTCACCATGAGACACACATACGCAAGTAAAAAGCAACACTCCGCCTCCTGGGTATGTTTGTGGTGTCAGGGTCAATTGAAATACACAATAAGAGAAGCTCGAGGTATTTATTCTGTTAGCCACAAGGTGAGTTTAACAGCCTCGGGAGATAAAACGCAAAGCCGTGCAAAGCTTTCTGCACACAAGGACTATCCTCCAGACGATGTGAGTCAAACATCTCCAATCTTACACACACTAGAATAGATAAGTTTTTCCTGAATCCTCATGAGTCAAGTGTTTGATTAAACATTAAAGAAGCTCTGCTAAGACTGAACTATTGTAGAGTCTGAATTTCAGCTATTTAAAATGAACATTTGAACAAATATTTGATATTTTACAAATCTAAAATTGTGATTCTTCATTTATTTTACCCTCACTTGTGTCAAATTAAATGTTACTTTTTACATAAACATTACCACGATTCTGCCCCTGGGCTGCGTAAAAGAGAGGTCACATTAAGGACTGTGATGAGTGTTTATACCTGCCGCCGTTGGCTGTAGCTCTCTCCGTTTGCTTCATCCCTGACATGTCTTGGGTTGTTTCCTGCAGTCCTCCTCCAGTCCTTTCTGACTTCAATACAGCATCCTCATCCTTCTGATCCCCTTCAATATGGATCAGCGGCACATCTCTAGGGCCCCTCAGGCGTGGTGTGATGTTATCAATGGACCCAGACCCTACTCCAATACCAGTTTTCTCCTGACTGGACCTACTTCGTCCACAAGCTAGATGGGATTGTTTGAACCCCCTTCTTCTTTCACCTACAGGCATGTGTGGCTGTGGGAACGACCCACAGATCCCCCCGATTGAATCTTGCTGGGCCCCTAGTGCAGACTTACCGCTATCTACAATGTCTGCAGCAAGGCGATTGGCAAACTGCTGCACATGGGGCTGGGAGTCTCCTGCAGCCTCCAACTCGATACTGTCCTCTGGATCAGCAATGATCTTGTTCTTTCTCATCAAAGACTCAATAGAGCTTGACCAGGTCTCGTGAATAAGCATGTCAGTAATCTGGTCTGATTTGCCCCTTTGATAGAGGTAGGAGTCCGATTTACATAGTCCTGTGGCCGACACTGAATTTGAGGGGAAGATATTCAGTGTGTCCCCGTGAACGTTGCGGGCAAATCCGTCAAAGGAATTGGCTTTGATTGGTGAGTTGACGGTCAGTCTTGAGTCTGAGGAGCGTCGATCTGGGACAGAGGACTGTCTTATGCAGAACGGTGACCTAGGAGAGGGGGGAAACAGGCTGTTGCTCCACTCTTTAGTCTTGGCGATCCCATACTCCTTGTTTTCCTTATCCATGTCCCTGAGCATGAACCTGTAGAACTCCTCTGTGATGCTCTCTGTGCTTGACTGTTTTGAGAGGCAGGATGAGGTCCTAACATTAAGATGGCCGTTTTTCTTTGAAGCAGCCTGCTGCACAGCTGCGGTCAGAATGCTGCTGGCGTTTTTCCCTGCGTAGTAGTCCAGCAGGAGGTCAAAGCCTCTGCCCTCAGTCTCCATCTGGTTAACCATGAACCTTGAGAACTCATCCGTGATGCTCTCACAGCTCGACTGCTTCGAGATGGAGCTATCTCGGCTCAAGTTCTGACCTAATCTGCTGCCGAGGCCCAGGGTGTTGGATGTGCCTGAGGGGTCTGCGTCTTCTTCTGGAATACTCTCATAACTGGAGGCCTTTCCTCTGCTCCACCTCTCACACTGCAGCCTGCTGCGTGCCTGGCCTGTTTTGGAGGTATCTACCACATTCAACTCAGGACAGTTCATTATCCTGGCAGTGACCTCAGAGGCGAAGAGTGCAAACGGGTCCTGTAGTTCCTCTGGGTTGACTGATTCATCCACCACCCTGTTCACCAGCCGCTCCATCAGCTCAGGCTGCTCCTCGGTTTTTCTTTTGATCTCACTGAGACGTGGTGCTCTGTGTTTCTTGGAGGAGGCATTTCCACTTTGACCCTCTTTTCTCCTGAGCACTGAGCGACACGCAGGTAACAAGTAAGCTTCTGGCCCTTCAGGAGATGTCCCTTTAAGAGCACAAAACCAGGGTTGTTTACCAGTTGAGTTCTCCAGGCAGATTGCTGCTAGTTCTGTGGCCATTGACACAACAGTAGCAGCCAAATCATCTGCATAGCAAGTAATAGGCGTCCTTGTCTCTGAATCCATTCTCAAGCAGAGCAGGGAGCTGCAAGAGTTGAGGGAGGACTGGGGTGTGAGGGAGGACTGTCTGCTGTCACTGCTTGTTCCAAGTCTTCCCCTCTTTTCTGCACTTATACCCGGGATCTCACTCCAAGGGTCTCTATTGATGAAACTGCTCTGCTGCATCTGATGGTGGTCGGACAAGTCCCTGCTAGGCAAGGAGGCGGATTTGAAAATACTTTGTCTGCACACTGACTGATGCTGTTGCTCTTTGCTGTGTGTTATAGAAGAGGATGCCACAGTATCACCTTCCTCAAGCACATGTTTCTCCTCTTGCCCAGGAACCATGTTTGGCTTACCTGTACTGTGAAGGACACTGCTGTGGTTCTCTTTATTCGAGGACTGGCTAAGGCCAACTAGGCACTGTGCATGACTCAAAGGATCCTTGCTCTCTTTGGTAGTAGCAGGCTCCCTTGCAGAAGTATGAACCTCTTGTGTCTCACATGACTCTTTGTCACTTTTGATGTGACTGATTTTCTTCTGTGTCAGGCAAAGGATATCAAAAAGCAAATTATTCACACTGTCCTGCAGAAAAACTTGGAGGTTTGGTGCGTCTTTTCCAGTTCCCTCAAGTTCTTTTTTCTTTTTGGCCTTCTCTAAAGCATGCTTGAACAGGCTGTCTGCCACCTCATTTATTATGTCATCCACTTCCCTTTCATCCATGTAGGACTTTTTTGGACAAGTAATGCCATCAACTATCTTGTTATGCGTGGCCTCCAGCAGTTGGGCGACGCTCCTGTATCCTTGGGGCTGAGTCAACACCTCAGCTGCTTCCCTGTGAAGGACTTCGGCGATGTTGGCACGAAACGCTTCAACGCTGGTCCCCTCTGCCACTCTGCAATGCAGAGGGATGGCTGTTGAGGCTTCAGCAGCAGACATCAGACCTTGTGATGCTGTATAGACTTCAGGGGCGTCAGCATCAGAATCACACGCCTCCCTTGACTCTTCTGTCAGCTCCACAGCCGCTACAGCACCAGCCACCTGAGCCATGCCACACACTGCTGAGGAGAAGGAGTAGTCAGCTCTCTCCTCTGGTTCCTGGAGGTCTTCCTCTGCGTCCTCCTCTGAATCTGATTCCATGGCTAGCTGTTCAGTCAGCTGCGGGGTGGTTATGGTCCCAATGACACTGGCAGCACAAGCCAAAGCCACCTCAACATGTTTGGATGGATGTCCCCTGTTGTGATGTAAAATATGGGCCTGTGTCCCGTTCTCTTGAACCTCTCCGGCTTTGGCAGTGATATCCTGATCTGGCACATGAGACACCTGGTTCTCTTGCCACTCAACAGCCCCGTCAGAACTATCAGGACTTTGAACTATAACAATCTTGGGGAGTTCAAAAGAGCAGGTGCGCTGTTGGGAAGGCTGTTTGGCCTTCGAGAGAGCTGTGGTGTTGGAGGGCCGACTGGAGAGGGAGACGCTGACTGCAGCCTCAGAGACAAAGGATGTTTCATCTTGAGAGAGGCGTATGAAGGCATCTTGCAGAACGGACTCTGCCAAATTGTTGGCATAATGACCAGCTGATTCCTTTGTATGAAGGCTTGCTTGCTGATACCCTTCTCTTTTTACCGCCGCATCCTCCCTGTTCTGATGAAGGGCCGGCTGTCCCCTCTGACATGCGAGTCTTACACAGTGTTTCTGTGCTGCCTCTACCAAGCTCTCAGCCAGGTCACCACTTTCTGGTTCTGTGAGAAGACAAGGGGATAAAGAGAAACAGAATGAAAAAGTGTCTTCACAGATTAGGAAGTAACTCTATCAGTTTAGGAGAGTAGAATATTACCATCTTTTACCCTTCACTGAATAATGAAGCTTGTTTATGTCATGTGAGACCCATTCAGTTTCAAATTGGTAGAAATTCAGGTGATTTAGTTCAATTCATTCATCATCAGGGAAACATAATGTCGAGTGTTATATACTTCTCTCTTGTGTCAAATATTCTCAGTCACTATAGAAATCACTCTGTGATTGTCATGGCTGTATGTTTGTCTCTTTTTTTCCGCTTTTGTCTTCCGTAGCTCCCTGTGTTTTGGTTGACTTCTTGATTGTTCTTTAGTTTATCTTTGGTAATTATTTAAATGTGTTTTGTTTTAATAAATCACATACTAAACTTTTGAAAGTGTTTTCCGTTTCTTTTAATGGCTCAGTATGTAAATAGTTGTTAGCTCCATAGGGCCACCTTCAAGTGGAGCATAACAGTGATGGCAGTACAACCGGCCTGATAGTGTTGCTGCAAACACAGGAAGAAAAACAGAGTAATTCTACTGGCTGCAATTTGTTAAAGCTCCTGTGAGGAGATTTTAAACAGTTATGAAACAGACTGAGATGGACTCTGATGCATCTCTATGGTGCACAAAAGCAGATCAGGCATTCAATGATAAGATCGACAATTTGTGTGATATGATTTACAATACATTTTATTATTTAACACCTGTAACTTCAGTGAGGGGCTAGGTGCACTGAAGAAACAGCCTCTGTTACTTTTCCTTATGAGCAAATCTTAACAGTGAGTGAAAAATTTGACCATAAAAAGGACAAGAGGAGATTTTTTTTTTGTCAATTCAAAATTTTAGAAGGATGAGATCAGGGCTACTTCTTTAGTGATGCACAGGAGCTTTAATTTGACAAAATATCTGCTATTTAAATACTAATGAGAGTGTTAAAACCGTCACAATAAAAATTGTGAGTTACAGTTTGATGCCATCAATCATTGTAAAAATATTTACATATTTTTAACCTTATCAAGGTTACTTTAATTTGCAATAAAGGTTATTTTTCTGTTTAAAACTCAGTTTTAATAAAGTTATTATCCCTTTTCTTGTCTTTGTCATTAGATGTGCTAAAACCTGACAATGAGCCAACGAACACAAAGATTATTGCTGTTTAAGGAACTTCATTATAGACATTGTATTACTGTTGTAGGTTTAAGAGATTTTTTTATGTGCCTTACTGTAAATACATTGATAAGGAACTGAACATGAGCTTAAACAAAACATCTATGGTAAAGAAAAGAAGACTAACCATTTCTGAAGCCGTCGTCCTCACTGTCATCACCGAGGTGTTCTGAGGCCGTCTGAAAGTCTTCCTCTATGGATGAGATAGAGCGGTTGGTATCATCATCTACCCGTTGCAGTGGTGTTTGGCTCTGCTGAAACTGTCGCTCCTTCGCCCACTGCAGACCAATCAGGAACTTGTTGATGTCAAAAATGATCCCGCTGGGTTGGTTGGAGCGTCTTGGCCCTGAACACTGAACCAGGCACACACCTGTACTTCTCTGCTGCCCAACCTGAATGGAATATGTACAGATACTTATTATGCGTGCTCACACAAAGTCACACAAATGCACACTTTTTGTGTAAATAAAGCTCTTTCTGATGATAGAGATGGTTGATGTATATGGGAGGAAGTTGAGCTTTCTTAGTCATTCAACATGCCCCAGTTTTCTTCCTGACAGCCTTGCTCTTTCATGATTGCCATGATGCGACACATCATCACATCTTGCAATAATTTTCCCTTGGATGGCAATGACCTACTTTGAAATAATCACAAGTACAAATAAAAAGAATGTGTGAGTCAGTTTTCTACTTGTGTTGGTAACATACAGAGATTCTTCTTTTTTAAGTTTTTTTTGGGCCATTTTAAAGGCATGGTCCTGGAAGCGATATATTTTTTTTGTATGTTGGTAGGGGAAAGTCCCACCTCCTTCACCTCTGATTGGCTAGAAGAGCTGGAAAGGTCAAGCCAAATGTGGGCTGTCAGCTTTGTACATTGAACAGAACATTACAGAACATTATCGCACTTCTGAATCTCCTAACCCTAACCCTAACCCTAACCCGACAGACAATGACGTTTCACAGCGATTAGGAATAGCCAATCGAAGTCCAGCACTTCTAGACAATCAGGCGAAGAAGGGCAGGACCTTCCCCTACAAAAAAAAATCCTACAAAAAAAAAAAAAAAAAAATTGCGTCCTGGAACAGTGAGCTAAACCGTAACTCCATCTTGTCAAAGTCAAAGTTTTTTCATGCTATAAAGTTGGCTGTAAGCAATTCTTCCTTCTCCAGAGCATGACAGCTCCCTGTTATTGACTTGCTGATGGTACGCATTATCAGGAGAAAAGGCAGCAATTGACAAGTAGACGTAAATGTGAAGTTCCATTAGACACAAGACAGCACCGCACAGATAATTGGTGATGAAAAGGGTTTATCTGCTGACTATGAGGGCAAGTGCATTACGCTTCAAATACCCTGCTTACTGCCTCCTCTTAAAGTGGTCCTCTTAAGTATAATTACACAGTGAACTACTTGATTGCAGCTGTGATTTGTGTTTTTTTATTTGTATGCCAGTTTAAAATTTCATGTGTAAATAAGTAACCATTATCTCAGTTACTATGATTTTCATTTCCTTCTCAAATATTGAAGATGATTTGTAGGATATAATTATTTTTCCACGAAGACGTGAAAATCTTAGCATGGAGCGAGCAGGAGAGAGACCCTGCTGGATAAAATATATGCATCCTCTGTGGATTTTTCCTGGCACAAACACTTCAAATCCAATAAAACACAATAGTGATATAAATGAGCAGCTTGCGCGGACTGCCTCACTCTCCAGGCCTGTTAATTCAAAGGCTGAAAAGCCTAACAAGGTTTTGAGGACAACACTGCAAACTCACCTGAGGGGGGGAGTGTGGGTGCGTTTGGCAAGAGTCTGAGGCATCTAGGCCACCAAGCAGTAGGATCTCATTTTCTTTCGGCTGGTGAACAGTCAGTAATTCAACAAGCTTTGGCAGGTCTGGAGACACTGATGCCAATTTCTGCAGGAGACATGCCAAGCACAGAGACACAATGCATAATGATAAAAAAAAGCTTCTTTTTTTCGGGCAACCTCAAAACTGAACATGTGTTCTCTGTTGTTCCAATTCAGAGACACATAATTATGAAAATCCTTCCTGAGAGAAAGCTTGAGCCACACCGACTTCTTTTTAACTGTGAATCACTGCTACCGCTGACAGCTACATCCACTCTTTATCCAAACAAAATCACCCCTCTAATTTTGGTTAATGATTTGAATCCATGAAAGCTGAGCTGATGTGTATACATGCATAACAATGAAGAGTGTTCCTTGGAGAAGAGTGGGTGTAATAGAGACAGAGCTGACAAAGTTAGAAAAGAATGAGGGTGACGAAGGGGTATAAATACCTTCATGCTTCTTTCATCTCGGTGGTCTGTTTTCTGAGGGTCAAGGTTGACAAAACAGATCTGGAGAAGACAAGAAAGAAAGATGAAAAATTAGTTTTGGAAAAATGTATTTTGAGATATTATCATATTGGCTGAGCAGGAGTGGAGAAAAAGTGTCCCAGAAGGTAAATGTGCTGCAAAAGCGCAAATGCTGCACTGCCTTTTCCCTTTCTTTGTCACTTTGACAGAAGTGTAGCACCCCTCTTACTGACTCACCATTCACAACTACATCAGCTGTCTGCTTTGTGTGAAGAACCACTGTAAGACAGTGTCTCACTATGACTTCCTTGTCTTCTGGGGTGTGCTGGCAGTGGGTGTAAATCAACAATGACTTTCTATCCATCCCTGCCATTCATTTTTTTATTTATTTTTTTCCTTTCCTCTTCCTCTGTTGCTGTTTCTTCTCTCAGCCTCTCTCACACTCTCTGCCTCTTCTTCTTCCCATCCCACCCACATTCGCCACTGGCTGCAGGTTTAATGGACTGTGATGGAGTCTACATGTCAGTGCAGGGAGTCTGGGACAGTCCGTTGGCTGCTGTTTGATTTGACAGCACACCGCCTCGGATCTGAGGTGGTGAGGCTGAATTAGTCCTGTGTGGCTAAACAAATACAACACAAGGAGCATTTAGAGGATTGGGGTTTTACAGTCCCCTCCTAAACACCCATTTTCTGACTGAGGAGCACTAAGACCTGCTTTGGGAGAAATGATGTATTTCCATCTCAGCCACAAAGCATATATTTTTATACAAACACTAAAATCCTGCCAGACTTGTCATCACTAACTAAACTCCTTGTAACGTGAGTCACTGAGGTAGTCGCGATTTTTGCAATTCAAAACACGCACAGGTGGGATCCTGCTGGCTTCTTTTTTTTACCTTCACACACTCTTCCTGTTGCTATCTCCCTCTCCTCCTTAGACCCACCGAAGATATAGACGTATCATTTCAAATAATCACATGTTGACACAAGCCAGTCATTAGTTTTGTGGGAAGAAGCCAACAACAAGATCTATTTATGTACTTTTTTTCATTTTTTACAGTCATGTCATGTTCTCTGGTTGAGTCCTTTAGAAATAAATAGACCAATGCAATGATAAGTCTATTTCTATTTTAAAATACGTCAATAATTTTATTCCACTTTTCATAGTTTCCTTCCACTTCGTAAACAGTCAATGAGCTGAAATGTCTTTCAGCTGAAGCAATAATGCAGCACATTTACAACAGGTCAATTTCCCTCCTCATATCCAGTCTGGTATCCTCTCATCAAACATATTTTCCAAACTATTACATCGAAATGTGAAGAAAATTACCACCTGAAATTGGAGTCAGCCAGGTATAAAAATAAGAAACCCTGACACCGGTAACAGCTGATGACAGAATATTTAAAAGGATTTCCGTGCTCATTCTGGTTAAACCGAGTCTGCGCACGCTTGTGCGTGTGTGTGTGTGAGAAAGAGAGAGTTCAGTAACCACACGTGTAACTGGATACAATAAAAATGGGCTTTTGTTACCTTTCCCTCAAAATAACAACTATTTACACCCAGCTCGCTCATAAGCCTCCCTCTGTTGTTCATGATAATGAAGTGAAGGTGATGAGCGCCTATTTGTCAGAAAAGCGGTAAAATGTCAACCACATACACACAGAAAGATGAGTTTATTCTGTGCCATTTGGTGAAAAGAAAGACAACAGCATGACTGTGCCACTCAACAAGCTCCTGTTTGATACAAAGAAGCTGACCTTTAAAATTTGTTTTGGAAATTCCACTGAGTGTAAAAGTGTGAGTTAATATGAGTTAATTATTTGACTTTTATTTCCAAAAAAATTATAGCTGGGTATCTGTTCTAATTTAATGTTATACAAATATTAAATTTCCTATCTATTTCACATCATGTCGATAAAAGATTTTCTGCCCTCGCTAAGAATTCAACTTTTACTAATATTGGAAATCATCCCAGAGAATCAGCGACAGTACCACCCCCTGCCTGATAACACATCGCCTACAGATAGAGCACATTTGAGAAAACGCGAGGCAAGTGATCCATAATTTTGACTTTGAGAAGGGTTCAAGCAGTTTAACCCCATCAGACGGCAAAAGCCTTGAGGCATTTGTTCTAAATTTGGGATGCAGAGAAGCATTGAGTCATATCGCTGTGTCATTGTGTGATACGAGCCCAGGGACATGCTCTGATTCCATCAGTTTTTCACAGACATACCAGACCACACACGCTTACGTCATACTCTCTCTGAAGGACTGACCATGTATACAGCAACTGAGGAATACAGAGAGGAGAAGTACAGATACACAGAGGCTGAGTTATATTTGCTTTTAAGTGAGGATGCATCGATAGAGTCCTAAACTTGAGAAGTGCTCTTGATCAGAGCGATAGAAAATCCAGACTGTTAAGACATCTGGATACGTCAGCATCGAACCCAAACCCTAGCCTGAACTTTGAATTTTTCTTAAGTGATCAATTTCTTCGTTGTGTAAACTTAAATTTAAATCAAACTATCATACAAGTTCAAGGAAAGAAAAGATTAAAATTGTCAAAATTAAGCACAACTCATTATCAAGGCCAAACTCAGAATCATGCAATACTGCAGACAAACATTAACACTGGCAGAGCTAGCACCTCCAACCATTGGCCCTCAATGCAGGTTTGTATCCATGTACATGTGCTGGTTACACACTGCTCTGATCAACATGCCAGTTTAACTGGACATAGCAAGTGCTGCCAAACCATGCTGCAACACGTCATCAGCCATATGTACTTGTTTTTATTAAACAAACACCATAAACTAAAGGAGCTCCGGCCCGAGACTGGCCTAGAATAGTGAAAATAATCATAATTTGGTTCACTGAACAGTAATTGTGGTGCTGACTGATGAGGATAAATATGTTTAATCATACGCCAAGAGTCGTCAATTTTACATTGATGCTTCTTTTCCGTTTTTTTTGTTTTTGTTTTATCAGATTGACTTTTTCCACCACTTCATTTTGAATGCCTGTAACTGCACTGGCTTTGCTAATGTGTGAGATTGATTGAATATCAACACATCAGCACATCAACAGACTTTATTTTCTTATTTTTTTTCCATGCTGATGGTGAGTGACACATTTGACTGCCAACAGAAAGCAGGATGAGAGTTTTTATTTAATAAAAACACTACTTCAAGGTCATGTTCAACCAAGAGAAGATTTCCCAGCAAGGAAAACACCCGCAAAACTGAAACTAAGCTAACGTTCCTCTCAGGAACCCAATGATGTGATCCAGTGAGGCACTGACACAATAAAAACCAATAACATCTCACTGTGATTTAATGCAGCAGTATAATATCACACTTTTACTTTAAAAATAGCCTATAGTAGAATATTACATTAGCATACGTCCATCATTCTGAACTGTCTGAATAAACAGCTGTTTTTATTCTTTGTAGGATGGCATATCTGGGTTGCGTCAGGATCCTGGCTGCAGCACAAGTCTGGGTGTCTCAACGCATCTTCTCGCTTCATAGGTGCTAAATCTACAGCTGGGTGCTTTGGCCCGGCTAACCAAAGTGAAGCTCGATGTGATTCTGACCACCTGTGCAGATGGACTGGATGGTAATAAGCTTTTACAGCAAGAAAATAAGGAGGCAGGGGAGGGGAGCTGTGATGAAATAGAGCGTGATTTAGTTCCACCTTCAGGAAAATGTCAATGACTGCATCTTTGTGTCTGCAGGCATGAAGTGTATCTGGACTTAACTCCGTACCTAAGCACTTTTTGTTCCTTTTACCATAAAATAAAGAGGTCCAGTGCAGCACCTTTGTCCTCCTCATGTTATTCTGATTTGGTTTGACCTTGAAGAGAAGCTTCTGCTTACTGACCTTCGGAAATATGAGTAGGATGGCTTAACAATTCCAACGCAAGGTCAACGTAGTTTCTTTTTCTAGCCATACACCAGCTTTACAACAGTAAACCACACAACAACAACAACAACAATACTGACTTTTGATTTCCTTTAGAGCTGGATGTGTTTTTAACCATATAATCATTGTATTTCATGATTCCCTTTTGTGTTCATCTGCTAAGGGACAGAGGAAAAAAGTTACGACACTTTCAGGGCCCATGGCTGACAGGATCAGTAGCCACGTTTACATAAATTTCTTGATCGAAATAAAAATTTAAGGGATCGGATAATCTGACTCCACTGTTTGTATGGGTGCAAAATCAAATAACCCAACCATGACGTGCGTTTACATGCACCAAGTTTTATTCAGATTAGAAGCATTTGTACATGCACAGAGTTGTCTGATTTCGCTAAAACAATCGCAGAAGAAGAATTTTATTCATGCCTGTACTGTCAACAAACCAACAAACGCGGTAGTGGCTGACTTCATCCAATTCAGGAGTTTTCCCCCTGTTCTGTCAAAGGTTGCACTGTGCGTGCAGATGTGACGTCATTACGCTGTATGTATGTTTTGTTATGTTACCGGAAGAGCAGACACGACGGCACCTGCGGTTGTGTTTTATGCCAGAGTGTTAATAATGAAACCTCCTGTACTGGCCTCAATAAATAAGCCAAAGGCCAAAGAGTGAAGATCGAGTCAGGTAAGAAAGTTACGGTCGGAATAAGTGTTTACATGGACGTGTTTCGGAATAACGATCGTCATAAACCACCCCTCTCGATTGGAATACAATTTCTTTCTGATTGAGCCAAATTGGATCAGAATCTTCTGATCGACAAGTTTTACATGATGCATTTTTATTCAGATCGAGCATTTGTTCTGATTACTTGTGCCCATGTAAAGTCAGCTAGTGTTAAAACATTAGGGAGTCAAATAATGAGACCCAATGCGATATTCTTCCTGTCAGTGCCCCCACCTGAGAGGGTCGATCCACAGACTCATCAGCCACAACCACTCACTGGATGTTTGCTTTATGTTTGCTTATTGTGCAAGACTGCAACAATGCATAAACAAGAGTTTGACTGCCCCAACTTATTTAACCATAAAATCCCATTTAGTCTGAGACATTCAGAACTATCAGGCAAGCAGATTTCTTTCTTTCCGCTAAAATAGTGCTGCACACGCACACACACCTGCTAATAGAGCGTGTGCAGAGAGGTGGTCAATACAGCAAACCATTACAAACATTTTCTTCCTTTGTCCATCAAAGCATCCTCCCTCCTCAGCAGCACCCCATCTCTGCCCACTCCTCTGATCCTCCCACACACAGCTGCTGCTCTTCATCCTTCTGTCTCTCTTCATTTTTTTTAACTGTGGAGCTTTTTTGCTCTTTTCATGTTTTCTTCAAGAAATATCATGTTTCTACTGTTTTTTTTAAATAAATGAAACAATAAAATATGGCCTCTCAAAGATTTGGAAAAAAAAATTGAAGTCAAATGAAAATCCTTTTAACCCCTTGTGTAAAATTTGACACATGCCGCCACTTAGTCATTGATTCCACAGTTTTTGACCTGCTTCAAAGAAGTGACCTGCTCAATAATGTTTACAATCCCTTTAAAGTTTCATTTCATTAAAGTGCAGTTTGAGGGATACATGTGAAGTCTGTATGACTTTACCATTTAATGGTTTTTAACAAGTTCAAAAGCTACACAGTGCTGGTGTGGACACCAGGCAGGCACAACTTTGGTTTATGTTCATACACATGCTAGAAAAAATGAAAAAATAGCAAAACATTATCGGAGATGTAAGTGAGGAAAAGGGGGATAGGAGAAAATCATATCATGCTAGGGCTGGGTAATAAACCGAAAATTTACTGAACTATGACAATAACCGACGTCATTTTGCCCATGTCAATATATTCGTGTAAAAAAAAAATTATAATAAAAGTTGGTTTTGGATGTGTGTAGGTAGGCTATGGTCTCATTTCCCTTTAAGACGCTGTCCTGCGTCAGGAACGTGACTCCACCCCATCTAGTCCATAACAAAGAGTGAAAGACAGGTGAGGAGAAGGAGGATGGTGCAAAAGTTGTAGCGGCTGGAGCAGCGGCTGAAGTAGACGAAGTTAATGTGAGCAGCTTGTGGAGTAGTTATCGTCCATTTATTGTTATCAAGGTGAACTACTCAATATATCGTGATATTGATTTGAGGCCATATCGCCCATCCCTATGTCATGCCCTGTATTTTAGTCGATTATAAGTCCACATGCCTCACATTTTTTATAAAATACAAGTTTTGCATTTTTTACTGTTGGTAGAAACAGAATGAATGCAGTCCTATAAGTTGCTTTATCAAAGTTCAAACACACACACACATGCACTTGCACTCACATAGATATAATCAGGGCTTGACTGAGAGTTGCTGAGTTTCGTGCCCCAGGCAACAACATTAAGAAGATGAGTGTCCTGATTTTTCTCAGAAGATGATAATATGAATATTTGATGGAAAACGTTTAAAACTGGAATCACTTATAGAGGGTCTTCTTTTGGAATGTGTTAATTTTCACGTTAGTTGAAATGACATATATTTACCAAAGGCGATTTAATTAATCCAAGACAATTAAGTCAAACACAAACCTGTTTTCAGTGAGAGCAAGAGAAAAAAAGACTCTCACACCAACCATGAAGAAAATCACAAACAGCAGCTTCTGCCGCTTTGAAATTCATAAATCGTAATGTGTTGTTTTCACACTTGGTGAAGTGCTGAGATGTGTTTTTATCACTGTGGTTTTAATGCCAAGTGTTATCATCTGAACATTTTCTTGTTTGAATCTTCAGAAGAATCTGCATATGAAATATGATGTGCTGTTAAACAAGAAACCTCACACTAAATTGACTCTGATGAGCCACCACATTATGTACACATGTGGGGGTCAGGGTTCAGGGGAGGGTAATGTGCCTGTGAAACCCCAACATCTGAAAAATCACAACTTTAAGAACTAAACTCAAAAAAATACAGCCATCACCATCAGAGTTTACAGACGTCGAACAACACAAACCAAAGTAGAAATACAGAAAGACTGATCCTCCATCTCTGTTAGCTGTACACTGGTTATTCAGTGCATGTGGTCAGTAACAGTGTTCATGTTTCCATGGCATCTTTACGGAAGATTAACTAGAGCTGCCAAATCTATAATTTTGGCAAACATAACATTGGCTAACCTGCCATGCGTAAAAGCAGGCAGCAGTCTTACGGCCAAGGGCTTTTAGGGACAGTATCTGGCAGCTCATAAGTGGGGATTTCATTGGTTATAAGCCTGTTTGGTAAACATGTTTGTTGCACCTGGATGCTGTAACCATTCACATGTCCCTTCCTACATACTAATGCATGTCTTCTCCATATCGTATGATTTTATCAACACCATATCCAAGTATGAGCTAAAAAAATAAGATTTGACAAGTTTAACTAAATACTGAAAAAAATGTTTCATAACACTTCATATAAGCCGTATCACTATGCCAAGTTCAGATATAACTTTTTTTTGTAAGATTTTACAGACCAAATATAAGATCTTATAGATTGAAATGAATAGATGTGGCTACCAATGCAACATGCACATGTTTATTACTGCTATGTTATTATCTGAACATGTTTTTGGCCAAAGGTAATACTTCGAACCCTCTGCGCTGGGCAGGGAGCTGTTGTACATGGTAGTTTGAGGAGCAGCAGGATATTTTGGTTCCTTTGTTTGTAACAAGCTTCCTTCAGTCTTACCTCTTCAAAATAAAACAAGAAATAAGGCCCATCTTGTATAATCAGACAGTTTATGCAACCAAAAAAAATACATGAATTTAAAACATACCACATAGTTGATAGGGTGAGCAGTAAACTTTTGTGGCAGATCTTGAAAAAGATGAATTAAGCTCAGTCTGGGCTATCGCTGGTTTTTAGTAAAAACGTCAACAGTCATTACCAAACAGCCAACTACAGTTTCTCAGCATTTTAAAGGGGCGGTCTTAAATGACAGGCAAAAAGCAGAATGTTAACATTTTTTATATAAAGCGGGTCTGTCCTCTGCTGTACATCACAGCTCTTTCTACAACTGACTGCATTTTTACTCTGCTCTCTCCGGCTGTAAAAAGGGGGATAGCTCAGGACACGACACACTCCCACAGTGTGAAGTTTTTGAATCCAGTGATGAATGGCTCACTCTCCTCCAGGGTCTGCTGGTTTAAAGCAGAATGAACTGTGGGTTTCAGCATTTGAAATTTCAGCAACTTCCTAAAGTTTAACTCAAAGCTGTGGCTTTTGCTCTTTCTCATTCCCGACAACTTTTTTATCAAGAAACTTTTTTTCGTCATGTCAAATGTCAAAGCATATGCTTGGAGAAGAAAAGGAAATGCATCGTGTAGATCAGATGCAAAATAACCACTTGTGCAAAACTTGTTCCTTCTTCTTCAACACATTCACACTGTCAGATCTCTGAGGGATGTGATGGAATGAGTGTGACTATCACAGCAACATGACTTTTAGTGCAGCTTCAGTGAGTGAGCGATCAAAGGTGACATTATGATGCAGCCAGAGGTGCTCAATAGTGCCAGACTCCATCCAAAGCTTAGTCTTTTATGTAGCTCACAAATTTTGTCCAAAGTTTTTCGTGCCCAAAATTTCAGACCACTTGTCAACAGCTCTGACTTTTTCAACTCTCAATTTAACATTTCTTTAAAAAACTGAACATAAAAGACAGAAATCTGAATATTGAGGCTTACCCTAAACAAGTCTACTAACAGTTCACTTTAAGTGAAATCAGCATATACTGTTTGGCACTTTTTTTCTTTTTTTAGTTGTATTGGATCTAAGTCAAGTGGTGTCTTTAAAGGGATATTCTGGCGTAAAATTAATTTAAGGTCAAACACATCGTAACACTGAGTTAGACACCCCATCGAGAGATGAATGTTGCCGACCGCTTGCTTCTCTAGTTATATCAACTTTTGTAACGAGCGCAGATAGCAATACACAGAGACATGCGCTCAACCAAAACGCCACTCTATAGCTACAAATAATGCTCAGAACAGCACCTAACTTCATCAACAGTTCATATAGGGTCCTAGCCATAGCACTAGCCACCAAACATCTTTTTAGCTTTGCCTGATTTCTTTAGCAAAGAGACTAAACACAACTCACCATCTCTCTTCCAGAAGCCGCTTGTTTGTAGCGAGACCTCGGACGAGTCCATTACAGACTGCAGTGGGGTGACGCAGCTCAAGGAAGAACATTTATGATCATTTCTTCATGGAAATGCAGTCAGACAAAGACACTAAGGCAGGAGAACTACCGCGTCTGCAGTGCAAAATGATTAATATGGTGATTATTACTTTAAGGAAATGATAAAGTAATGATCATAAATGTTCTTCCTTGAGTTGTGTTAACCTGCAGCAGTCGATGGACTCGCCTGGAGGTCTCCGTATAAACAAGCGGCATCTGGAAGAGAGTAGGTGAGTTGTGTTTAGTCTCTTTGCTAAACAAATCAGGCAAAGTTAAAAAGATATTTGATGGCTAGGACCCTATATGTACTGTTGATGAAGTTAGGTGCTGTTCTGAGCATTATTTGTGGCTATAGAGTGGCTTTTTGGTAGAGTGCGTGGCTCTCTGTTTTGCTATCTGCGGATTGTTACTAAAGTTGGTATAACTAGAGAAGCAAGCAGTCTGCAACATTCATCTCTTGACGGGTTGTCTTACTCGGTGTTACGGTGTGTTTGATCCTAACTTAATTTTAAGCCGGAATATCCCTTTAAGTTTGACTTTTTCTTTTTAACGTTTCTTGGAAATCTTCCAGGAACTTCTCACTGTGTTCAGATCAGCATTAGTTGTCTGTAAGCCTCTTTTCTCTTAATTATTTCCACTTTCCCAACACTGTCTTCTTCCTACCCTCTTGTACAGTTCAAGTCAGGACAAAAGACTATTTCTAACCGAAGCATCATTGATCTAAAGCTACCGTTCGATTGATTGGTCACAGAAAGCCGTGGAAGAGCCAAGTGGAGAACTGAGAGTCAGATGAGCAATCAGTCTTATTGGAAGAACGAAGAACGTTGCTGTGAGGGGATGGGATGCATCTGTTTGCACTCACATTTAAGTCCTCTCTGATTCATGGAAAGCAGACACAAAGTGAAGAAAACAAACAGCCACTGTCAAATGTAAACAGAACAGAAAAGATGAAGTTGCTCTGTTTTTCTATTCACAAGAGCACAATGAAGATAAAACTGTTTGCAAAACCCCAGATTCAGGTAGGAGCTTGAGGAAAAAAGGGGGTCTTGTTGTTCAGAGACAAGAAAGGAACAGCTCCTTTTGGCGGCTCTGTCACGAATAGAATTTACGTTGATAATGTGAATCTAAATAATGCCAAATGCAGAAACCTAAAATTATATCATCAGGTCACATCGAGCTGAATTAACAGGCCATTTGACCTGCAGAGTCCATGATATGCCAGAAGATATTTTAAAGAAATACTTAAATATCTCTGATTTACCAGCTACAAATGAGTTTCAATCCCATGTGCATTTTGTCCTACAGAACACAGCTGGTGTCTGGGGGTTTTGGGAACATTTAATTCTGCACGCGTCTGCTCTCACTTGCAAAGTGTGACATGACTGTGTGAGAATGCTGCTCCTTACTTAATTACCGCTATTCCTGTTACCTTGGCAATGATTACCGAACACGCGGGGCATGTTACAGGAAGAGAAACGGGGGAAAAAATATTCAGATTACTTAGTGGTGTTGCATTTAAGATAGGCCAGCCAAAACCAGTAATAAAAATGTATTTATTTATTTATTTTAAAATCTATTTTGTAAGCACAAACTGTTGAATTTTTTTTCTACACCTTTCGAATGTGGCTCAAAACGCATCCTTGGATTATTACATAGTGTTAATGTGCTCCATGAGACACATCAACTGTGTATTAAAACAATCCTAAAAATCTAACTGTCTCCACAAACCAAACGCAAGTTAAATCATTCGCGTGAATGAACTACATGTTAAGTCAATATGAAGACGTGATTAGACGCTCCTACTACTCTGACAGCGCGGATGGTGCATATTAGCATTTCAGCCCAATGACACCATGGATGAGGGGATTCTGATTTTAGAAGTCTAGGATTTCCTTCTCCGGAAGGACACAATCTACTGTTTATATGGTTAGCTTATGTGGCTAAAAACAACTTGTTTTTACGCGACTGCACGTGAATCTGTGGGTTCTTGTGAGTTCTTGCAATTCTTGCTGTCCGTAATCCGCCACGAAATTCGCCTCACAAACAGATCCGGTAGGAATTGGTGGACGGCGAAAAACGCAGCCATTCCAGATCTGAGCCATTCCGGATGCGGTGGAAATCCTGGGTTATTCCCTCAATACTGGCACCCAACAACAAAGCAATTATAAGACTCCTGTGTCTTCTACCCCGTGGTGGTTATTTGTTTCATTTCCCTCATTTTGTTTTGTTTTGTTTGTGATGTGAAATTGTGACTTCAGCCCTCCAAGAGCCACAAGGCCAACACGACTCGTAGTAACATCACTAACATGGCTTAAGTTGATAGAGAAACAGATTATCACGACTTACCTTTCCCTGGTAAGATCCACTTAAAGAAGAGACTAATCTGTGTGACTGACCTCCCTGTCCTTGAAACGACAGGTAGACCTCTGTGTTATGAGGTCATGTTTGGCTCATGGCTCAGAGAAAGTGCTGTTTGAATCTACGGTAGATAAAGATATCTTTGCAGCAGATTTTAGAGCAATTTTAAATCTGCTGAAAGAAATCAACCCCTGTGGTTAAAACTCAATTGATACACTTAAAGAATGTAACAGCTCTTTTCCTTCCCGACATCATTTCAGAACTACTGACACATGTTAATCCCAAATGCTATTCATGCTTAATTTGCAATTTCAGCTGGAGGAGTGATCAAAGGTGACCTGTCAGACAGAGAGGATTAAGCATGTGCATCCTCTTTAGTTAAAAGCCTTCAGCCCTATCTAAATGATCTAAAACACACTGTCTGAAGTGAATTAGCTCATGTCCAGCTTCTTTTTGGTATAAGCAGTACAGAATCCAGATGCTGAGTAAGGTGCAAGTTGTAAAGAGGTAGGATTAAGTCTCTCAATTATTGATAGGTTGATGGATGTATTTTGGGCGTTACATAAATCAGACCAATCACTGTGTCTGCTCTCGTCCTCAAGAGTCAGGTGTGCCTGTGGGCGTATTGGTATTTGCACAATGAATTTCTGCCTTTTGCTCCACTTCTTCTTCATTGTCTCTAAAACAACTCCTCTGTACAGGAGGAATGAAAGCCAGTTTACCAAATTGTCGCATGCATACATTTGCGGATATAGTACAGCTGAGGTAACCTCATTAATTTTTTAAGATTTCAGTCAGTATAATAGGGATCGAGCATTAACTGATGGGCTTTACATCAAAGAAAGGCAGGCTTTTGATCTTCACTTAGTTGAATTTGCTGCTGCACTTAATGGTTGTTTTATGTAATGCGAATGCAATGGATTTTCTTTAGTTTGTCTTAATATCTGTGGGCTGATTGGTCAGTGTGCATGTTTCTGCATGTGTTTGAGGATGCCCATGATGGAAAGCTTGGTGACCATCACGGTCTTGAGTATTTATTCTGTGCAGGGTTTAAGTGAAGCAGTTTTGTGAGGTGATAAAAATGACAGTATTCTGAGTCTAGTATCCTTAAACTGGCCTTGTACTGTACCGTGGCGTACGGAGACAAGGGTAAAAAAACAGTGTCTCTGATCCTTCTGTTCTAAAAATCACTAATAAACACATTAAACACAGCTGTTACACTGTTAGACACAAAATCTGAGTGAAAGTTTGCCTCATTTTGTAAAACTAAATTGTTATACTGTCATAATAAGTACCCACTGAGCAATAGACGGCTATTAGACATGTAGTTTTTTTTTTTAGACCTAATTTCAATCGTCTAGATTCTGTATATTTTTAGACTGAATCAAGACGTTGCACTTTAACCCATTATTTGATAACTATTTATTTCAAAAAGCAACTGTGAGTTGCATAACTGATCTCCAAGTACTTAATCAAAATAATTATGACAGCCATTAAGCAATATACAGTGTAGTATAGATATAGCCCAGATTTAGACTTGATCTTAAACTTAGTCTAAATTTAGACGCCTAAAAAAACTTTCATTTTCAGACCTGAGGTAGCCTGATTTTAGACCAGTCACTACATTTAGACGTCTATTAGCCCACTTTTAGATCAAAAATGCTCAATGGGAAGATATCTGCTTCTTGGGAATCTACAAAAGTGAATCCATACAGCATGTGTAAATGGCTCTTTACTTTCAGTGGATCACCAGTGTATAGCATGCATAAAAGTCAAGCAAATGTTTTCCTTTTAATCATATAGAGCTGAAGTAATGGTTTGCATTTCAGAGGTGATGAGCACACTTTGAGTTCTTTTTTTTTTGTTCTCTAGTAAGTTAATGAGGTGATAAAATCAACATAAAACTAATGTCCTCTGACACATTTCCCTACGAAAGTTAATGGAGCTTTTAAAATCCTCGTAACAGAATAAAATTCATTAATTCATCTCCATAAAGAAAATCTGTTAGATAAATTAAGGCACCAAAGTGGTATAAGAAATTACACTTCATTTACAGACACATACATGCACATTGGAGTTTTATGTCTCTCTTTTCGCGAGTAAAACAAAATATAATCTAGGGCATAAAAAGCAGCACAGATTTGTTTTTCGCTATTGAATCTATGAATCTTAATTTCCCTTCAATTAAACCCACAAACATGGAACATAAAGGTAAACTTTTGTTGTTCTGTTTCTGCGACAGGACTGTAACTTTCCTCAAAAAAAAAAGGACGAAGGTAAATGTAACTTTCTTTTTAGATTTAAGAGAATCTCGGCATGAAATAAAACTTTCGTGTTTGGATTCTGAGTGTTTGGGTTAAAATGTTGTTCAGGCTCTTGTGCCGCTGAGTTCTAAATATGCTAAACTCTCACTTTAAAAGGTGTTTTAATAATCAAGTTCTTTGTATTACTATCAATATACAGTCTATATAACTGCATGACTACACCAGATGAAAAAAAACATCAAACCTTTAGAACAAAAATTGCTTACAACAACGCTTTAAGTGAGCACCCAGACGTGCTGCGAAAACACTTTTTCCATCGTCTCCATGCCCACAAGCACCACAGTGGGAGCAGACTGAAGAAAGTGATGTTGAGCTTATTTCTGCCTCAAAATTCAAACGGTTAACTCTCTGTTATTTCAGGCCACAAAACTGTTTTCTACAGAAGCCTCTCTGTCCTTGCAGTGTTTCGTTTCTCACAGTGGGCTACTCACCATTGTACAGCTGCCCTCTGCATCATCGTCCAGCAGACCAAGCCTGCACAGAGCTTTTTCGTTCCTCAGCCAGTACTCGGACGAGTCCAGCACACTATTGCTGCACAGCACCTGCAGCACACAGATAAACCCGCTCAGGTACAGCAGCATCAAAATCACACAACACAGAGACACAAGACTACACACACCACCTCCCACCGACTGAGTCACACATTCACTTTCATCCCTCCTGCCTCTGTGGTTACCCCTTTGGTCGCTGGGATAAATTGACCTTTCTCCAGAACCTTTATTGCAGGATAAGTGTCGACAACACAGGATCAATAATCTGTCAGCTGAGGAGACGCTGCACACTCTACATATGACAGTCATTGTCTCCCCCTGGAAGGACGTTTTAAGGACAGTTACCAACCTGTCTATGACCAACTAGCTGATAAACTAAATTATCATTAACTATTGACTTTGCTATTTAAATGACTGTCAAATTATGTGGATGAAAAAAGAACTAAAGATTTTTATTGCAGCTATAACAACACTAAAGTTTGCCTTAATAGCATACGTAAACTGACACTTTATTGATTTAGTCAAAAATAGGGTTGCAAATTCTGGAAATTTTCAAAGTTGAAAACTTTCCATGGGAATAAATGGGAATTAACAGGAATAAATCTGAAATTAACAAAACTGAAGGTTGGCCCTCAACAGGGAACTTAGATATAGTTGGGGAAAATACATTGTAGCATAATTTTGGCTAAAACAACTAGATTTAATGCATGTGCATTCCTCCATCACATGCACAGATGATGTCTTGAACCCTGGAGGCCACACTTTTGAGCCCAAAGCACAAGACATTTGAGCTCACAGACTATATAAATAAATATATTTGATCTTTAATAATTAATATTAATATTAATATTTAACTTGCAAAAAATTTAATACAGATAGGTGCTGAATGTAAGCTATTTTTCATTTCATTGACCATTTAAGGAGCCAGCTTGTTATGGTGGTGGTATTTACCTCAAATGTGATGCTGTTTCTTCTGACTCCTGCAAAATGGTTTTCTGTAACCATATGATAATTTATACATCAATGGTCAAATATTTTGAAGACTATCCCAGTTGTTTAGCCAACTGTATTTCTGTTCATGCCATTGCATTAGTGTTTTTACAAGTTTTTTGTTATTTTATTCTACAGATAAATGCCACATTCGCCATCTGATGTGTGGAAGCATTTCACACAAGCTAATGTTAAAGGAAAATTATTTACATTTATGTTTAGATATGATACAGTTTGTTCAAATTACCCCCAATTTCCAGTTAATTACCATAAATTCCCAATAATTCCCATGGAAAGTTTCCAATTAGGAATATTTCCAAAATTCCCCAGCTTAACTTCCCATGGAAAATTTCTGGAAATTTACCGAAAATTTTACGCCCCTTTGCAACCCTAGTGAAGAGGCAAAAAAAATGTTTCCAGTTTTTCATGACCAAAGTAGGACGGATAAATAATCAAAACAGCATGCTTTTATAAAATTATTTTCCTCTGCCATTTCTGTGACATCAGACGGATATTGTATGTGTTCTCACTGTGTATTTTTAGCAACAAATCATGCCACCTTCATGCCTGCCCCCCCAGGAAAAGGCCATCTGTGCAAGGCCTTCAGCCAGGTAAAGGTGACGTAGACTCAGCTGATCCAAGCAAAGGTTGTAGGCACGGGTCAGCAGAGCACAGAGCCCATAAATAACAAAGACATCGCCTTATAACACATGGTAGAGGGAGTCAGTAAAGAAGAGGAGTGGTAGGCTAATCGGAAGCAAACACCACAGTGTCCAATCACACAAACACACAAACATCATACAAGATGCACAAATAAACCAACACACTTTCTGAAAGGAAATTCAATCTAAGTTCCAGCTCAGCCCACTGATCTGTACGATTTCCCTGCCTGTCTCTCATGTGCTGGGAGATGATAAATCTACTGGGCTGACCCAAGGGCCTGGCTTTTTCTCTTATTAAACCACTCCTTGGTGTCACAGGCACCCCTGGAGGAGGAAATGAAAATCACTGCACTGCACTACTGAAATCACACAAACAGATAACAGAGAGAGACAGATATGATGGACAGGTGCAGTGGATGAGAGAAAAAGTTTTGAAGAAGAGATGGCTGACAAGAGGTCATTCAGCAAACACACAGAGGGACACACAGGTGGACAGATGTACTCTCCAGGTGATTGTTTTTTATTTACCTTTTTGCAGGCGCTAATGGACGAGGCCACTGTGCTCTCTGTGTTGCCTCCTTCCACCTCCACGGACTCTGAGCCTTCAAACATGGCAGACGACTGGAAGTTACTGCAGGGCAAAAGGACACGGAGTTGACTGTCAGAGCAAGTTCTTGTCTAGTGCAAAACACATCATGTATAAAAAAAAACAAGGACTCCGGCTTCACTTTGGATGTCTTATCTCTGCTCTGACTTGAAAAGCCCATTGCCTGTCACTTTGTTCAAACTACACAGCTGTTGCCCTCTGGATGAATTTAACAGACTGCTTTTGTCAGATGGCATAATCACTTTTGTACCCTGGGCTTGAGAGTCAGTTCCTTTTCCTGTCACACCAGGGTAGTGTGACAAGGACACAGCAGCTACAAAAATGTATGGATCTGTTTATGGCCAGGACATCTTCCGCATTCACTGGCGTGTGCAAAGAGTTCGTGGTAGGGCCCGACCGATTTATCGGCGAGCAAATTAAATCGGCCAATTTTAGCCCGTTTGAGACTAATCGGTAATCAGCCAAAACTCGCTGATTGTTGCAGATATTTTCAGAAATAAAATGTGGAGAATACGATTCGGTTTCACTTCGGAAATGTTCTGCCATTTGAAAAGTTTCCCGACTTATCCTGTAGATGGCGCAGTGACCTCATGACAATCTTCATCCGCTACCTCACAGCACAGCAGAGTGACGGATCTGAAGCAGGCAGCTCAGGGACGCACGGAGGAGAGTGGTCCGCCTCAACGGTAAATAAACCAGTTTGTGAAATACACAATGGGCTCTATTTTCGTGCCTCGCCGGAGACGTGCCGCAAGGGCAGCGTCAATCAGATCCGCTGCCCTGACAAGGCGTTCCCAAGCACATTTTGGTATTTTGGTGAGCCGCGCAGCCCGGCGTAAGTATCCCCCCTCCCTAACTCAGCTCCTACCAGCAGCATAAGTCATAGACGGGGAGGAGATAGGGCGTGTAGTAGATTTAACACAGCCGAGACCTGTTTTCACCAATCACATAAGCTCCTCTCCTTGCCTTTAAATCCGCCACAGGCGAGGCGTATTACTATTTTCATGAAGTACACAGGTCAAAGAGACCAAGAGATGTCTTAAGACAGTAATGCCACGAGATGGCGACAGAGGGCAGCTCCTCAACAAGTGTCCTCCACACTCTCTCATATGAGCACAGATGGATTTGGTGTGTGTAATGTTGGACCCAGTGGTAAGACAAACACCCTTTTCCACAAATAAAGACACTCACATAAAGTTGCTCATATTCAAACCTCACGTGACAAAGGTGGGTTTAGCGCACAGATCACAACATAAACTCCAAAAATGGCATTAAAATCAGAGCCATCTGTGCGTAAATGACGCATCGCTCCGTGTCCTGGCTCTTTCTTTCATAGATGTTGGCATATAAAATAAATTTGGCTCACAAAACTGAATATTATAATATCCATATGTCGGCTTAAAGTAGCTAACGCATCTGATCACTGAAACAAATCATCTGTTCAGCCGCAGCAGCAGCAAGACGGACAGAGGACATGGAGACATGTCCAGGTCGAGCTGTGCGAGAAATAAGAGGAAGAAAGAAAAGGAGGGAGACACATTACATATCTTGTTAACTTCATCATGTGTGTTTATTTACTAGATATTTAATTTAATTTGATGCAGTTTCAGCTGTATTGATTCGGTCAGCTTGTGTGCCCAAACGCGTGCCAAACGCGTGCCAAACGCGCTCATCAGATCAGATATAGATCAGAATATATCGATATAGATCTAAATGTATGTGCTGACTCAGATTAATAGTTGATGATGATTGTTTATTGCACTGAAATCTGCCTGACACTGTGGAAACCTGCCGGTGAGGCATCAGTGACGTATGGTCTACCAAAATACTACTAGACCAGCTGCGTTCCGCCTTGCGCTGAAAGCTGACCAGGTTTGAATCGGCGAGCTTTCAGCGCACTTTACACGCCGTTGGCGAGCACGAAAATGTCACTGCGCCTGCTGATTCTGTCGACACCTCCCCCTGCCACGCCACCACGCCCAGCTTGGCGGATCTCGGCTCGCCTCCGTGTGGCTCAGTCCAAGAAAATACCAAATTGGCCTTACGCTGGGCTCCACCAGACGAAAATACAACTGCGTGGGGCTCGCCGCCCTCCGCCGCCTCACCGGCGCGCACGAAAATAGAGCCCAACAAGTCAACAAGATTCAGTTCAACCCACTTCACGATGTTCCCCGTTGTTGAAAATGCTTTTCTGGCCCGACTTTAATCAGTCAGTCTTCCTGACAGCGTGAAGAGCAGTAGCCTACAATATACTGTAGATATCTACAGTATATATATTTTTTATTACTTTATAAAACATGTAAAAAAATTGGCCGATTAATCGGTAATCAGATTTTTTTCCCCCCCTAATAATTGGTACCAACATCGGCCCCCAAAAATCCATATCTGTCGGGCCCTGGTTCTTGGTATTAGTCTTTTAATGTGAAGAACTTTTAATCACCTTGTAATTCATGCATCGTAAAAAAATAAAATTAAAAAAAAAAAAAAGCAGGGTCCTTCAAGGATTTTTGTGGGGTCTAAGCTGATGACACTTTTCCTGTCATGACCAGTTATTTCCGTCACGTTAAAGAGTTATAGCTCTCTGCGTAGACCCTTGAGAGTTTTTAGCTTGTTGTGACACAGACTGAGATTATAAGTAATGGCTTTATGACCTAGAAAAGACTGGATGCACCAAGATTAACAACTTCCATTGGGGATGTTCTTCATGGACTATGTCCATGTCACTGTCTGTGTCTGTACACCTGTTTCCCAGAGCTCCAGTGTTTCTCTTCATGTTGCTCCAGTTTTCTAGTGTTTTTGGTTTTCTTGGTTTTGGGGTATTTGTTGGGCTTCTAGGAAGAAAGTTTTTCATTATTTGCTTTTTAACTTTTGTTTGTGAAAATCTTTTCTTTTTTTCAATCTGCATTTGGGTTATTTCCCTTTGTTTGAATTTGAAACCATTTGCACTTTTTACCAGCAAATATGAGAAAACAATAATCTATGGACAAGATCAGTAAAGACATAATGTCTTTGTCCTTAAAGACCTTCATAAGAGTGGGTATCGTATATGTTTTTGTATTTATTGAGTTTCCAGGTGAAATGTATCAGTTCAAAGATAAAGATGGAGACGAGGGTGGTTTTTGTGGGCAAAAGAATATGTTATTTTAAAGGTTGAAAAAATGTAGGATAGTATGTATTGTGCCTCAAAGGAGCTTCTTGTCCAACAATGCCACTGTTGCTTGCCAATGACTGAGCAAGGAAGCCTTTTTGTTTCAGCATTTGACATCTACAAAACTAAATATTATGATTTCTACACAATGTACATCAAAATTTGGGCAGGAGGTAGAGCAGTTGTCCAATAACCAGAGGGTTGGCGGTTTGATTCCTCCCTATCCTGAGTCTGTCTGTTGTTTCCTTGGGCAAGACACTTAACCCATCTTGCCCCCCGTGTGTGTCCTCCACTGGTGTGTGATTGTGAGTGTTGTGTGGTGGTTTTTCGGAGAGGCTGTAGGCACAAACTGGCAGCCACATTTCCGTCAGTCTGCCCTACTACGGTAGTTTACCACCACCAGTGTGTGACTGTGTGAGCGAATGAATGATGTCTCCAATGCTTTGAGGGTCTCTGATGAAGAACTATATGAAATCTGATGCATTCTTGAATTTAGTGTTTCTTTTAGTATCACTAACTTCTATCTCGCAAATAGACCTACTGTGTGAAACTTTGCATCGTCAAGAATTCTTGACTACTCTTGTAAACCAGAGATGTGACTTTGGCAGAGGAGCAGAGATGCACTTCATGTGACCTTTGTTGTTTACACTAACCAAAGCTAATCTACAATCTGAAGCGATAGGAAAGTCGGTCAGACTTCACAGGCACAGTGAACTCAAAAATCGCAGAGAAGGCGTCATTATCCTGTGCATGCTCTCAGCGAGATAAGCCAAATCGAAGCTTAGCGCGGATGGCATTAATGAGGATCAATTTGCAAAATTAAGAGGCTGGGGATACATATTTAAATAAGAGCAGCTGCTTTATTTTCCTCTGATCTACATATTTCAAAGCAAATTAAAAGCGTTTGGTATTGACAGTCCCTGAGGGATCATGCAACTGGATCTATTTTCAGTTAAATAAACGTGCCTGATGTAAATGGTGGAGTCACAGGAAGTGTGAGTTTGTAATGCTGGTGCTCATGAAAAATACTGTACTGAAGATAAGTGAATATATGCTTCCAATAAGCTACTCTCTGCAGGCACATATGAAAACATCCATCCAATATACACACGTACGCACACACACACGCACACGAACACAATCTGCAGTGAACACGTTGGAATCCTGCAGAAAATTGGAATCGAGCGAGAAGAGAAAGGGACATCATTGACCGGTGAGTGTCTGTGGTCTTCATGCAAGAGGAGTAATTTTCTCAGGGAACTGAAAAAAGACCAATGGACGGATCTGTCACGCACGACCTCCTTTTTAATCTTTGCGCGTTTCCATCACGACACGCCGATGATTGACAAATTGGTGCGCTCTCGTGCACCGGGGAGGGGGGCAGGTACCCAGCAGGCATCCCCCAGATGTGAGGAGGACACAATTAACCCCTGAAACGCCTGGCTTTCAAGGACAGGCTGTAATTCTCTGTGACAGATTATGTAGTTGAGTTTTTCGGCAGACCTCAGAGGAGCTGACGGCCAGTTTATTGAGAACTGAGAACAAAAAGACAACTTCTGGGGGGGCAGCCTTCGAGATTCATTACTTTGGAGAGCGTTCAGCTGCGCAAAATAATCGATCTGGCAAGTTTAGGGTCGCGGAGACTGCAGAAACCTTCAGAAACCAGTTGTCCAGGAGGAAAGTAGATAAAGGAGCGAAGTCTATCAAGAAAAATACCGGGGTGTAAATGTGAACACGAACATCTTAATTTAGACTGTTTTCACTGTCTTTTCTGCCTCACATATCTATCAGTCAGGCTGAGACATCTTGTTTACTGCACGGGTGAGGACAGCTAAGTGTGGAAGCAGCTTTACTGCACCACTCTGCGTGAATGCTGGTGCGCTTTTTCCAACATTTAAACGCACACAAGCACAATGCACAGCAAAAAAACTAAGCTTTTGATTTAGAGCAGTGTGATAAATGATCATATATTCACTGTCAACTCCTATCATTGCGATGCTGCAAAGGAGGTAATTGGAAATACTTAAAAACATGTTGAACATCAAATTCATCTGATATGTGTTAAAGAAATGAAAATAAAAGGCAACAAATGTTTACCAAGAAATAATTAAATGTGTGTTTGCAGCTGAAATCACATTCAGTTGTTGTTTGGGAACGTGCGTCTTTGCTTTTCTTTTATATTCTGGGATCATAGCCTACATATAAAAAGGCTCTTACCTCGGCGTTTTCAGAAGGCACTTTGCGCCTGCCATTCCGACAAAAAAAAAAAAAAGATAAACTATCCTCAACCGGTGGGATTATTTCCTGTGTGGGGGCAGGGGGACAGGCAGAGGTGCAGCGCAGCTCCTCGACGCGTAAATGTCCCCGGGACACTGTCCGGTCCAGATGCGCATCCCCGACCGAACACCGAAGGAATCCAGGACTGTCTCACCGACACTTAAAGAGAACTACGATGAACCGGGACCCGCAGACCCACCTCAAACAGCGGCAAAGACCTCTGTGTGCCCTGCGCGTCCGTACGCCAAGTGCCGACTGCTGGCGCAGGAGCCCCGCGTGGATCAAACGTAATGAGCTGCACGACGTAGGCAAGGGCATGCACACAGACCGTGCGCGCGCATGTCGACGTACAGGCATGTGTACAAACAGGTGCACGCGCACACGTACGGTTTTGTTTTGCTTTTAATGCACCATGTGAAAGTATATGTTCAGTATGGCGTACGACTGTCTCTGTTTACATAGACATACAGTAGCATACAGGCGTGCAACATGGTCAATTCACAGGCTTCAGAGTTACAGGCACTTAAAGCTTAGCAGCAACTGAAATAATATGACCTCTCTTCTGGGCATACAAAGTAAATAAACTTAATAAAACCAGGTATTCTAACTCTCAACTGTATGAAAACACACTCTGAAAGTGCTTCTCCTGATTTTCAGGCAGATTACCTCTAATTTCATGACAAGAAGCTGAGGCAACCAATCTGACCTTTCTTATTTCCTCAACAAGCAGACAGAAACATCTATGAACACCTGAGAGTATAAGGAGGACCAATGTGGCATCATTTTGACAGAATGACAGCAATTGCTTGTTTTCTTTTTTTAACAGCACACATTAAACACAGTTTTTACTTAGGTGATATAATTCAATAGAAAAGTGTTTTCTCGGGTTCTCACTGCTGAGTAGTCTAAATAATTTATTAACTATTAGCAGACATGGAGAAACAATCCACTTAAATCAAGTTTGAGGCATATAGAAGTTTGATATCCACTCCTCTTTAAGCTCAATGTTTGATTTCATTACCTCTGACTTTGTTTCCATTAACTAACTGTTTTGTTCACAGGCTACTTTAAGAGATCTAATGTGTGCTAATGTTTTCCAAGTAGTGCTGAGTGTGTCAGAGTTTTTCTACATTCTGCATTTTGAAGCGAGTTTGAGCCTTGATTTAAGCCTTCAGGGTGGACCAAAAAAAGAACAAGAGAGCTAAAAGATGCTTAAGTGCTTCATTATGTTATTCCTGGACAATAACTAATAAAGATACACCAGCAGCTTTTATTCTTCAAACAAGAAAGCACATACATCATTCCAGGTGGACCCTTGAGAGTGCTGATGGCTACTGTACGACATAAAGCACACACACACACACACACACACACACACACACACACACACACACACACACACACACACACACACACACACACACACACACACACACACACACACACACACACCATCTTCCCATTCAACACTTGAGACTTCCATCATCTCCATCACCTCAGCAGCAATAACAGGGCCTTCAAAGTAATATCTACTTTCTCTGTATCTGATGGTTAGGCTAAAATTCCTCTCTACGGACCATTAGGAAGGTCAGCACATAATCAGAAGGGGGTAAAAGGAGTCATGACCCTCCATTCTGAATTATCCTACTGAGACTGTGGTGAGGGAATGGTGAGGACAGAAAGAAGAAAACCGTGGATATTTAGAGAATGTAGGGGTCCTGATGTGATGATGTGAGTGTGCATGTGTGAAAGAGAGAGAGAGAGAGAGGAGAGAGAAAGAAGAAAAAGAGTAAGATTATGCCTTGAGTTAGATTATGTTTGCAAAAGTGAACTTCTGTACTCTGCCGACAGGATGATCCCTACAAAACGCAATGTTTATTTTCATGTTACATCGTCAGACATCAAGTTATTTCGCTGTCATTCTAGACAAAATTTGACTTTTTTAGAACCTACTTCTGCCAGGCATCTCATGTTGACTTAAGCAACCAATAGGGAACACATATTTTCTTCTAAGGTGAGACATTCAATCATTCTCTGGTCTAGCAACACTAAGAAATGAAGCCTCTACACGAGAAGACTTGAATTGTTTCCTGTGGTGATGTAATGACAGGGGTGATTCACATCAGCATGCATGCAAAACTACCAGTCCCCCCTAAGACAGCAATCAGGCAGCCAATCACAGCAGTGCTTTTTTATCATAACATTCTGATGATAATGAGGTTAGAAACTGAAAGGCTGCAGATATCCTCCACGGGGGATTTGTGATTTAAGGAAAAAAAAAAAACGGATTTCAAAACTTTGCTTCGTAGACAAGACGTGTTAAGAAACAGCTTAAAATAAATCAGATCAGATTTTTAAAGAAAAACCAAAAACCTACCCATTGATATATTACATATCAATGGAAAAGGTCTATATATACAGTATGTGCATATTCTACAAAATGTTCTTTTCTCCAGCTGCACTCTGTGGTCCTGTGCTGTACCACCTAATTGGATACTTCCAAGCAGAGGAAAAAAGGTTTTCCAGCTCAGTATTTCCATGAATAACTATTACAGCCAGGTACTAAAGAAAAAAATATACTTTTATTTTCTATTTTTACTCTTCTAAATGGTTTAGAAGAGTGTGACACCCTTGCAGTCACAAGTAGCACAAACTAAGAAGACATACTGTGAATCAGCTAGAGGGGAAAAGCCTAAGGCTTACAGGGAACAGACTTATTGTATAGGTGAGAATAAGTATAAATAGCACATACAGTATGTAACATTCTGAATCATCCACATTTTCAATTTCTCAGGAGGTGCTGTAAGTGTGAGAGCTCTTTTCAGACAAGATGAATAGAGCGCCGTCTGCTTCAATCACCCTTCTGTAGTTTGTGTTTGTGACAATAAACACTAAAACCACCTCAAACACGAGAACGCCGGTGAGATGTCGAAACCAGTAAACAGCCTTGTACAAGCTCTTCTTAAACTCAGAATTATAATGTCTGACATAATAGTAACAATAGTTTGATGTCTACAGTGAAGAATGAATAAATGTTGATATAGTACAGAGGGTATTCTCACTTGTGAATCTTTTCTTCTTCCCTTGAAAAAGCCAATAAAGTGTTGTCACTGTTTTCAGACGCACAGAAGAAATCTGTAACAAGGACTAAATGCAGACGGCTGATCTGAGGTAATATGTTGTCTTGATGAGGTAACTTCAGGAGGATGTTGTGTCAGGTAGGATACAGTATGAAAACTGGAGCAGTATGTTGGTTTTATCAGAAAAAGAAACTCCCACATAATCTCTCAGATTTTGCTGTTTAGTGACCTCAAAATGTGACCCAAGTAGAATATCAACTTCACAGTCTAAATATAGAAGCAGGATCACAATAAAGAGCTGGAAGAAACCCAGCATCTGCACCAAGCCAGAGAGTTGTATCACATGAAGATGTGTTATGCTGTTTCACACGTTTTAATTTTTCTACTTACAGAAATATTAAGTGTATTCTAAATATCATCATCTAAATATGATGGGAAATATGTGCAAATCATATTAGTGAAACAGGTTATCAGATATTTATGGTAAAGAATTAAATTTCAGATGAAAACACTTACTATAAGAGGTCCCTGCAGTGAATGTTAATGGACAAAACACAAGATATATCCCTGGGCTAAACTGAAGGTACTTCCATGACTGTTTACCACAATAATGACTTCCTACTGCTTATATTACATGACCATTATCATTCATTTTTTAATCTTTGCCAAATTACTGAACCATTGCTGACTGTTGGTGATTTAATAGTTTACATGAGAGTGCAGAGAAAAGTGGTATTCCTTATATAAAAGCTATTTTACAGCACATTACTAAAAGCGTCTTTTCTATGATGCTTGGTTTATGCCAAATTTTCATTGGATTATGTTATTGGACTTTAGTTGTTAATATGATAATATCTTCTCTATTACAAAGTGACAGACTGAAAATTGTTCAATCATTCGGTAAACATTTAAAGGTATAACCAGAAAAGCCTCTTATTTGTCACTTTTTGAAAGATGAGCCTACCTATTCTGCAGAGATTGGCCTGATGAACTGTGTGAAAGTATGCAAGCTGTCAAAAAAAAAGTATGCTGTTATCTTCATTTGTATGATGTAGTCTTTCTCTCCACTCATGATAAGCCATATCTGGGGCGAGCTACCTTTGACTTGACTAGTAGTTGGACAATACCCCATCTTTTCAGCCTGCATCTCCAACTGTAGAATAAAAGCCTGCAGACAGCTCTGCGTGATATCAATGCATTTAGCATCAGACTCAGCATGCAAGTGTGCTGATGGTTCTGAAGATTTCCAAATCAAATCAATCCAGTGAGAAAATGCAGGGCTTTGAACTGGTCAGAAACTGTTTCAAGGAGTTGCATAGCAACAGTGAGTCAGATTTTATGTTTCTCAAAGCAGCCAACAAAAAGATGATAAACAGGCAAGTAACAGCCAACCAAGACAAGACACAACACAAACTATCGCACACAAGGCAAGCGCAAATGTTGAACACCAAACACTGACAGGAAACCTGATGCTTTTCCTGATGGACACTGACACACACATTAAAAACAAAAATGATGCTTCCTCCCTCTAATTCTCCAGCGTCTCTCTCCGTCCCCTTTATTTCATATTACTTTCTCCTCTCATTTCTCACCCTTCCTCTTCTTTTCATTTCTTCATTTCTGCCTCCTCTTTCATTTTCATCATCCTCTGCACTGCCCTCCACATATCTAAATCCAAAGACTTTTCAGAGGGGGGACTAATCCATTGCACAAGTTCTTAAAATAAAAGATGGAAGGACAACTGAAGTGGAGATAAAAGTGCAGACCACTCTCATCAGCCTCGAGGAGACTTCTGAGGGTGCTGGAAGAAAAATAAAACCTTATGAAGAGAGTATCAGCTGGAGTATTGGCTCCATCACAGAGAAATTTCTGTCTTATTGGAGCTATTTATAATCAAGTAGTGACTACAGGGCTGACATGTGTTTTATGAGACAAGAAGAGAGAGACGGAGAAGATGCAGTGATTATTCACTGAAGGAGTGGTGTGAAATGTTAACAAAGGAACCTCAGAAGAGCAAACAGCTTAACCCTGTCCTCGAGGTTTGTTGGTTCAAAGTGAAGGTTTGAGCAGAACATAAGGTATGTTTTCCTACCTGGTTCATGTGAAAGCTCTTGAACCGCTGGTGTGAAGTCTAGTTCATACAGGCTTAGATACACAGCCACCCCATAATAATAACCCGCCATGTTCTTGGCATGCACTTGAGAGTAAA